GCACAATGGGCAGCTGCACGAGGTAGCGCTCGCCCGGCTCGCTGCCGTAGCCCTTGTGCACGTGCCAGCCGAACCACAGCAAGCTGGCGTGGTGCCAGACGACAAGGAAGGCGGCGACGCCGCGCAGGCCGTCGAGCCAGGCCGTCGGATGCATGCGCTTGGGCGGGCCCCCGCCGGCGTTGGGTTTGAGGAACGAAGGGACGAGCAGCTGGAATTCCTCCAGCTGTTCGTACAGGTCCGGCCACGACGACGCGCCCGTCGCCGTCGCCGTCGAGGTCGAGGTCGATGCCGACGGGACAAAGAGTCGCAGGATCCGCCGGAACGGCGCCGTCACCAGCAGCCACAGCAGGTAGACTAACCGCAGCAGGACCAGCGGCACCGCCATCACGGCCGCCACCGCCGCGGCCAGTCGTGTTCGTGGCCGGTGGGCGCTGCTCGCTGTCCGCCCATGTCCAAACCGCGGCTCGCCGTGTGACGTCCGTGGGCTCTCTGGGCTTCTGTTGCCGCTTCCACTGCTCCCGGACCGGCTGCTGCCCACGCTGCTAATCTCAATCGCCACGTCCTGTTCCTTTTCCTTTTCCATTTCTCGGTCGTTGTCGGCGTCGGTTGGCAGCTGGTTGTACAGCGGCTGCATCTGGGAGTGTACCCATCGCCGGAGGCCCCGGAGGGCGGCGTTGGCCATGTTGCGCTGTGTGACGGTGTGTTTGCAATGGTGAAGTGTGACGGTGAGGGCAGGAGACACGGAACGACCACCTAGAATTGATTCATGGGCGCGTCAACGGGTGGTGAAGGTCGTCGCTGCTGATGATGTCGTCGTGGTCGTCGAGGGCAAAATGGGAGGGTTCGGGACAGGCCGTAATATAAGAGTCGAGTGGAGGGTACAGTGGATACGGTCGAGCGTAGCGGACAGGTTTCGATGCGAAGGGTCGTTGTATTTGTTGTCTTGTCGTCGTGTCTTATCGTCCTGTCTTGTCTCTCGTTTTGTTTCTCCGTAGCCGAGTAAGAAAAGCGAGTGACAGTGCTGACAGAGCGAGAACGAGTGAATGGGTAAGGGTAAAATGACGACAGGAAGCAGAAGACAAAACGACCAGACAATAAAGGAGAACGAGACGGCTTCAGAAAACGGACAATTGGCCGCAAAGCCAAGCACTTTCGAGCCAAGATGACGGAAGGCAAGGGCAAGGGCAAGTGTCGATCCGTCAACAGGGGCGTGAGCCCAAGGGTCGGCGGTGGATAGTGGTGGATGGTGGATGACGGCCTGAGGACTGACTAAGAGGCCGTTGGCATTCAGGTGCACACAAATAGGACGACTGGAAAAAGACCAACCGTGTACAGGGTGGACAACGCGACGCGGTTCGAAGAAAGGTCAGTAGTCGTATATTATCGCAGATGAAGGGGCCCAGAAAAAACGTGGAGGTGGCGAGTGACATGGGTTGTGGTCATGAAAGGGCATAACGCAAGAATAGAAACAACGAGACAACGAGACAACTTGGAGCCACGATACGGCCGTCACGACACGACACAAACGGCGCAGTTACCAAGCGAGCGCGAAATCGAGCATACTAAAAAAATCCGCAGCAAATAAAAAAAGAAAAGGGCAGAAAAGGAGAGGACCAGACAAGGCAAGGCACGACCAACAACCAAATAGGGCATAGAGGGTCCGTGATGAGGAAAAAGTCTCAAGCGGCGGAACAAGTTAAGATACAGACAATGACAGCGGGCGGCTCCCTAAAATAAGGTTGATTAAATTTGGCACAAACGCCACAGAATGCAGTGAGAAGGGGGGGTGTGTCGTAATTCGTATTGGTCGTAGAATTACGAGCTTGCAAGACGCACACTATTCGCTGTCATAAGGCAAACTAGCATGAACAGTGAAAAGGTACGGCTGTGCTCGCAACATTACATGCATGTCTACGGAGGTTGCGCCGGCGTACATGCAGGGTAGGGATACAAATCTAGCGGGAGTCCATGTTGAGATGAAATCGAACATGCACACATTTCGGTACACAACAGTACGAAAGGCAGAGGTTGAGAACGACGTCTGTAGACGCAAAAGACAAACAGGCGCGTCTGAGGCTCGTCTGAGACAGACGCAAACGGATACCATGATTTGCTGTTTGACTGAAACAAAACAGCTGGCCAAAACAAAAGGACGATCGTGTGAATCTCGGTACCGTGTGCGCATCAACAGCATCAAATGTGAGCCAAGATCAACTGGAATGGAAATGACGGGAAACGCCGTGCTCTGAACATCGGCCGCCACGATTCTCTCGATTCTGTGACACGGTCTCGACGGTGTTGCAGATTTGTGGCCAGTGGGGAGCGATCTGGACGATTATGAAGCAGCTCATTTGCTCAGCGGGTCGTAGAATGGACAAGGAATGCTGATGATGCTGGAGAACGGGGGGGAATGAGGGGAGCGCTGAAAAAAAGGTGGGCAGAATTGTGGAAAGAATTGTGGAAAGAATTGTGGGACAAGAGATGAAGGTCGTCGTCGCCAAGACGTACCTTTTAGTGAAGCAACGTTGATAGCATGCTGCCCTACTTCTGTACCAAGTAAGCAATGCAAATGGTGGCCAGATGGGACGAACAGACAAAGTCGTCGGCCATTTTCGCCTCCCCCCCTTTTCTTTGAACCCCAGAGTTCCTTAACCACCGGCTCACCCGCTGAGCCGCGTTGAAAAGAAGGGGAAATCGAAAAAGGGATGTACCAGGAATAGGCGATCGATAAAGGGGTAGCCTAAGAAAAGCACTCTGACAATGACTGGTAAGAAATATCTTAGTTCGTGGTGAGAAAGAAAAAGCACAAAAAAGCCTAAACAAAAACTGGCCAAGGCAATTTCCAGTCACCATTTCCAGCGCGACGGCCCACAAGATGGACAGGGGCCAGGAACGCTAGAGCAAAGATACAGAATGTTAAACAAAGAATGCTTAGGTCGTAATTACAAGTCGTATTTCGCATGTTCCGCGTTTTTTCTTTTTTTTTTTTTTTTTTGGTCGTATTCACTAATTATCCCATCCACCCTACCCCTTTTGAGGCTGACTGCCCCTAAGGAGAAGGGGTCAGCTGATAATAGCACAAGCAACCGAAATTCAATTGCGAGTCTGTAATAAAAGGGTCGTCAGCGGCCATCAGACTTGACTTTACACCTCAGTGTTTTGCATCCCTGTTTCGTTGCCGACATTTTCAATCCCAGGCGCGCCAGTACGAAGTAGACAGGAGATCGCTTTCTCTTTCAACACCAGGCCAAGAAAAGAGGACGAAGGGCAGCAAACAAGCAGAACCCAGACGAGCCAGAGTTCACCCGCCAAGCCCAGTGGAAGCGAAGGATACAGGGGTGTGAAGTGCACAAGGCCAGATCTGGATATTCTAGCCAGCCACGTTCTGGACCGTGATAAATTGTCTCCCCCTCCAGATGCAGCCCCTGATAATCCCATTTTTGTGGTAAGATAGCAACTGGGAACAACCTATCATAAATTCGGAGTAGAGTTCGCAAGTTTGACAGGTTGCACGCATCAAATTAGAAACTGTAGGTGTCACTACTTCTCGCCAATTTGATTTTGACCGACAATGAGGGAGAAAAGAAAGACAACGAAACAGGGAACAGAACCGCGCCAGGGAGAGAACTGGCACATCTGTCCAGTTTACCGCGTAATTAAATTGTATCGCCATGAGACACTGTGCTGAGTCTATCCTGCTTCTGGCCTTGTAAATTCTTCCGCCGTGCGTCGTACAAAACATCCAATTTGGAAGGCAACAGAGACTTGCAGCCATTCAGTTGCAACAAGTTCCAATACGGCAATGTCTATCCATTGTCTCAGACCCCCGTGCCACAATAGCACAAGTCTCGGTGAGCTCTGTGTGACATCCGGGTCGAACTGACTCCAGTCCTATCTTTGTGTCCATTATCCATACGGTCAACCACGACGATGCGATGCACCGTCCCCATGTACCACGTAGCTGCAAAGCAAAAAAGGGCATGTAACCCGGTGCAGGGTCTTGCTCCGTGTTACAAACACATGTCGAACAACGTGCGAATGAACTACGGCAGCTACCAAGAGGCGAGAGTTGGTACTCTGCCTTCTGTGGCGTCGCTACATGGTCGAGTCTGGGGAAGCTGCTCTTCGTCACCGCTGTGCCCCATTTGGTGCACTTGTTGGCGGCCATTGGCGGGACATGTCAAACGTTAAACGTACATTGTCAAGACCAAAGTCGAATAATTGTCTCGGCAATCGGCTCTGCACATGGCCTGTGTCGCAATACGAGAAAGAAATCTACATGTACGGGTGGACTAACCATAGAAAGGCTGGGTGAAAGAGGAAAACAAGGTTAAAGCTTAATTTGGATACGAGGACCTTGTGCTTTGAAAGAAAAGAGAAAAAGCCTCAGGACCAATCCAGACATGGTAACGGGTATCGTATGATCTCCGGGTGTATTTCAAGTGTTTTTTTTTTGGTCCATCAATTTTCCCCAGGTTTTGTTAATTTATTAGAAAATGTAGAAAAAGGACTTTGTTAGCAGCATCAAAAATAACAATAAAAATAAAGATGATAGTACAAATAAAAAATAAAAAATAAAAAATAAAAAATAAAAAATAAAAAATAAAAAATAAAAAATAAAAAATACACGTATTGCTATTAAAGTATTTAGAGGAAATTTTCCACTTAACTTCACAAAAATGCATAAAAATTCCGTAGCAAACCAAATCGATATTTCATCTCGTACAAAAGCACAGAATGACAAAATAACAATAATAATCATGACAAGCCAGACCAAGGGCAATGGTACGAGCGCAGGCAGCACAACCTCTACATCGTCCCCGACAGCAACGGCGTCGCCTGTGTTAGGTCCATAGTGCTGACACCCTCATCACCGTCTGCGTGCTTCTTGCACCCAAACACCGCAGCCCCAATGTCGGCCTCCTCAGCGGCCGCCGGCACTCGCTGTACAGCTCGCTGGCTCATATGGCGTGGTTGATTTGCTGGCCTCAACATTTGACTCAATGACCATCGGATGCTGACTGCATCTTTTTCAACACCTCCGCCAATCCGGCAAAGTCATCCAGAACGTAGCCATCGTTTTCCCGCACCAACAGTTCGTCGTCCGTTTCGTCCAAGTCGTCCGTCCACCGCCGAATGTACACCGTCCGCAGCCCCACTGCCTTGGCCGCGCGCAGATCGTACGCATGCGCCGCCACCATGACCGCTCCTCCCGGACCGTCGCGGCCGAGGCCCACCAAGTCGAGTGCTCGCTTGTAGATCTCGGGCGTTGGTTTGGCCACGCCCAGCAGCTGGCTCGAAAAGAGCATGTCGATGACGGGCGCCAGGCCCGACGAGCGAACAAGGTCCAGCTGCAAGCGCGTGGTGCCGTTGGCGAGGACGAAGACTTCGACTCCCAGCTGCTCGCGGACCGCTGCGAGCCCTGCATACACGTCTTGCCAGGCCGTCATTTGGTGCCATGCTTGAACGGCCTCTGTGATGCTTGCGTCCGAGAAAGCGTGGGCAACATCGGTGCGCGGCCCCTCCTCCAGCAACCGCCTTAACAGCCGCTCGTGGACCACATCAATGTCTTCCGGGGCCTCACCGGGGGGCCGGCTGCGGATGTCGTCGAAAAATGCCTGCCGCCACACCAAGGCCAAATCCGACCGGGCTTCTTCTGTGAGTGACGCCGGCAGTGCACGGACAACGCTGCTGTGCCAGTCCAGGCAGGTGCCCATAAAGTCGAGGAAGACGGCCCTGATGGGGGGCGCCGAAGCTGGTTGTGACATGTTGGTCAGTTTTGTGTGTGTGTGTGCATGTTTTCTTTGTCGTGGTGGAGAATGATGGCACAGTATTTATGGTGTAGCCGCTCTTCGGAGAATGACTAGATTTCGTACATGCAAAGCAGAAGCCAACTTACCAACCGTCGGACTTTTTGCCAGCAAGACTAACCCGGGCTGGATGGTCAGCGTCTGTTGTCGATGGATTTGGTGGGTTTTTGCGTCTGTGTAAAATACAAATAAGTTGTCAAAGTTCGTCACATGATTTTGACATCATGTGTACAACGTTCAGCTCACATAATTCGCAACAGTCGAACTAGGAAAAAATTTCCAACCTACTCTTCCAGGCAGCCACAAACAATATTCTGCTCTCCGACCACCACCAGCCCTGACTCATCGAAACCATTTCTAATCTCAATTTTTTTCGTCGCTTTGATCATCGTTTAGTATGGAGGAATACTTCGCACAAGCAAATACCGGCAGCGTTCTGGGCGGTGCTGGTTACTACACGACAGAAGTCCATTTGCGAAAGGAAAATCCGGCAGCGTTTTCTCCCTCTGATCAAGCTGTATAGGAACAGCATACGAGCGAGACAAGCAACACGATGGCAACAGATTCGACGCCCGCCTCTTTGGAAACTACGATGGAGAACGAAGACTCACCGCATCCCGACATTTTGTTTACGAGCGTCGAAGATATCCTAGTGTCTCTGGCCAACCTTGACAAAAACCAAGATGTATTTTGCGTCGGTGATGTATCCCCCGAAACTTTTCGCGATATCGAAGCGGAGCGTGATCGCCAGGGAAAGAAGTTTGGCCTTTTCTACCAACCTGCGTATGAAGCGGTCATTATCACGGTTCCAACGCTCGGGCATTCCAATATGCATACAATACTCTACGATATGGTTCGAGATAGTCTGAGAGACATGACAGCCCACATCGGATGGATGTCGCTAAGCACAACGACATTCGATGCAACGAATGGCTCTTCAGGACAAGCTGACTCGGCTGGCTGGCCGATTGACAGCCGCAACGCAGGCGACTGGCCAACGCTGGTCGTCGAAGCCGGTTTCTCGCAGACCTTGCCGTCTCTTCGGGCCAAGATGCGCTGGTGGTTCTCGGCATCTGACCACCAAGTCAAGATGGTCGTGCTTGTAAAGATGGACGCCTCGCACGAAACCATCTGCATCGAAAAGTGGGTGGAACGGCCCAACCGTCCAGGAGCCACGACGACGCGCCAGGTTACGCGTGCTGGTTTGCGGGCGCCCGAACCCTTCTGTGACCAATCAATCAATATTACTTGGACAGGCCCTGCTCCCATTATGGATATGTCGAAGCAAGACCGGACGCCGGCACGCTTTCGCGTCAGTGGCGCCCCGTTGGTGATTGGATTTGCAGAAGTTTACCTTCGTGCCCCTACCGTCGGAGAGCACGATATCGCCATTACCGATGTGGACCTCCAGAATTATGCCAGCCTTATCTGGAAATATATCGTTTGAGTGATGGGGATTTTTACGTTTGTTTAGTGATACGCGGTGTCGTGCCCACAAATAGCTTGTGTAGACACGTTTGGTTCTGTTGAATTACTATCAAAGAGTTTTTTAATAATCGTTACTGGTTACGGTAACCTGATACTTTGTCGGCCAGCTTAGTTGGGAGTTGCTGTAAATACGACCATGTTTTTTCTTCCTTTAGAAGGGACCATTGAATTCCAAGCGAGTCTCGTCCCAAACTGCTGCTGGGCAGTCTGCCCTCTTGCCAACGCCAATTCGATGTTTTGGTTAGTTCTGTGCGCCTTTCTTTTTTTTTTTTTTTTTTTTTTTTTTTTTTGCATATAATGTAGCCTGCAGCCGAGTATTCGGTGACAGAATTTGGTGTCAGTGACTCGCTCCCTAACTGTTGCATTTCTGACAGCAAGACTAATCCAGACTGAGTTTGGCCTTCGGACAATGGACAACGGCTAACGTTCCCCTCTTTGACCATTTCCTCTTTTGGCGATTGATACGTTCTTCGGACAATCGTTGCGCCATCGGAGATTGTCTCTTAGCGCCTTCCGGCACGACACCCGACGACACAAGCCGTGGCTTCCCAAACAAGACGCCTGGCAAACACTGGTCGTGCTTTCCCCGGTAAACGGTTTGCCTCTCTCGTCCAAGATAAAGATGTAAACAAGGGTCGCGTTTGCTTGCATATTTTGTCTAGTCCGACTGTCCGATGCAAACCAAAATAATCACAATCTATGCGACAACAGGCCACTCCCACCATTCTCCTCGCCCAGCACGTGCGCATACCCCGTCAGGATGCAGACATCTCCGAACGATCCATCGGCCGAAGCGGGCGCTGAAGCTATCATGTCCATGGCCTTGGGCGTAGGGATGGGTGCAGGCGTTTCTGAAGGCATTTTTGACGGTGTTTCAGAGGGCGTGCTGACACCCCGGCGACGCGGCCGTATTGCCAAGGCGTGTTCACAATGCCATACTAGGAAGCAGAAGGTAGGTGATACCGCTCCCCTGTTCGGTCACACATTCCGTGATCACCACTGACGAGCAGTGCGACGGAACCATCCCGTGCCACAACTGTAGTCTCCGACAGGTCCAGCACCTCTGCCGGCCGCGCGTGCTTCGTGACGAGCAACGCGAAGAGCAGAGCAGTCGCCGACGGACACGGCGGGCCGCTGCTAGAACGGGGCGACCACCGCCACGACCAAGACCGCTACGTCACGGTCGTGCCGGCAGTCCACCCGCGTCACCATCCCATCCTCTCACTCCGGCGTCGGCCATCACGGCCGGAACTCCTAACACGAGCGCGGCACCTGGTTTGGACAAAGCAGGTGGTTTTGGGTCTGGCCTTGCTGAGAACACGATAGAGAACACGACGGCGCCCAGATCGACATCGGCACGGGCGACAGTTGAGGACGCCGAAAACTCACAATCTCTCGAGGTTCAACCGGGCAACATTGACGAGGGCCGCCCACAACCACGTAACAGCTCTGGGTCGACGTCTGTCTCCGGCGCCGGGTCCACCAGTCAGCCGGGGCCGACCAGTGCAAGCACGACCACCAACACCGGTGCAGGCAATGTCGCCCCGCTGGGCCAGCTGTGGAAATCACGCGGCGCCCCCACGTTCTTTGGCAGTTCCTACTTTGGACCGCAGGCGGCGGCTGCTCTGCTCGACACGTCCGCGCCGTATGTCCAGCCAGGTGCCAACATGTCCCTCAGAAGCTCGATTGCGCGGCCGTTCCGTGACGAGGGCGGGCCCTTTTCCCAACTTTGGGATTTGCTGGGGATGCTGCCGCGGCAGAGAAGTACAGTCGACCGTCTTGTCGACCAGTTCTTGGCCAATGTGAGCGTCACCGCCGACGCAGTGCACCCGGCCTCGTTCCGCCGCGAGTACGAGCGCTTTTACTCGCGGAGGGCCGGCTTCGACGATGTCACGACGGTCGACATCCGCTGGCTGGCGCTGCTATTTATCGTCCTCGCCATTGGCACCTACTTGGACTGCCCGGGCGGCGCGCCACCAGAAGTGCAGCGCGAGTACGAGGACGCGTCGATGAGTTTCTTCTGGGCGTGCCGGCGGGCCATTGTGATTGCCCCGTCGTTCTACGGGGAGAGCACGGATCTGGTGCGGGCGGGTATCCTGACCACGCGGTACTGTCTGTTCTCGCAGCGCATCACCGAAGGCTGGCTGACGGTGGGCTTCGCATCGCGGCTCGCCATTGCGCAGGGCGTCCACATTGATGGCACCCACTGGAAACTGCCACGGCGCGTGACCGAGGCCAGGCGGAGGCTGTGGTGCCACCTGTACCTGCTGGACCGGATGATTTCCTTGGCACTGGGGCGTCCTTATTGCATCCTGGACAACCTGAGCCTGACGCAAGAGCCGGAAAACGTGTTTCTCGACGATCTTGGGCACGACGAAGCAAATGCCGCGCGGGCGGAACCGCTCACCACGCATCCCACACCCAGCGTCCTGGCCATCTTTTCGTACAGGCTGGCCCGCATCATTGGCCGCATCCAGGAACAGACCTTTGGCCTCCGCGCGGCGTCGTACCGCGAAGTCATGCGCCTGGACGCGCAGCTGCTCGCCTGGAAGCAGTCGTTGCCGGCCTACTTTGCCTTGGAGGACACGGATGTTTCGTTGGACAGCAGCCGTCCCTTTTTGAAATGGCACCGCCTTTACCTCCATACTGCATTCCACTTCTCCCGCATCACACTGCACCGCCCCTACGCCTGGCGCATTTCCGTCACGGATCAGCACCGCTACAGTCGGGAGGTATGCTATGCATCGGCGTGTGCCGACCTCAAGACGCGGTTGGAGCACGACGTCGCGGGCGAGGGTCGCGGCGGGCCGGCCGACCACTACGTCTGGTGTCTCGGGGCGCCGCAGCTGTTCAACAGCGCTATTGTTCTCGGGTTGCTGGCCATCCAGGAGCAACCAAGACCGTTTCCCAGGACGTTTCCACGCACTGGGGGATCCGTGGCACAACGGACGAAGAGGTCACAGAATGAAAACGTAAACCAGACGCGGGTCGACATCCACCCCGTCGTCAACGACTTGCAAGCTTTCTGCGACAAGGAGCGCAACGAGATCTGGGTCAACGACTTCCGGCTCGCCGAAGTCAAGGTGGCAGAGCTGTGCATTGAACGGTTACGGAGACGGGCGGGACTGGGAGAGACACAGGAAACGTCTCTGCCACCACAAGAGTATCCGCAACCGCCAGAGCCAGGGCCAGAACGTGAGCCAGAACCCGAACCGGAACCCGAACCCGAACGAGAACCTCCAGCTGCTGAACCGGCAGCCCCCATGCCCGCACACGCCTCTGCACCTCTCCAACCCGGCCTCAATGCCGGTCTCAACGGCTTCCCAACAGGAGGCACGCCCGCCAACGCGTGGCAACCGCTGCTGCAAGACATCTCCCTCTCACCGTGGGATCCGAACGCGGCATGGCTGGGCACAGACTTTCGGCTGAGAGCCAGCGGTGAGCCGCCCTTCTCAGAAGCCTTTTCGTTTCCGGGGCCGACGGACCTGGTGACGTGGCAGGACATGATTGATGCCATTGATAGTCAGCAATACGACGGGCCTGTGCCATTGGGACTAGCAGACTCGTCGTAGAGAGAAGATTAAGTATGTAATATAATTTAAAATACTATATGCTACTTTCAGCTGCTCTCCGTCTCTCTGCATTCCAGTACTGGCGTCTTGAGATGCCCCCTTGCTAGTCCGCTTTCTACATTCTCCAGCATGAGTGCCTCCATGGCCCGACGAGTCTCCTTGGTGGCTGTCCCAATGTGCGGCAAGAGGACAGTATTCTCGTTTCGGAGGAGACCCGGATGCACGTGTGGCTCGTTTTCAAACACGTCCAGACCGGCACTCCAGACATGCCCGCTCTCCAGAGCGTCGACCAGCGCCGCCTCGTCCACTACCGGCCCGCGCGCTGTATTGACAAAGACGACGCCGGCCTTCATCTGCGCAAACTCGGCGGCGCCAATCAAGTGGTGCGTCGCGTCCGACAGAGGGACGTGCACCGAGACGACGTCGCTGGTGCGGAGCAGCTGAGCGAGCGTGGTCACGTACGTCGCACGGACACCTTTGTCGTTGAGGAACGCATCTGCGGCCGGCCGCCGGTTGTGGTACTGCACCTGCATGCCAAACGCCGCGGCGCGCTGGGCGACGGCCGCGCCAATGCCGCCCAACCCAACAATGCCGAGCGTCAGCCCGGCCGGGTCGCGTCCCAGCGGGAGCCGGAAGCCAGGCTGCGTCCATTGTCCCTCCAGAACGGCCGCCTGGGGAATGCGGGCCCGCCGCAGCGCGGCCAGGAGGAGCAAGAGCGTGGTGTCGGCCGTGGCCGCATTGACGACGTCTGGCGTGTTCGACACGGCGATGCCGCGGGCGCGGCATGCGGCCACGTCGACCTGGTCGTAGCCGGCGCCGTTGTGGCATACAAACCGGACCGACGGCGGGAGCCGGTGGACCAGTTCGGGGTCGAAGCGGCCGGTTAACGCAACCGAGTCGACGGAGCGGCCGATGGCGACGACGTTGTCGTAGCGGCCGGCGGCACAGTCCGCGAAGAAGGACGCTCGCGTGACGCCGGACGCAAGGACATGGACAGTGTACGCCCGCTGCAGACGGTCCAGGACATCGGTGGCGTGGTGGACAGCGCCGAGGATGAGTGCCTCGGGCAGGCCAGTGTGGTCGATGGAGCCCATTGTCTGATGGTCGGTGATGATGTGTCGTTGGCGGCCGTTTTTGACAATGCTGTGGCTTATATGATGCTATCGGCCAAAGAAAGATGCAAAGGGAATACAGGTCCAGTCACAAGCATAGATATATGGTGCATACAGGGGCCGGTGTCGGTCACTGCGCAACTCTGCACTATTCCATCGGACAATAGGTATTACGTACGTTCTCGTATTATTTGAAAGGTGGACACACAGGATCCAAAGTGGCGTGTCCTCCGAAGTGAGTGACAAGAAGGTCACAAAAGGAGTTATTCAGGGGTGATATTGTCATGTACTTCTGCAGTCACCTTCATAATCTCAATGGACATGCAACTCTGCCAAATGATTCTGAGTTTGAACATTATGTACAGTTATTCACCGAGTCCTCTCCTTACATCTGCGTTGACCTCCCCTCCTCCTCTCCTCCTCTACTTCTGGTTCTCCACTGGCACCAATTTAACAAACTGCAGACAGCCTTCTGACGATGCCTGGTAGGGCCCATGCTTCATGCCAGGTAAGCGGTAGGCATAGCTCCCCGGACCCCACCCCTGTCCGAGCGTCACATCCGTGAGTCCGCCCTGGATAAAGCACACCTCCTCAATGTACGTGTGTGTAATGACGGCCACCGGGTCGACGGACCGCGTGTTGGGCTCGTACCATTGGAGGACCGCCTTGTTGTCGGAGGCGGGATCGCCGTTCAGCTGCAGTTCCCAGATGCCCGGGCCGATGTTGTACCACTGGTCGGGGCGGCCATCGCCGGTGGTGCTGGCGGCGATGGCGTCGGCGAGGGAGACGGGCGCGGCGCCAATGGGAGGGTGGGCCGGCCGGGTAAAGAATTCTTTTTGGACAAAGGCCATTGTTTGAGGTGAGGTGAGGTGATGGTGATGGTGATGGTGACAGTGACGAGGAACGAAACCGGTGGAGAATGCAAGGTACGTGGGATTTTGTTGCGACGATGGACGAGTGACACGGTCAACAAACATTGACAGTCTACGAATGTCACGATATATAAGTTTGTCGATGTTTCGGCAACTCCATACGCTTCGGACAATTGGACGTGTCGAGGACACTAGCGCTTCCCCGCTTTCGTCTTTGCATTGTCCGATCACTTAATCTTTCATCTGTGGAGTCGTTGATAGCGGCGAGTCGTCAACCCGACTAAACGGAACATCCCAAGATAGGCGTATCCTACACTAAACCCCAGGCACTGCACTAGGATGGGAATAGACGCTCCTTAGCGCAATGAAACCGGGAAGGTGAGGAGGCAGGGGAAGGAGAAGAGACGACGACGGATGAGGATGATACGATACGAAGTGCCAAAGACCCCGTGGTCACTGGTCTCTAGATATAAAGATCAAGGTCGACTTTGACCTTTGAGGTGGGACGTGATCGGCTGGTGGATGTTTCTTTCCTACGTCGCTCATACCGTGTCCCTTTTATTTCATCCATCACTCTACTTGGCTACTGCATTCCTCTTTACTTGCTTACTACTTGGCATCGCCTTTTATGGACGACAAAAAGGACTCCGTCATGATGGGGACTCCCAACGCCGGCGACGACCTCGAAAAGGTGGACAGCCAGGCCAAGGCGCAGGTCGAGGACGTCCACACGGCAGGCGACCACGGCCACCTCAACCGCGGCCTCAAGGAGCGCCATGTGCAGTTTATAGCCATTGGCGGCACCATCGGCGTGGGCCTGTTTGTGGGCATCGGCAACGCGCTGGCGACGGGCGGCCCGCTGTCGCTGTTCCTGGGCTACCTCTTCACGTCCATGGCCATCTGGGCCATGATGCAGGGCGTCGGCGAGATGGCGTCGCTGCTGCCGCTGCCGGGCATGATTGCGCAGAGCTGCACGCGGTTTGTCGACCCGGCCCTGGGCTTTTCCGTCGGCTGGAACCAGTGGTACAACTGCGCCATTGCCATCGCCGGCGAGACGGCCGGCGCCGTCCTGCTGGTGCAGTACTGGACGGACATCAACCCGGCGGCGTGGATCTCCATCATCCTGGTGTTGGTCTTTGCGCTCAACTTCTGCGCCGTCGCCATCTACGGCGAGGCCGAGTTCTTCTTTGCGTCGCTCAAGATCGTCACGATCATCGGCCTCCTGATTCTCGGGCTGGTGCTCGACCTCGGTGGCGGCCCCAGCCACGACCGCATCGGCTTCCGCTACTGGGTGCACCCGGGCGCGATGAACGAGTACATTGCCACGGGCAGCACGGGCCGCTTCCTGGGGCTGTTCAGCACGCTCATCAGCGCTGCCTACGCGTTTGGCGGCGCCGAGCAGGTGGCCGTCGCGGCGGGCGAGACGCACAACCCGACGCGCGCCATCCCACAGGCCGTGCGCCGCGTGCTGTGGCGCCTGGCCCTCTTCTACGTCCTGGGCGCCTTCTTTGTCGGCCTGCTCGTGCCGTCCAACGACCCGGACCTCGTCAGCGGCAGCGGCGTCAAGGCGTCGCCTTGGGTCATTGCCATCCAGTCGGCCGGCATCCCCGTCCTGCCGCACCTCATCAACGCCGTCCTCATCACGTCAGCCGCGTCGTCGGCCAACGCCAACCTGTACACGGGCTCGCGCTACCTGTTCGCCATGGCCCAGCAGCGCCAGGCGCCGCGGTTCCTGCTCGCCTGCAACCGCCAGGGCGTGCCCTACTACTGCGTCGGCGCCACCGCCGTCTTTGGCCTGCTGGCCTACATGACGGTGTCGTCGGCGTCGTCCAACGTCTTCCACTGGCTGTCGGGCCTCGTCGCCACCAGCTACCTGCTGACGTGGACGTGCCTCTGCTACGCCTACACGCGCTTCCGCCGCGCCCTCCTGGCCCAGGGCATCGAGCGGTCGTCGCTGCCCTTCCGGGGCCCCGGGCAGCCGTACACGGCCTGGTTCGGCCTCGTGTTTTTTGTCGTCGTGCTGCTGTTCAACGGCTTTGCCGTCTTTACGCACGGCAACTGGAACGCCCAGAACTTTGTGTCGGCCTACGTCGGCATCCCCATCTTTGCCGGCTTCTTCACGTTCTGGAAGCTGGTGAAAAAGACCAAAATGGTCGCCCTCGACGAGATGGACCTGTACACGGGCCGCGTCGAAGGCGACGAGCGCGACAGCCCGCAGCAGAAGCAAAAGACCCAGTTGCAGAAGATTCTGTCCAAAGTCTTGTAGACACAGATGTGGAGACAACGAGACGTGGGGAATGCTGAGCGAATACGGAGAAATATGGGGGATGATGGGGATGATGGGGATGATGGGGAAGATGGGCCACATGGAGCAGTTAATACTACAACCGCTGATAGGTGGTCATCTTCGTCGTAGCAGACCAAATGCATCTCATTTCCAAGACATCTACTTGCACGGACACTTGACGTTGGATACGTTGTACGCCGTAGTTTCCCCATACTTTGTCCCCATACTTTCCATGTGAGCTTATGTGGGGTGCAGATACATCAAGTCGTGTGACGGCCGTGGACTGCCGGGGTCTGCCGGGGGCTGGGAAGAACGTCTCGGACAATGGAGAATGGGAATGGGAATGGGAATGGGAATGGAGAGACGGCGCCATATGGTTGATGGGCTTGCACTAGCTCTGTTTGATATTGGACTTTTATACCGATTTGAAATTCGACTGATTTCTTATTGCCGATGGGACAAGTCCGACCTGATGCAGCTTGCAGAGTCCGAATAATAGAACAAGTAGCTAAGCTGATGCGACTATCATCCAACAGTTCTTTTTTTTCCTTTTTAGTTCCACCCCTTCACAAGCGATCTTCGCGGACAAACGGCCACGGGCAAACCCACATGTATGTACAATAGGATCATTTTCCGTCCGATATAGGAGCCAGATGGTAATGTGCTTAAGAAACCAGAATATTCACTTTATACAAACATGTTTGTAGACTTGCAAATGTACAACCAAACACTGGCACATCCACCATCATCACGTCTTGCTCAACCTACCAAACACCATGACCATTCCCTCGACCGAATCGCTCGAGGCCGAGCAGGCGTCATTTGACGCCACCGTCCGCGACATTGAGGCCTGGTGGGCGACGCCGCGCCAGCAGCATGTGCAGCGGCCGTGGACAGCACGCACCGTCGCGGCCCTGCGCGGCTCGCAGACGCTGCCGTGCGTGTCGTCGCCGGCGGCCCTCAAGCTGTGGGCGCTCCTCAAGGACCACCACAAGAACAAGACGTCCGAGCTCACGTTTGGCGCCACGGACCCCGTGGGCGTCAGCCAGATGGCCAAGTACATGCGCACCGTGTACGTGTCGGGAGGCCTCTCGGGGTTTTCCGAGAACGCGTACCCGGGCATGGACCACGCCGACTATCCCTGGGACACGGTGCCCAAGGTGGTCGACAAGATCTTCCGGTCGCAGGTGTGGCACGACCAGCGGCAGCGGCAGTACCGCATGTCGCTCCCCGCGTCGGAACGCGCCGCCGCCGAGCACTGGGACTACCTGATGCCGATTGTGGCCGACGGCGACATGGGCTTTGGGTCGCTGACGGTTGGCATGAAGGCCGCCAAGGCGCTGGCCGAGCTGGGCGCGGCGGCCATCCACATCGACGACCTAGCGCTAGGCCTCAAGAAGTTCACCACGGGCCAGGGCCGGACGGTCGTGCCGACGTCCGAGTACAGGGACCGCGTCAAGGCCATCCGGCTGCAGCTGGACGTGCTGGGCGCCGAGACGCTGATTTTTGCCCGCTGCGACACGGACCACGCCGAGTTCATCACGAGCGTGGCCGATGCGCGGGATCACGCGTACGTCCTCGGCGCGACGAACCCGGCCTTTCTCGACAAACAGTACACGCTGCAGCAGGCCATCGCGGCGGCCGCCCAGGCAGGTCAGTCGGCGGCCGACGCGCGCGCGTCGTGGATGCAGGAGGCCGGCCTGGCGACGTTTGACGAGGCCGTTGCGGCTGCCGCCACCGCTGCCGGCGTGCCAGCAGACAAGGTGGCCGCGTACACGGCACGCACGGGCTACGGCACCTCGCTCCAGCAGCGCCGCGCGGCCGCCCAGTCTGTGCTCGGCCTCGACGTGCCCTTTGACTGGGAGCTCCCCCGCTCGGCGCAGGGCCAGTACCTCTTCCGCCAGACCGTGCAGACCATTGTCGAGCGGGCCCTCGTGGTGGCGCCCCTCTCGGACCTCTCCTGGGCGCGCATGGACCAGCCCAACTACCACGACCTCAAGGCTTACCACGAGGCCGTCACCGCCGCCCTCGGCCCCGACCGCATGTTTGCCTTTGCCTGGGGCGGCGAGTGGCCGTTTCCCGCCAGCGCCGGCTGGACCGACGAGCGCCGCAAAGAGGCGTCCCAGATCCTGTCCGACTGGGGCGTCGTCTGGCAGGTCCAGCCAATGTACATGATCCAGGGCGTCAACATGGAGATTGAGCGGGCGGCGGCGCTGTGGACGGACGGCGGCATGGGCGCCTACTACGAGCAGATCCAGACGCCGGCCGTCACGCGCACGCCCTACAAGGTCGACGGCTACGAGAAGATGACCTGGTGCGGCGGGCACCTGAGCGACGCCTTTTTCTCTGCCGTTGCCGGCGAGGAGATTGCCAAGAAGTGAGGGGAGCCGCGAGAATGGCCCAGCGGAACCAAGGGTTGTCATGGGTTGATTCAGGAGAGTGGTTCAGTTGGGCGTCAAAATTTGACGACGAATTTAAATAAGAGAAAATAAAACAATAAATGTAAAACGACATCTTGGGTGACTCCATGCTACATGTGTCGTCTTTTGATGGTGCGCTGGTAAGGTGGCCAATAAGATTCGGGCGTTGCACAAGGAGCGCTGTACTTTGTTTCAGTGTGACCGCGACATCTTTACCTCCTGTTGTCAAAGCAGTGCCACGACGTCACGAACGGTATGATGCGACCATTGACGCCGCGCCGATGGGACACCGAGACAAAGGAGCGCTTTGCCGCCCTGCGCACGTTGTTCGCGCTCCACGAGAACTACAAAGAACCCCAGCCGCCGGTGCTCACCCACGGCGACCTCAGAGCCAACAACATCCTGGCCGACGGCGACACGGTCACAGGCATCATCGACTGGGAGACGGCCGCATGGATGCCGGCGTATTGGGAGTACACCAACGCGTGGCACGTCAATCCCTACAACCCGTACTGGCAGGAGGAGGTGGACCGATTTCTGGAGCCGAGGCCGCAGGAGCTGGAGATGGAAAAGCTGCGTCGTTGATTTTTTGACCAGGTTTGTGTTGTCTTGCCCTCTGACCAGATTTCTCCGAATTAGCTCGCATTCGGTGTGGCGCCAATGTCCGATTCCGCTCTGAGTCGTCTAATCCGAAGATGAAGCACAAGCACAACCCTGCCGAAACCTGGCTATTGTCCGCACCTGCTCCGTCCGGTGTCGCAGCCAAATTGTTTGTTGCTGTGACACTTTGTGGCACAAAATATCTGGACATCCCGAGCTCACAGGAGAGTAGCTGCTTGACAACATACCAACCATCGACAGACCCCAATCAACGCATTGTCATTACTTGCTATCCTCACAATGGTCTACCCTGAAGAAAACAGGACGTGGCAGATCCTCGACGCCGCACGCAAAGGCGGTTATGCCGTCGGTGGCTTTTGCGTGTAAGCTCACCTCTACAGTGGCATGTGCCAATCGCTCCACCCCACTAACAGCCACCAGGTACAACGTCGAGGGCGTCCTTGCCGTCATCCGCGCCGCCGAGCGCTGCCGCTCCCCGGCCATCATCCAGCTCTTCCCCTGGTCCATCCACTTCCAGGGCCCGGCCTTTGTCCGCTACGTGGCCGACGTCGCCCACGCCGCGGCCGTGCCGGTGGCCGTCCACCTCGACCACTGCCTGCAGCCCGCGGACGCGGACCGGGCGCTCGAAGAGTGCGCCTTCGACTCCATCATGGTCGACGGGTCGCTGTTTGAGGAAGAAGAAAACATTCGCTACGTCAAGGGCATCGTCGAGCGCGCCGCCCGGCAGAACGTCACCATCGAAGCCGAGCTGGGCCGCATGGAGGGCGGCGAGGACGGCATCCCGTTCCTGGAGCTCGAGCAGGTCCTCACGAAGCCGCAGGACGCGGCGCGCTTCGTCCGCGAGACGGGCACGCACTTTCTGGCGCCCAGCTTCGGCAACGTGCACGGGCCCTATGGACCGGGCGGCGCCGAAGCGTGGTGGCAGCTGGACCGTTTGCGGCAGATCCACGAGGCCGTCGGCACGGACGTGCCGCTGGTGCTGCACGGAACGCACCCGCTGTCCGACGCGCTCATCCACACGTCGATGCAGCTCGGCATGGTCAAGATCAACCAGAACCGCAACGTGCGCCTGGAGTACCACAAGTTTGTCGAGGACCACTGCGCCACCAAGGAGCTGACGGCGCTGCAGAGCGAGGGCGTCGAGGTCTACTCGCGCGAGATTGAGCGCATGATGCACGTCTTCAAGTCGGCAGGGAAAGCATAGGCGTGGTGGGGGTTGTCCATAATCAAAAGGGGAAAATAAAGGACAGCGATGTTGTTTACTATGACAGACCTGAAGCCGTAAATACAAACAAGCTGCTGTGGTCCTCCGTCAAGCAGAGCTGACTATGCTAAACCCAAATAGGAAATTGCTCGCCAGCCACACAGTGGGTGGGGCGCTCCTCGTTAATATCATGTGAGGTCGAGTGTCAAACGTATGTCGTCTCCGCACTCTTTGCAGACTGCGCCCAGCATCAGCAGCTTGACCAGCAATCTGTGGATAGATAACACTGATCATTACTTTATTACTTTCTTTTCACTTCTTGCATTTCTCCCACCTTGGACCTCTTCGCCTCCCATGGCCAACGCCCTCGTCATCGGCGGCATCGTGGCCGCCGTACTTGGTCTGCTCACTCTCGCGTTCCCGCTGTTCTTGGCCGAGTACTTCCCTGTGCAGTTGCTGTGGAAGCAGCGCAGCGGCCGGCCCACGGTGCGGACTGCGTCGTACGCCGGACGCACAGCCCTGGTGACGGGCGCCAATGGCGCGTACGGCTCGCGCGCGGCGACGCTCTTTGCGCAGCACGGCGTCGCGACGCTGGTGCTCGTCGATGTGCAGGACTGTGCCGGCGTGCAAAAGCAGATTGAGGCGGATCTGCGCGCTCAGAACAAGGCGGTGCCGACGATTCTGGTGTGGCAGATCGACATGATGAGCTATGCAGGCTGTCGAGAGCTGGCCAAACGCGCAGCGACCGTGGACCACCTCGACCACGTCCTCCTGACGGCCGGCATTCTCGCGTTCCACCGCCGCAAGTCGCCCGAGGGCTGGGAGTCTTCTGTCCAGGTCAATTTCTTGTCGACGGCGCTCATCGCCCTCCTCCTCTTGCCCCACCTCAAGGCCTCGCCCGGCAATCCTCAGCCGCCCGTTCTGACGTTCGTCACGTCCTTCGGCATCTACCCGTCGTCCTTCACCATGGGCCTGCCGCGGCAGCCCGGCGCGTCGTACCTGCGCCGCCTCAGCACAAGCCGTGACGGCCTGGCGCAGGGCCACCAGTACGGCCGCTCCAAGGGCCTGTTGCTGTACTTTGCGCGCGAGCTGGCGGCGCGCACGGCGTCTCGCGCAGCGACCGGCCAACAGCAGCCGCCGGCCGTCACCATCACCAGTGCCGACCCCGGCTCCGCCTGGACCCCACTCACCAGCCCCAACCAGGCCAAACTGATCCCCCGCCTCATCATGAACATCAGCGCCCGCGACCCCAGCTACGGGGCCGCCGCGCTCGTCAACGGCGCCTCTGCGCCGGCCGCGGCCAACGGCCAGATCCTGCACGACTTTGACGCGGTCGCCTATCCACCGTTCATGAACCGCCGCAGCGGCAGGGTGGCGCAGCAGCGCGTGTGGGACGAGGCCCGCCAGGAATTCGAGGCCAAGGTGCCCGAGGTCCACGCCGTGTATGCGTTGCTGGAGAAGAAGTAGGGTAGGGGTGTTGAGAAGGAACAACGAGTCAAAGGTAACCCTAGTGGATGACGATAATAAAGCAACTCTTTTATATTCATTCAATAGCAAGTATTATATCTATGACACAGTACAACTTATACCCCGACCACCGCTTAGCCCGTTGACGACGTAATGCCACCATCGACGACAATCGGCTGGCCGGTGATGTAGCGTGCCTGCTCCGACGCCAAAAACGCAGCCGCCATGGCCACGTCCCACGAGCTGCCCATGTGGCCCATGGGCACGGCGGCGTTGCGCTTCGCCTTGAACCCGGCCAGGTCCCCGCCGGCGTACTTGTCGGCCAGCAGCCCGACGAGCGGCGTGTCCATGAGGCCTGGCACCACGACGTTGAGCCGGATGCCGCGCGACGCATACAGCACGGCCGTCGCCTTGGTAAACTGGATGACGGCTGCCTTGGTCGCCGCGTAGGCCACCTGCGGCTTGCCAATGTAGCGCAGGCCGGCAATGGAGGCGACGTTGACCACCACACCGCCGCCGGCGCCGCCGTCCTGCTTCTCCATGAGGGGCAGCACGTGGTGGCAGCACAGGTACACCGACTTGAGGTTGACGTCCACCTGCGCGTCCCAGACCGCCTCGGCCATGTCGGCGGGGCCGCCCGGCTCCGAGCGGCCGACGTTGTTGACCAGAATGTCGATCCGGCCGTAGGCGGCGAGGCACGCCGCGACGGCGGCCTGGACGGACGCGTCCTGGGTGACGTTGGCGCTCACAACCTCAATTTCGCCGCCTTCGGCGCGGATCCGGGACTGGGTGTGCTGCGCGGCGGCCAGGCTCAGGTCACAGCCAAAGATGCGTGCGCCGTTGCGGGCAAGAATCCGCGCCGTGGCGGCACCGTTGCCCCACATGCTCTGGTCGCCGGTTTGGCCGATGCCGGTCACTGCGTCGATGGGTCAAGCAATGAGTGAGTGCGAGTGACGAGTTGACTTTGGACGAGAGCACAGACTTACAAAAGACGACCTTCCCTTTGATGTCGGGGTAGGTCGGGAACTGGACGTCGTCGGAGGCCATGGTGTTGTCGTGCGAATAAGATGTATATTGTGCTGTTGTGTGATGAAATGCACTCAATGTTCGTTCAGCATGCAGTGCAGTATGCATTGAAGAGAATAGATGAACTTCGTGCACTTATAAATGCTTGCCTTTTTTGCAGTTCTCACGACATCACCAAAGTCCAAGTAACTCCGAATGAAGAGAGCCACCCGATTTTCGGAACGATATAAGTGTACATTATTTTTTTAAAAAATAAAATAAAAATAAAGAATAAGGAAAAGTAATAAATATCGTATTATAATAATAAAACAACAGCACTTGCTACTTACAAGCTCACTAGGCCACATCCTCTGCGCTTTATCCGAAGGGCACTGTCCGACAATGTCCGTCGGCCAAACCGTCACCACTATTTCCTCATAACGCCCATTATCCGAACAATCCCCGCTTCCAAGCAATTGCGACGTCGGCTGGCATCAACACCAATGACAATGCCAGCACAGGTGCTGTTCTATTCGTTTGTATGTACGATCATTCGTGTGAACAAGAAAGCGATCACGGAGCCAGTTGGAGAGTGCGGTGGTTATATTTGATAATGACAGAGCGTATTTTGTGTAAACTGTGAAAACAACGGAGAAAACGAACATCCAAACAATCTTGTCAACACATTCGCCACCTACACGAGTATCTCTTCACCGTCACCATGTCTCTGGCATCCCTGTCCGATCCTACAGTGTGAGTCATGTACTGCTTTCGCAGGTTTTTTTTTTCTTCTTTTTTTGATTTTCTTCGTCTTCCTTATTTTGTGTCTGACAAGGACGACACAGAGACGATCCTGTCGTCACACGCGAGAAGCTACACGATCTCGCCCGTCGCAACGGCTTCCAGGTCGCACCGCAGCACGAGGCCGCGTACCTGCTCGGGCTGCGGTCGTCGTATGCCATTGCCACGCAGATCGATGCTCTGCCCGATTACATTGATCCACGCCTGCGTGTTGTGCCAACGCGAAACGAAAACGACTCGGCGACCGCGGCGTCGCCGAGAAAGTACAGCCGCCCCGACCCGGCCGACAACCCGCTCAATGCCTGGTGCCACCAGTGCGACGTGACGGCCGTCGTCGAGCCGGCGTCGACGGAGTCGCCAGAGTCCTCTCTCCTTAAAGGGAGGTCCGTCGTCGTCAAGGACACCGTGGCGGTTGGGGGGCTGCCGCAGACGCTGGGCACCCTCCCCGAGTTTATTGGCTCGTCCGGCACCGAGTATCCCGTGTCTCCCATCGATGCCACGGTCGTGCGCCGTCTGCTGCTGGCCGGCGCCCGCCTCAAAGGCACCACGACGTGCGAGCACTTCTCGCTGTCGCCCATGTCGTTCTCGTCCATCTGGGGCCCGGTGCACAATCCATGGCAGCGGGGGTACAACAGCGGGGGCAGCAGCAGCGGGTCGGCGGCTCTGGTGGGGGAGCAGATGCGAGCGGCGGCCACCAAGGCCGTGCCCATGACCCTGGGGGCTCCTCTGATTGCCATTGGCGGCGACCAAGCCGGGTCCATCCGCGTGCCGGCGGCCTACTGCGGCATTTACGGCCTCAAACCGACGTTTGGCCTCGTGCCGTACACGGGCGTTGCAGGGCTGCTGCCGATGATCGACCACGTGGGCCCCCTGGCGACCAGCCTGGACGACATTGCCCTCTGTCTGACTGTGCTCGCCGGCTACGACGGACTCGATCCGCGCATGGGCCCGGAGAGTCCTCTGCGGGAGCATGTGGTGGCGTACCACGAGGAGTTGCAGAGATTTACAGAGGCAGCCACGGCGGAGCGTGCCAGTCTCACGCCTCGTTCTCGTCCTCTCCGGGTCGGCCTGATCACGGAATCGTTTAGCATCCCCGGCACCGACAGCAACAATGCCGCGTGTGTCCGTGCCGCGGTCCACAATCATTTTGGGGCAATGGGCGCCGTCGTCGAAGACGTCTCGGTGCCGCTCCACAGTCTCGGCGCGGCCATCTGGACCGCCGCCGTGCGCAACCAGATGGCCTCGCACGCGTTTGGCGGACGGGCACCGGACGTACTCGCGCACGACCTGCCGCACATTACACCGGACGTGCGTGTCCACCACAAAAGCCAGCCGTTTTACGACGTCGTCACCGCCCACAACCCGTCCGTCGTTCTGGCCACCATGGTCGAGACGCTGCTGGGGGAGGAGCTGCCGTATGCGGCGCAGAACAAGGCTCGACGGCACGTCCTGCAGCTGCGCGCCGCGTACGACGCAGCGCTCGCAAACTACGACGTGCTGGTGTCACCGACGGCGCCGGCTGTCGCACCGCCTCTGCCGGACATGACCGACCGCGACATGGACGGATGGTCGTCGGCGGAACGCCTGCTTCGACTCGCCGCCGGGTCCATCAACAACACAGCGCCGTTCAACGCGACGGGTCACCCGGCACTCAGTGTGCCGTGTGGATGGGCGCCGTCGCTCGACAGGCAGTGCATGCTGCCTGTCGGGATGCAGATTGTGGGGAAACGCTTTGACGACCTCGGCGTGTTGAAAGCGGCGCGGGTTTTCGAACTCGGTGGAGGCGGGCTGGGACAGAGGCCGTTGCCTCCATCGTGAGGGGAGCTCATGTAATGGGGTATACATTCGAGGATGGAGGCGGTTGAAGACAGGGCATTTCTTTGTATTCTTTGCTCTTGATCTATGTATACAACAAAATAATCAATAATAAACAGACCACGAAAACATAAAATGACAAAATCTACCAATAATACACTGTTGAAACACGACACCTTGCGACATAGAGGAACAGCCCTCGTGTCCAACTTATGCCTTTGCCGCCTCCTTGGATCCCACCAGCGCCCGCATCTCCTCCTTGACGCGCGTCACCGTGCCCGCACCGCCGTACACCAGCCCCGTGTACAGCATCGCCACGCTCGCGCCCGCATTCAGCAGCCGCAGCGCCTGGTCACCGTTGGTCACGCCGCCCGAGGCAAACAGAATTTTGCGCTCCGTGTTGGGTCCACCACCAGCCGCCTCGCTTCGCGTCTGCTCGTCCAGCCGCTGCCGGTACCGTGCCACCAGCGCCAGCGTGCGATCGTACATGGCCGGGCCCGAAAAGCCCCCCGTCTCGTGCAGGTTGGCCTCCTCGTGGCGGCGCAGGCGCAGCTTGTCGGGCACGAGGCCGTCGCGGCGCTTGGTCGTGTTGCCCACGATGATGCCGTCGACGCCGCTGGCCACGACGGCCTCGACGATGCCGTCAATCTGCGCGTCCGCGTCCTCGTCCGGCGAGACCTTGACCATGACGCGCGGCGGCCAGGCCCGCAGCGTCTGCAGCCCGGACTCGATGGCGGCCGTGTGCGCCGCCGCGCTGCCCGCGGGGGCCGCGGTCGTCCGGGCCTCGTCGACGACGGCCGACAGAATGTGCGTCAGCGGCGCCACCGCCTGCAGGTCGCGCAGCCCGGGCGTGTTGGGGCTGCTCACGTTCACGACCAGCACGTCCGCGTAGGGCGCCAGCCGGCGCACGCAGTAGACGTAGTCCTGCGCCACGGCCGCCACGTCGTGCTCGTCCGTGTCCTTGTTCTTGGCCATCTGCACCGCCAGCACCTTGCCCGCGCGCAGCGACCCGACGGGCACCCCCGCCGCGCCCGACAGCACGTCTGCCTCGCGGATGCCGTGGGCGCGCGCAAACGCCCGCAGCCGCGTCCGCAGCCGCGCCGCCAGCGCGTCCGCGCCCACCGAGTTGAGGCCGTAGCGGTTCACCAGCCCCGCGACGCTCGGCACGCGGAACAGCCGCGGCCGCGGGTTGCCCGCCTGCGGGCGCGGTGTGCACCCGCCGACCTCGACGACGGCGGCGCCCAGGTCAAACAGCGCGTCGGGAATGTCGGCGTCCTTGTCCAGGCCGGCCGAAATGCCAATGGGATTTGAAAGGGCATACTCAAAGGCGCGGCCCTCGAGCACGTTCGTGCGGATGTCGTCGGTCCGGTCCCTGGGGTGGAGGCCCAGTCGGTAGAGCACCTTGAGAGCCTCCGTGCCAATGTGGTGCGCATCCTCCGCGTCCGGCCACAGCGTCCGGATCAGCGGCGGCACGATCCAGCGGTGCACCGACGCACGTGTGTCTGTGCCGTACAAGAAGACGGCAAACAGAGTGGCACCGACGGCGGTGGCGTAGACGGCAGTACGCAGGCCTGAGCCTGATGAGCTGCTACCGGAACGTGGTGGCGGTGGCGGCGGCGGCGGAGGAGGGGGAGGTGTCGTGGCTGCCTTTGCGACTGTCTTGGCGGCGGTGTTTGCGGCAGTTGTAGTGGCAGACTTGGCAGTCTCCGTCGTCGCCTTGACCGACTCGGCGGCACTCGAAGCCTTGTTGATAGCATCTGCGGTGGTGGCAGCCGTCGACGCAGCGGCCTTGACCGCATCGCCCGTCGTCGAGTATGGGCTGCGTCTCCGAGCCAAGTGGCGCCGGGAAATGTGTGCTGGGCGCAGAACGGACGCCAGCGAGGGCCGTAAACGGAGGTAAAGGGGGGCCATCGTCGAAACGTGTCAAACAGTCGTCGGAGACGACATAAGAATGGCGAAAGACAAAAGAATGAAACGCCAATGGTAGACTCAACCGACGTGGAGAGCTTCGACGAAAACACGGGTCGCAGCTACAACAAAGTTCGGCTGAGGCAAGAAGCTCTCGCGAGACGCGATTTTTTTGCGGAGGCATTGCACGTGATATTAACATGACGAACACGTGACATTCTCGAACATCGGCTGTCAACACTGCCGACGACGACGAGCTGGTCCTTTGTTTATGAGATACTGGAATGTAAAGTTATGTTGACTTTTAATGATTGAATGCATCTCGGCACGGGTACTATGGTATTGTGGACATAGCAAGAGTGCTGATGTGGTTGTCAGAGTGCAGTGACTCACTCTTCTTCGATTCTACAAAGGTAAATGAAGAATCAATTAAATTCCTGTAAAATTCATAAAGTCTATGGTCTATAACAAATGAACGGCCCTTTGTAGGTGTATGAAAAACGTAAGAAAATGGCAGCGTAAATCGTATCGCCAACTCTATGGAACTCTATGGTTTGGCCGCAAGAGATGCTGCGACCGCCGGCGCACCGATGGCCGACTGTGAAGGAGGCTCACTCTGCACCGCAACAGCTGTTGGTGCGACACCCGCACCGGCCATGCCCTGGGCGGTCTCGGCCTTGCGGTTCAGGTACATGAGGTACGTCTGCCAGCCGACGGCAAAGACGCCCGCAAAGATGCTGCGGTACTCGAGCGGCACAAAAGTGAAGCTAAAGGCCGTCACGGCCGGCCACACTTTGAGCGAATTGTACATGCTGGTGGGCACCGTCTGCTGCACGCGCTCCCACGACTGCTGCAGGGACTCGCCGGCCAGCAGCGCCTGCATGCCGAAAAAGTACGTGTTGAAGATGGGCGTGAAAACGACCTGGTTGATGGAGACCTTGACGAGGAGGGAGAGGGCACGCGACCCGTAGTTGAAGTTTTGCGCAAGGTAGACGAACCTAGGAGCGGCGGTTAGCGGATGATGATGTTCGACGTCGGGGAGGGGGGAGGAAGACAATGTTGACTACAGCCGTTCACTGCCAACTGCCAACAGCCAGCTGCCAGCTACGCAGATTGACCTACCACTTGTACCCCGGAATGGCAGAGATCGCCCCAATCACCAACGACCGCACAGTGCGCTTGGGGTCGTACGGCGCCTCCCGGTTCATGCGCTGCACAGACATGTCGGCGCACAGCGCAATGACGAGCGCGCTGCACAGCTGCGTCACATAGGGTCGTCGCCGCTGGGCGCGCCCGTACGAGTCGGCCGCCCAGGTCAGTGGGCCCAGTCGCTGCCACAGCGGGAGGGGCGTGACGTTGCTGGGAAGCGGGATGGGGTCGTCCTTGGGCGGACCGGGCGACGGCAGGCTCTTGTGCGTCTCGGCCTCGGGGTGCCCTTCGGCTTTGGCTGTATGTGGTTCACGGGCCTGCTGTTGGGTCTGCTCCGACTTTGCTGTCTGTGTTGTCTGTGTCGTCTGTGTCGTCTGTGTCCGTCGTGGTGGTCGTTGGAGGCTGTTCTGTAAGCGGAACCGGAAAGTGAAAAGCGGTTGTGGCTTGGTCGCGGCGAGTTGACTCAGGTTGCGCCCAGGCGCCGGGCGCATCGGCTGTGGCCGCCAAAAAGCACGCGACAGCAGACCAGCAATCATCGTCGAGGTGCGTATGCAGGACAAAGGAAACGAAGAGTTGACAATTCGAAGAGAGGCTTGCGAAAGTGGAAACGAATAAAGAGTGGACGCCAATACGGCACAATCGAAAGTGCGATTTGCCTGTTTGACTAATATGAAGTTCCAGGTATGATGACTATGATGACACAGTCAGAGTTGTCAGGGCCTCTCAGTCTATGAAATTGTATCCGTCAGAATGCCGTCCCGTTGTGTCACTCCTCTTCGAATTTACCAAATCAATGTTTGGTTTTATGACTCTTTTGTCGGTTAATCAGATCTTTTCCTACTGTAGTCAATTTCGTGGTTTTCGTCATTTTCGTTACGCCCCGAGCAACGCGACCGATTTGGCGACTTTTAGGGGACTTGGGGTCTATTCGCTGCGGATCTCGGCTTTGCTGTGCCGAGCCGCGTTAACTGCGAGGCGTCTGCGCAACAGAGCAGTGTAGAAATCACGCCGCTACGATTGCGCCTTTGCCGCTAACAACGCCCTAAAAATCCAAAGCCTTCCCTAACCCGCGCTGACCAGCACCCGGCCGTATCCCGAGACGCCCCGAATCGGCATACTCTTCTGCCCTGTAATCTGCTGGAGTACTCCCTGGGCACTATCATTGTCGCTTTCAATGCCACTGCGCCAGGGCTGGTACCCCTGGAGCCATGCTAGCGTCCGCGTTATCGCGTGAAGGAAATGATGTCACCGAGGTTTTGAGTTCGGTAGAGAAGAGGAGGCTGTGCTATCTTACGACATGGGACCGCATAGAGAGATGGCACACATTCGTAAACTTCACATGGACATCCGAAATAACAACCATGGCCGATACAGGGAACGAATTACCACTGACGGCTCGTCCCGTGCTTTTCCATGTCGGGCATAAAGTGTAATTATCTGTGCCACACCGATGGACACCGATATTAGACGACTCGTTTTTCATTTTCTTAGTGGGCAAAAGACCTGTCGGGTTCTGAATAACATATTAAGTACGTGCCATTTGAAAAATCCACGGGATGAAAGTGTATATATAAGTATAGGTAGAAAAGTTAAAAAAAAGAAAGAAAGAAAGTCAATGACAAAGGATGGCCAAAAAAGGCAAAAAAGGCAAAAAAGGCAAAAAAAGGCAAAAAAAGGCAAAAAGAATGGACAAAAAACGTACAGCAGCGGGTATTCGCTGGTCGTCACCGACCCAACTACTAATCCGCCGATTAAAGGTTTGACTAGGGGAGAGCGGACGGGATCCCGTATTTTCCTTTATCTATGGCCGTACGTGGAAGACGAAAGTGTGATGATGTCTTTTATGGGATGGTCAGGAGGCCGCGGTCAAGATCAAGGCAAGTCCCACCACACCATCCATACTTCTGCCGCCTCTTTGTAGCCCATGTCTTGGAGGGCTCTGTGTACTCGCCGGCACCAGTCGCACCGCTCGTCTTTGTCTTCCACCGGTAGGTCCATTCCGCTCGATACGCAGAATTTTGCACGGATCTATTGTCTGGGGACGAACCCAGTCGTTCTCCGACATGTTGAGATTGTTGTCGGCGAGCTGGCCGCCGTCGACAAAACTGATGCTCGTGCCTGGCCACTTTGCAAGCGTGTCGCATATGTTGGCAATGCACCGAATGGAATGCAGTTTCCCCACGTTGCCGCTGGGGTTGCAAACATGCATACTGCTCTCTTCAGACCGTACAAGTTTGTTCATCACCAGAAAAAAACGCCAAATTGCAAGTTACTCTAGTAGTATATAACTGAAACCCTTGTCCATACACAGCCGACCTTGTCAACCCTTTGTTGACTTTGGCTTACATAAACCCCGAAGAAAATAACGTACACAATCACCTGACAAACAGAGATAACACAAGTCGTATAGCCAGCACGTCTATGCTGGCCGCCGCAGGGGGTGCGCCTCGGTGTTGAGCACGTACGTGTCGAGGCTGACGACCTGGGGGTCCTCAAAGATGAGGTAAAAGTACTTGAGCGTCTCGGCCAGCCAGAAGCTCTCCATGCTGTCGGCCCACGTCTCGAGGGGCTGCGTGCAGTCGTCGACGGCCGTGTGGGCGATGCTCGTCTGCGTCACCTTGACAATGGACTCGAACATGCCCCAGGCGCGGTCCATGAGCGTGGCGTCGCCCGTCAGGCGGTACAGGATGAAGACGCTCTCAATCGCCTCGGGCCGCAGAATGTAGCGCCGGTCTTCGTAGCGCAGCACGCCCGGCACGAGGCGCTGGTCGTCGACGACCTTGGCCACGTTGAAACTGTCGGCGTCGCCGTTCTTCTTGGGCCCGCCGGGGCGCTGCTTGGCGGCGACCTCGCCGAGCCACGTCTTCTCGTCCCAGACGCACGGCGTGCTGGCGGCGCCCGTGGCGCAGTGGGCGACGGACATGATTTCGGGCATGATGCCAAAGGGGGCGGACTCGTAGGCCCACAGGCAGCCCTCGACGAGCTGCTCGGCCACGGCCATGTCGGCCGGGCGGTCAAACAGGCGCGCGGCGAGGCCGACCATGCCGCCCGCAAAGCAGCCCAGGTGCTGCACCTTGGGCAGCGTGCGCACGGTGTCGGCGGGCAGCTTGCCGTTGGTGTTCTTGTCGCCCGGGAACAGGAGGGGCTTGGCCGACTTGGTGAGCGGGCGGAAGAAGAGGTGCTCGCTCATGGCGGCCAGCGCCTTCAGGTACATGGTGCGGTATGCGGGGACGGCGCCGCCCAGCAGCAGAAACTGCTTGGGCAGGTACTCGTAGAGCGAGTCAGCCATGCCGCCAATCGTAAAGCCGGTGCCGCCCGTGAAGTCGGCGGCCTCGGCGTTGACGACGACGGGCCACAGGCCGGGCAGGTGCGTGCGGTCCTGCTGCGCCTCGAACAGGTCCATGATGCGCTGGACGGCGTCGTAGTACTTGGGATTGCCCGTGAGCTGCGACAGGCGCGTGAACTCGAGCGACAGCGAGCCCAGCTCCGAGACCAGCGACGACCGGTGCGGCGTCTGCGAGATGCCCTTGCGCCGGTCGTTCATCTTCCACCGCGTCACCACCACATGGTTGGGCGTGTCAAAGGCCAGGTACAGCATGTCGCCCAGCTCCGTCGCCTTGGCCAGGAGGGACGGATATTGGCCGTCGCTGAGGTCGTACGCCGCCAGAAAGCCGCCCAGGTAGCGGATCGTCGTCTCAAACACATTCACCTGGTCCAGGTTGGTCGTCGAAAAGTCAATCTGGTCGACCGCGTTGACGGCGTTTTGGAACTCGGCGTGCAGGCCCATGATCCACAGCGTGTCCAGCGTGTCCACCAGCGTCGCGGCCCAGCCGCCAAACTTGCTGACGGGCGTGCCCTTGAGCGGCCGCACCTCGTCGCCCATCCATGCGTGCGTCTTGTAGCCGTTCCACGCGTGTGTAAAGTTGGCCCGCACGAGCTCGAGGCGCGCCAGGCGCACTTCCCGGGCGGCCGCCGACTCCGTCTTGAAGCTGTGCTGGATCTTGGGGATGCCCTTGAGGGTCACGGTGTTGGGCGAGGGCACCGGCCGCATCGACTCGACCGGGATCGGGTGCTGCAGCTCGACCTGTGACCAGTGGAACTTGCCGTCGTCCACCGGGGTAACGGGTGTTGTGGCGCCGCCATTGGCCTCTTCCGGGTGCGGCAGGGGCGCCGAGCCGGGTGGCAGCACATTACCCCATGGCGAAACAATGTGCTGTTTGGACTGGTAGTAGAGGATGCCGAAGATGCCAGAGAGGAGGAGACTGATGGTGAGCCGCCGTTTGCTCCAGCGGGCGGCCATGACGGAAGGAGAGTCGCGGATGCTGTTGTGTGGTAGGTGAAGGTGGTTGTCGGCGGATGCTTAAGAGTCAGGAATGTAGAATGAGGCGACAGGCGCGGTAGAGGCCGTAGACTGAATAGACGGCTCTCGAGATTAGCAATGCCGTTGTATCGTCAACGTCGACTCGCCGATTGGATGTCGACGATGAATATGCGATTGACGCGGAAGATGGAAACAAGAAAAAGCCAAGATGGCCGCCTGGGCAGAAAGAAAAGATACACACAGGCACACAGGCCGACACTCGACAGCGAGAGAAAGGTGTCGGCGTCGGGAGGATGGGGCTGATATCTTACAGTGGAGTGTGGATGGGGCGTCGTGTAGCTCGACAGGTCCAGGAGAGGTCCACGACTGGACGATAGGTCCACTGACAGGGCTGTCTTGGAAGGGGCAGTCTGGACAGGCCTAGGCTAAGCAGTCTTGGCTGGCGTTTTTCCTCTTCCAAGCTGCCAGTACTGGTCAATACTGGCAATGGTGGGCGCTGGTGCGACGCCAATGGCGACCTTTGGAGTTTATTTTGGCGTCTTTTTAGTGGTGTCTGGAGTGTTCAGGTGGAGATGAGCCCCGGAGCTTAGCGATCGGCACTGTTTTGGGTAAGTGCACTCGGCACAGCAAATGAGGGGAACACGAAAAACGAGCCATTTCTAGCATGTGTTCAGCGCGTGAAAATGCATGCTGCACGAAAAGAGACAAGGCTACAACGCGGGAGAGAGGCGGTCAATACAGTGTAAACTAGTGTTGAAAGCACTGTCTTTGGGTCTTTAGGCACTGGGGCTCTCCTTTCTCACGATCCACGACGTAGCTAATGGCCCTCACACATGCTCTTGGTCAATGCAAACCACAACCTTGCTGTGTTTCTTATTTTGTATCTGACATGGCCCATTGTGATTCTTTCCTGCATTGTGACTCTCTGGTTCGCACATCATGTCCTTCGTATCATTGGGAAGCTGCCGGCACTGTGCACGTGATCAGCTGGCATGGCCAGTCGTGGAGTTAAGGTATCTCCTTGTTTGGGGTTCTATATTGTGAAGAGCTGCTTTAATAATCACTTAACGAGTCGCATCGCCGAGCGTTATGCCACCAGCAACGAATCTGACCGACAGCGTACACAAGTGCGCGTGAAGATGTCAGCTGTCAACACACTACGACATACAACATAAACGCAACGAATGACCTGACCGGCCTCGATCGCACACAACACAAACACCACAGTTTCAAACATCATAAACATCATGGCCTCTGCTCCGACAGGCTCCATGTCGACCTCGACGCCGGCGTCCGTCGCACAGCCGGTCGTACAGACGCTGTCCCCGGCGAGAAGGGCAGACATTGCCGCAGCATCGCCGGCCTACCGCATCCAGCAACGCCGGAGCACCGCGCCCAAGCGGGTCGTCGAGCGCTCCTGCATCGTGTGCCACCGCCGCAAAGTGCGCTGCGACAAGACCATGCCGTGTGCCGGCTGCGTGCGGTCGGGCGTGCTGTGCTGCTACCCGTCCAACAAGCGGGCGCCGCGGCAGTCCAAGACGACGATTGCAGACATTGCGTCGCGGCTGGTGCAACTGGAGCGGACCATTGTGGCCGTGGCGGGCGGCGACGGGGACACCAATGAGGACGAAAGCGGAGGCTACGAGAGCGACACAGCGCGGCCAAGCCACAGTGCCGCTAGTGGCAGTCACAGCCTGGCCGCCGCGCTGGAAAGACGTGCTGGCCGTGCCGTACCGACGTCGCGTTCGGCAACCATGACGTCGAGCCATGGCGGCGACAGCCACTCAAGCGGAACATCTGACAGAGGAGGCACGAGTGAAGACCATCCGTCGCCGTTTCGTGACGGGTCACTGAGTAGGAAAGGTGCAGCAAAACGGGAGATGCTTCTCCACAACGCCTACGCAAGCCGTTACATCAACGAGATGCTCTTGTCCAAGATTCTCGAAGCGGTACGTCGTACGATGTTGTGCGCCCGCACCAATAATAAAATAATAAATACACGTGGCTAACCGAACCAGGAAGAAGAATTTCGGTCGGCGTTGGCGTCACCCAAGGACAGCGAGCAAGACGCCGAGCCTGTCTTTCCCCAAGGCGCTTCTGCAACGGCGGCACCCGCCATAACGCTCTTTGGCTTGGTCGCGAGCGGCTGCCAGAGCATCCCATGCACGCTGTCCTCCGGGGACGCCAATGCGAATGCCGCGTTCCACCCGCCCAAACGACAGGCCATACAGCTGTGGAACGAGTACCTGCATTCTGTCGAACCCATGAACAAGGTCTTGCACGTGCCAACAGCCGAAGTGAGCGTATTCACGGCCATCCACAGCCCCGAGAAGACGGATCCCGCTTTTGAGAGTCTGTTGTTCTCGATCTATTACGCAACGGTCACGTCCTATCAGCCGGCCGCGTACCAAACTGCCTTTGGCGAGGACAAAGCCGTCGCCCTTGACCGGTACCGCGCTGGCATGGAGCGAGCGCTGGTCCAGGCGCGGTTCCTCGAGTCGCCCAGCCTGCCCACTCTGCAGGCATTGACGCTGTTCTTGGTATGCCACGACCCTCTGCGACGTTTGGTAATTGCCATTGCCATGACACACGGTACTAACTGACAACACAGAGAATGTCCCGCGCGCACAGCCCCGGGCAGTCCATCTGGGTGCTGTACGGCATGGTCGTACGGCTGGCGCAGTCGATCGGCCTTCATCGTGACGGCGCCAATTTTAACCTGACGCCCTTTGAGTCTGAAATGCGCCGCCGCGTATGGGGCCACATGATCAAGCAGGACGACCGCGCCTCCGAGGACCATGGCATCGACATCGACCTGACGGAAACCGACGTCGACATCCAAGAAGCCCTCAACGTAAACGACCGCGAGCTCCACCCGGACATGACGGTTCTGCCCACGCCGCAGATGCGCTGGACGGAGATGACCCTGCCCGTGTGCATCCGCCGGCTGGGCACTACCATGGCGTACGTGACGCATCTCGTGGCAGAGACGAAAGCGTTACGGCGCGCAGGAAGTTCCGGACTGGCCCGCCATGCCTCCTCGCCCGACTTGCCATTGACCGAAGAGCGCCGCCGCGCCATCATGGCCACCCGCAACGCCTACGTCGAGGAGCTGCTCCAGCAGTGCAACATGGTCGTCCCCGTGCAGCGCTTCGCCTACAAGACGGTGCGCCTCATCCAGCGGAAAATGGAGTTTATCACGCGCCTGCAGCTGGCGGCCGCGCTGGCCACCACCGGCTGGCCGCGCCGCGCGGGGGGGAACCCCCGCTGCGCCGTCGCCAGCGACGGCGTCCTGGCGCTCGCCTGCGAGGTGATGGAGCTCAATGTCGACATTATGGAAGACGAGCTGATCCAGGACTACCGGTGGGCGGCCGAGATCTACCCGCAGTACCACCCGCTGCTGTACGTGCTATGGCACCTGTTCGTGGAGCCGATCCCGGCCTACCCCGCCGACAAGGCGGCGCTGCGGGCGCGGGCGTGGGCCGTGGCCGACAGCATGTACGAGATGGAGGATGCGCGGCAGGCGCGGCAGAGCGCGCGGGGGGGCCGGAACTCCAAGTGGGCGCTGCTGACGATGCTGCGGGAGAAGGCGCTGCGGGCGCAGGCGGCGTTGGACGGGAAGGCGATGCCCGAGAACGGGAAGACGTTGGATTCAAATTCGGATTCGACTGTGCCGCTTCCCGACGATGGAGACAACGTCCATACGGACGACGATGGAACGAGCGCAAATCAGTCCGGCGTGTCCATCACAAACGGAGCCGCGCCGGCCTCTGGGTCTGCTCTTGCGGGGACTCTTTCAGCGTTGGGTGGTCCAGCAGATGCTGCGGCTGCTGCTCTTCCTTCGTCGGCTCCTCCTTTGGATGGAGGCTCTGGCTATGGGCAGCCGACATTTGCGGACGCGGACATGACAGAGTTTCTCGGGGACAGCGCACTGGGCCTGGACATGGACGTGGACTGGGTGCGCGGGTTTATGGACTGGAACACGGTGGAAGACGATTTTCGGATGCGCACATACGATGTGAATACTTAAAGGAAGGACGATGTAACGACTACAGATGATGGAAAGTAGAAAATGGCAACTGGACTTGCGGACATGGACATGAATATTTACAATATGATGGAAATGGAGAGGTGTGATTCCGAATTTGGTATACGGAGCTATATCTAGACAAAAAAGATGAGAAAACAGGTCCAAAGTAGAGGAACATGACAGAATTAAAAGAATAGGAATCTTAGAACGCCGTATGTGAAGTGAATGCAAGCCCTTTGCCGACATTTTTAGTGTTGAGAGAGAAGGAAACGCCGGAGAGGATGCAGGCAAGAAAAAAAAAGAAAAGAGAAAACAACTACCCCGTCCCCCATCATGCCACTTTCCAACTGGCAGAATTTCTGCATTGTCCATTCTATTACGATTACGAGACTCTGAACCTGCGGCTCACACCATGCCTTTTGTTGTCGTCCTAGAAGACGGCCGTCGGCTTGAAGCCGGTGTAGATGACACGCGCGGCCAGGGTCACGGACGAGCCGAGGAGCAGCAGCACGCCGGAAAAGATCTTGACACCGAGCCAGCTGTTGTTGACGGACAGGATGGCACCGGCGATGGGGCTCGTGGTGAGGCTGGGGATGGCGGCGATGAGAAACACGAGACCGGTGCGGTAGCCAATCTCCTTGGGCGCGGACACCTGGGCGACGAGCGAGCCGATGAGAGCAATGTAGGCGCCGGAAAAGAAGCCAAAGATGGCGGCAAAGCCGATCTGGGCAGACCGGTTTGTGCCGGGGATCCAGAGGGCGAGCACGACGACGCCGGCGGCGTAGCAGGCGATGATGAAGGTGTTGTACTTGCCGATGCGGTCCGACACCCAGCCGGCGAGCAGGCGGCCAAAGAGCGAGAGCGCGTTGAAGATGGACACCATGTAGAGGGCGAGGCTGGGGGTGACGTTGCCGGTGGCCAGGGCGGCGACGGGGATGTAGTCGATGGGCGCGAAGATGCCAAAGGTCATGAAGAAGATGCCCGCGAGCATGGTGGCAAAGCCGGGCTCGAGAAACGGCGTGACCATCTGCTTACCGGTCAGGGGCGGGGCCCGCTGGAAGTCGGGGTGGTCGTGGTACCGGGAGCTGACGGTCAGGTTGGACATGATGAGCAGGCCCAGGATCAGAAAGGCGCTGGCGCGCATGGCCCAGCCGTAGCCGACGCTGTCGATGAGGCGGCTGACCATGATGGGGAAAATGACGCCGCCCACCGAGGTGCCCGTCGCCAAGATGCCGTAGGCGAGGCCGCGGCGCTTGCTGAACCAGCCGGGGAGGCAGCTGAGGGCGGGCTGGAAGATGGCGGCGGCGCCGATGGCGCTGCAGACGCCCTGCGACAGCATAAACTGGTAGTACTGCGAGGAGAGCGAGGCCATCATGAGGCCAAAGACGTGGAGCAGCGTGCCGCCCAGGATCAAGTAGCGCGGCCCGTACGCGTCAAACAGGCGCCCGATCACGGGACCCAAGGCCATGATGAAAAAGAGCTGCAGCGACGGGATCCACGAGATGGTGCTCGACGAGTAGTTGGACAGCGGGCCGTTCTCGTAGTAGTCCTGGAAGACGCCGATGCTGTTGATCCAGCCGAAGCTGCAAAAGGACGTGGCCCATGCGCCGAGGACGACCAGCCAGGCCTTCAGGCCGCCATCGGGCGCATCTCCAAAGGGCGAGGGCCCCTGTGCAGGCGCGGCAACGCCGTTTTTGTCGTCGTCCGCCTTGTCGTCGTCGTCACTATTGGGTGCGCCGCTGTTCTTCTCCACATCGATGACCTTGGTGCGGATGCCGGCAGGGTTGCCTTGGGCGATGGCAGCGGCTGAAACGGGTGTGTGGTCGGCACGCAGGGTGTTGTTATCGGTGTCAGTGCCGGTGCCGGACGTTGTCTCCTTATCAGACATCTTGCCTAGTGGTGGAGTGGAGTGGAGTGGTTGTGTGGTTGCAAGATGCGGGTATGGGATGACGAGAGCAGCAGCAAGTTAGCGTACGGGACGGTAATGTCTTCAGATACTCGCAGACGCTTGTTGCAGACAGTGTGGCCCCGAGACACGAGTAGGTAGTTTATGATGTGGTGATCTGACTGTCAGTGGGGATGGACGGGCAAATGTCGTGGGGGGTCTTGCAAGTATAAATAAGAGTGACAATGGAAAATGGGAGTGGATAAAAACAGAAAAAGAGAAAAACAAATGAAGTCATGGGTGGACGACCAGGCAAGACGAACGAGAACATGTTATACCGAAATGTGAAACGAAGTGGAAGACGGCGAACGGAGATACGACCTGAAGTCGTCTTCACCTCCGGGCCGTTATGCTTGTTTATTTGTTTGAATTTTATCCCATGGTCTGAAAACGTCTTCGCCTCCGGGTCGTTATTCGTTATGCTTGTTTACTGGTTTGAATTTATATCCCATTTTACTGTGGGATTTCCTTGATCCACGTTTCCGCCAGCGTGCAATATGCAGTCGGGCCTTACTTCTTCCCATGGCCAACCTACAGATCTCCGTTTCCAGTTGACGAATGACATTGAAAACGTGGAGGGAAGAAAGACACGGAAAAAAAAAAGAAAAAAGAAATGATGAGTAAATACGGCCGACGACCACGCCAACAAACAAAGACGACAAAACCAGGACACGCAAGGGCGCCGAACCGAGTTATGCAAAACACACAGATATTCACCCAAGGGCTTACAAATAGCAGCAATATGCTCGTCTCCCATCCCCATGCGTGATCCTACCTGACAGTTATGCTCTCAGGCTGAGGCTCCTTTCTGACAAATGGTCCTCTTTTGTGCTGTCATCTCTCGGCGCGGCCACAATCCGTGCGGCGAGCAACAGTACAATGGGAGAAGCTGGAAATAGAGCTACAATCCACGAGGACAGCTAAATGGACAAGATTGCGGAGAGCGGCTCTTGTCGTCGCGTGAAAAGGTTGTAAATCCCAACCGTAATGTCGGTGCCCCGGAGCTTACCAGCAGATGCACCTATCAGACGCATCGTGCAGCGGCTCGCACTCCCGCCAGTCGATGTGGGTTAGTGATTTAGGATGGAAGTCACTTCGGCGTCGGAATGCACTGCGCCGAAACTGGACATAAAGTGACTTGTACGTCGGGTGCGATGTAGCGCAATTTGCAGTGGGCCTGATTGCTTGGCTAGTACCTTTTCGCATCCCCGAGGTATCCTTTTAGCGTACGCCGAACGGTACCTGTCTGTCACACCAATAGTGCAATCCGTGAAGCTACAACCCTGAAGTGACCCACCATAGCTTTTGGCCCCGCCAATGTAAGATAGACTGACACAGCACACCAATGTAAACTCCGTGTCACGTCTTTGGAACAGCCTCTGGCATTCATTTGGCCGCGCATCGAGTTTGGGGGTAAGATATCCACGTTACTCCTGATGTTTAACTGCCAACTGTCGCTGAAGCCCCGGCGCTAAGCTTAACTCCTGAAGCCCGCAGCGGTCGTTGTTTTGGTCCCATATGAAACACGACGTTGAAATAACGTTTGTCTGCTTGGTAATCATGCGTTATGTCCAACGCCCTTTTTGGAAGCAATGTCTGTTATGTGGCCTTTATCATGATGATTTGTGCTTATGTGTGGCAGAAGCAGCCGTATTACCGCACACGACACTACCAATTGCGAGATCAATGTGGTCACGTCCACAACGTTGTAGCATGAGTATGATACTTTGGCAGTGCTTAATGCCTCCTAATATTACTAATAAGTAACATGTAGTTTATGAGAGGGATGATGACTTGGCGTGCAAATCGTTTTATTTTTATCTTTTTATTTTTTTAATTAAATACCTAAATGAACAAAAGTTTTTTGCCAGTTTTATTCAGATATGTTTTTCTCGGCTATGTAAATATTGAATAAAACTCAACTTAATATTTTCATCCCCAATGTCATCTTGTCGAACGGTGATTCATGATGACTAGGAGTTGGAGCACAACTTATGAAACAATGCCATCCAATAGTCGATGTGATTTTACTAGTCACAAAATTGGACAGCTGCATTACAAGGCACACGTTTTTGGCAATGATGATTGTATTGTCTAGAATCGCCTGCGTTTCGAGGCAACACGAACACGATGCATCACCCACCACCATGCTCCTTTCTTTACTCGACCTCCACACCATGCAGTGTTCGCATATGCCTCTGCCAGTTGGCCCTGCGCGGCATGCCATCCCGCGCTGCCTTGGTCGTACACCCGGGATACCTGCAGAAGTACAGCCTGGGGCCATGCACTTCGCGCACATGGCGGTCCAGGTCCGTCTGCGTGGAGAAGGCACGTGTGCACTGCGACTCCTCACATGAGAAGGGGCGCGTGTGTATCCGAAGATGCTGCCTGGGATGGATGGGGCATTGTTAGAAAGACTGTAATTCAACGACGCATCGCCAGAGCCACTTACGTCAAGCGTTTCCTCTTGGCAAAGATGCTGCGGCAGTATGGACACTGGAGTGGATTGTCTGCACTGGCGCTCTGTGGATCATTGCCGTTTTGATTTTGATTTTGGGTTTGGGTTTGTGGATGCTGTTGTTGGTGCTCTGGCCATATTGTTTGCTCCTCGTCTTCGTCGCCGTCCTGTCCAGCAGGCTGTACAAGTCGTAAATCACCCCAGTCGTACTCGTCGAGAGGACCTCGACTACCAACCTGTACCCAACTCGGGTCAACATACCCAAACTGATGGCAGTCACGATCTTGGTCTGAAAAATGATGTTCTTGCTGGTTGTTTGGGCTACGTGGCGCGGCTGGTTCTTGGCTAGATATTAGGGGTGGCCTCTATCGAGACGTGGAAAAAAGGTAAATCACAGCCTCCTGGTTTTTGAAGAGAGGACGACGCAACGGGCAGGCGAGGGGGAAATAAATGACCACCAAAAGCAGCGGAAAAAAATGAAATAAAAAGCAAATAAAGGAGTGACAGTAAAAAAGGCAAAAGGAGTGTACACGGAGACACAACCAAGTGCCGACCGTGGAGAAAAAGAGAAGAAAAAAAAAAGAAGCTTGAAAAGACGTCGCGGGGGAGGTAGGCTCTTCATATATGCCTGATGGGTTGGTTCCCAGATGTGAGGAGTTGGATGCGAGGTCGGCCTCACTCGATGTGATTGGCCACGAAGCAGGCCACGCCTCAAAATCTGCAGGCGGATGGGAGCTGAATAGTTTTGCACTTTTGTGAAACCTGCAGACCGGCTGCATATTTTGAGGCGTGTCCTGCATTGTGGCCAATTAGATTTTGTTTATCCTCTGGTGTCAAGATGTTTGTCTTCCTGAAGGCACAATGCGTCGTTTGGACAGATTGAGAGACGCGGTCGTCCATGGCGGCAACGCGGAGTATAAGGAGGACGGTATGTTGTCTCTAATTGTTGGGAAAGGTTATCTCTTGAATTGTAATCTTGTTGCTTGTTTGTTTCCTGTTGTTCGGTGACTGCTATTGTCTACTTTCACTCTGATATTGTCCCGTTTCACAACATCTCACAGTGTCCATTCGCCAATTTTGCCATCTCACTGTACAGTAATATGTCTTCTTTGTTTTGTTGTGGTTCCATCCAGCCGTACCGGCCTGCGTACCTTCTCCACCAGAACATGTTTGTTCGCTTCATGGCATGGGCGGAGTACCCGCGCAGCACTTCACCGAACGAAGCGCCAGACGCCTTGAGCAACGCGACGTCGTCGATATTTGTCATCCAGCTGGCCAAGCAGGTCAACTACGGCGCCCTGGAATCGAAGCGGTATTTTATGCCGGCCGGGGGTGACTCCACGGAGTTTGTCGAGATCACGGAGCAGGCTTTGATCCAAGCCAACTTTCAGAAGCTGAACACGTGAGAAACTCTGTTGGTGATACGCTGATGAGAGAAGAAGACATGCTGACAACGTCCTGCCAGGTACAAAAACTACAAGTGCGATTCTCACAACAAATTTTTTGAGGTCAATGTTTACCAAAAGGACCCGACCAACCGCCACCACTGGCGTGTCAATGTGGCCCGCCCTGCTGTCAATATTGACTTGAACGTTGGATAGAGTGCCGCTGGAGCCCCGTCTGTGAATTCCAATTGTGAATTTTGGTTGTGACTTTTGATTGTGAATGTGAATGGTTTCTTGGATGAGTTAGCTTTCAGATAGCACACTCGACAAACATGCAAATAAAACATCATGTTTGATCACTGCTACCTTACTTTCCATGCTCCATGATGATTAAAACTGAAAAGGAGTTGCTTGTTCAAATTCGGTGTGACATGCGGTTGTTTTCTCTCGCTCTCAGCGTTGGCGGCCGTTCTCGGCTCTAAATGGCCGCTGGATGAGCCGCTGCCCATCAAATGCAGGGCACCAGGCCTTGCCGGCTCAGTGGTCTAGTGGTATGATTCGCGCTTCGGGTGCAATCCCCTTCTGCAGTTTGCAGGAACATGTGCGAGGTCTCGGGTTCGATCCCCGACTGAGCCCAAATTGGATTCCAAGGAAGACGATTGACAATATGTTTTTGTCGTGTCTTTCTTGTTAGTTCGCCGTCCTCATTGCTCATTTTTTTATTGATACATCAGATGGAGAGTTCATATGGCTTTTTTTTTTTTTTTCGTAGGGTAAATGATTCATTTTAATCGTCGCTTATCATCACTCATCGTCGCTCATCTCTCATCTGTCATCACCACTCCTTGTGCTCAGTCCTCCACTCGCTGCTGCCAAACATTCAAGGTTGTCTGCTCCCCCGCATGCCCTACTTCCTCACCACATTCACCTTGTCGATGACTGCGTGCGGCGTCACGCCCCAAAACTTGCCCTCGATGGTCGGCAGCGGCCGGGCGGCCCACTGCTCCTGGATGCCGCGGGCGCTCTTGAGGAACGTGGGCTTGATGGTGTCGGCCCAGTCGGCGCCCGTGTTGGCGGCGGGCTGCAGCACTCCGTCCTTTTTGCGCCAGCGGCCGTCGACGAGGACGTGGCGGACGTCGCCGACGTTGGAGTGCAGCAGGATGGCGGCGACGGGGTCGACGAAGCCGAGCATGTTGGGGGAGTCGCCGTCGAAGACGACGAGGTCGGCCTTGGCGCCTTTGCGGATGACGCCGAGGTCGGGGCGGCGCAGGGCGAGGCCGCCGGCGACGGTGGCGAGGTAAAAGGCCTGCTCGACGTCAAACGGGTTGGGGTGGCCGATGGTGTTCTGGGCCAGCTTCTCGCGGAAGAGGGTGCGCCGCGTGACCTGCAGCCAGAGGCGGGCCTGCTGGACCATGTCGGTCGAGAAGGTAAAGTGCGTGTCGACGCCCAGGGCGCACTGGTCCAAGAACTTGTGGTTGTGCTCGTGGTCGTGGCCGTAGTGCATCTCGGACTCGGGCGTGATGGAGACGTACTGGTTGGACGACCGCAGCAGCTCGACGTCCTTATCGCTCACAAACGACGCATGCGAGATGACCACGGGCACGGGCGTGTTGAGCACCTTGTGCTTCTCCAGGACCTCCGGGCCGTGGTTGGCCACCCACGGACCGCCCAGCGAGTGCGTCGTGAGGACGTTCACGTCCTTGGTCGTGACGTACTCGACGACCGACGCCACCGTCTCGGGTGGGCTCATGGCCCACCCGTCGTACGCCACGCCAAACTCCGTCGGCGACGTCTTGAGCCGCTCGTCGGTGCGCAGCTTGTCGGCCACCTGGAGCTGCTGTGCGTGGTCGTAGCCGTTGGGCAGGTCGTGGAAGGTGTAGCACCAAAACACGCGCAGGCCGCTGTCAATGGACGCGTCCAGGCCGGCCTTGGAGGTGGCTGCGTCCCAGCAGTGGTGCGCGTGGTCCAGCGTCGTGGTGACGCCCGCGTTCAGGCACTCGTAGAGCCCGGCCAGCTGGCCCGCGTAGACGTCGTCCGCCGTGAAGGCGCCGAGGGCGGCATACTGGCCGTAGCGCACAAAGTACTCGGGCAGCGTCGTGTTGGCCGCAATCGACCGGTACGCCGTCTGCCAGCCGTGGCGGTGCGTGTCGACGAACCCGGGCGAGATGATCTTGCCGGTGGCATCGACCTTCTCGGTGTTGGCGGGCAGGTCGGCCGGCACCGGCGTGTCGGCGTCGTAGATGCCGGCGATGCGGTCGTCCTGGACCCACAGTGAGCCTGGCGCGACAACCTTGATGCGCTTGGTGGCGTCGTCAAACGTGATAATGGTGGCGTCGTGGAAGAGGATAGAGCTGGTGAGGTGTTGTCTTGGTAAGCTTCTTGTTTCGTTCCATTTGCATTGGCATTTGAGCGGGTGAATACTTACGTCGACATGATGGCGGCTGTTCAGACGAAATGGTATCACGAAATGGTATCTTGGCGATGAAGAGATGGGCAGTAAGACTGGACGGAGAGGAGATACAATGACCTTTTTGTTTTTGTAGGACTATGAGGAGGGGTTGAGGGGTCATGAAACAATACGACACAACAAACGACTTTATCTCGCCAGCGTCATTCAGAGGCCTGCTATCCAATCATGGCAAGCACGTCTCCATAGTCGACCCGATCAATACGTTCCGCGTGGTCGGGGATACGCAATTGTAGAGTCCACAAAATCGACCGTACACCTCGCGACGGGTTCCCTCATGTTCCGGACCAACTCGGCCCAGCACACTGCCAAGGTCGATAGCTGTAGTTGTTGGATAGCATATAGTGCTGACGACCTAGATGCGGAGACACGACTCGCGCAAGTCGGCAACAAAACGACGCGAGATGTGGAAGGCTGTGCGGAGTACGACATACATTTCGTGAGCATCCACAACCTGCTGGGGATTGACCACGAATTGCGACAAAAGGCTGTCCGTGAGGGGAAGCTGTCACCATACACTGCAAATGTGTTTGCTGAATAAATCTGAGATCCTGCAAACCGGCCCTAGGCGATGTCATCGACGCCTTTTCAGACTGTCTGTTATAATAAGCTTAGAGACAAGAGTGGTGCCGCTAATTGCTCACGCCCAACGACAGTGAGGACTAATGCAGTACTCCGACCGACGTAAGCACAGCTGAGCGCGGAGTTACGAAAAAGAGCCAGTCAGGCAGTAGACGACGGGCCAGGATGACAAAGACACTGCAAACACGTCCCGTGCCGGCCTCCAAGCGGACGAAGGGTGTGGCAAATCGCGTGACAGTGGGCCGTACAAGAGGAGCGATGCACCCATGTCCTTAATGTATCTTCCTGTGCCCGGAGAATATGGCCGGTCGCCACTCGTAGTGAGGCATGCTCGACAGAAAAGGGCCACCGCTGCAGCGACGTACAGGTGACTGCGCGTTGCTCGAGGTCGATGACAAGGCGGTTGAAGCCAAAGAATCAGAGACTGCTACATTCAGCCTATTTTTTTTTTCTTTTTTCCTCTCTTCATTGACACAGCGACACAGACACGCAGCGTGGCCGTACACACTACTCTGCATCCGTTGGATCCCAGTCGGTCACGAGGTGCTCGTCCATTGCATCCAGCGCCGCCATGTCCTCGGCCGACAACTCAAACCCGTTGACGTCGGCATTCTCGGCCATCCGCGCCCGCTTGGTACTCTTGGGCAGCGGCACCATGCCGTGCTGCAGCGACCAGCGCACCAAGACCTGCGCCGGCGTGCATTCGTACTTCTGCGCGAGCCGCGTCACGGCAGGGTGCTGGATCCGCATCCCGCGCGTCAACGGCGCATACGCCTCCACCACGATGCCGTGCCGCGCGCACGCGTCGCGGATGTCGGTGCGCGTGTTGAAGGGGTGCGACTCGATCTGGTTGACGACGGGCGCGACGCGCAGGCCGCTGTGCTGCAGGAGCTCCTCGACGTGCTGCGGGCCGTAGTTGGACACGCCGCCCGAGCGCACCTCGCCCGCCGCGATGGCGTCCTCGACGGCGCGCCAGCTGGTCCACCGCGCCGCGGGACCCCCCAAGGGGCTGTGCAGCAAAAAGAGGTCAATGTAGCCGAGGCCGCAGGCCGCCACCGACTCGCGGATGGACGCGCGCACGGTGTCGTAGGACGTGCTGTTCTCGGCGAGCTTGGATGTGTAAAAGACGTCGGCGCGCGTCAGGCCGTGGCGGGCCAGTCCCTCCTGCAACGCCTGCCCCGCCTCGCGCTCGTTGTCGTACATCTGCGCACAGTCAAAGCCGCGGTAGCCCTCGGCGAGACCGGCCTCGACGGAGGCGCTGGCTTCGGCGCGCGACATCTCAAAGAGGCCGAGCTGTATCTGCGGCATCGTATGGCCGTCGGCCAGCTGTCCACGGGTCAGCGGATGTGATCAACACACACATTGCTCGGGCATGGAGAGTACCTTGACGCGACTGGCAAGCGTATACTTGGTCGAGGCCATTGTGTTGGTCGGCTGATGAAGTAGGAATGGAATCTATGTCGTGGAAGGTTTGACTGGTATTTGAGTTGCGAGTTCCAAGTTGGCTGATTTCCCGATCAGTGCCTCGTTCATTTTTGTTTGCCATCGGACACGTCGTGGTTCTGCGCAGGCCGTCAGACCCCTCGATAGACGTCAGCCTCCTCGATATCCGTCAGCTCCCGGGGTCTTCGTCAGCCCCGCGATATTGGTGATTGTCAGTCGAAGACGTGACTAATATTCTAGGCCGCGCCAGCCGCGCCAGGGCCGCACCAAGTGGCGATACCGAGGTAGGGGAGCCGTAGTCATCGTTCGGTTTGTCCTTTGTGGAAAATGGCGATTCCTGTCTACGGTAGACGACCCGAGATTTGATATGCTGTGAGTATTATCATGTCGACGACAGTAAGAACGTATAATCTATATCCAACAATGTGAGCTACTGCACGATGTTGGAATTGTTTTTCCTGTTCATTTTCGTTGAAGAATAAAACGAAGAGCGGAATGCAAAAAGCAGAAATAAATGCAGAATATTGAAAATTATATGCGAGTAAAACAATTAACCAGTCGATGAATAAAAGTGCTGTGAAACAGCCCCCCATGAGTCCCCTCAATGCATTCAAACAGAAGCACACTCCATCCTACGCGCCCACACAAATGTAGTAGCCAGCCGGCAGGCTTTCACAGGACGTCTTGCACGAGCTGATGATGGGCAGCAGACCGGAGAGGCCACAGAGAACCGAGCCATCCGCGCCGCGCGAGAGATTCGTGTTCCACGTGAGTCTGCACGCACGTTAGTACCGCACATTGTGAGCAGCATATTTCCCGACCAGGCGTGTCCGAGTGCAGCCAACCCCACCTACAGGTTCACCAGTTGCACGTCCTCCTTGTCCGACACCGAATCACACGTGTCGCCCGCCTGTATGCGGTAGTACTGCGTGCAGCCGCTCACGGTGCCTTTGAGAACGGGCGAGGGCGTCGCAGCCGGCGGCGCCCGACCGGGGCCCGTACGTGTCGGCTGCGGGAACCAGAGCGTGGACGACGGCAGGGTGCCGCCGTTGCCGTCGTCGCCTCCACCAAAGACGATGACCGTGGTCGTGACGGTCGGCAGCGGGAGGCCGGTTGTTGGTGGTCGGCTTGTTGGCGTGGTCGGCCCGCCTCCGGCTGTCACAATGGCTGTTGAGGTGACGATGGTGACGCTGGTCCGCAGGATGGTTGATATAAATGTGGACACAGCGGTGGACGCAACAGTCGTGGTTGTCCGGACGGTGGAGACGGATAGGACAGTCGACGTGCGGGTGACGACGGCTGTGGAGGTGACGGTGGACGTTCTTGTCGCCGCGATGTCGGACGTCTCGGTGGCGGTCGCCGTAACAAAAGACGTGGAGACGATGACCGACGTGGAGGTGACTATGCTGGTGGCCACTGCGGTTCGAGACACCGTGACCGTCTCGGTGAGCCACACAACAGACGTGGCCACTGGCCCAGCCGGGGCACTTCCACTGCCGCTGTTGCTGCCGCTGCCACCGCTGCCACCATTGCACGTTCCAAATGCCGCATTGCAGCCCGTGCCGCAGTAGGTATCGGCGTCGCCACAGTACCCGTGCTCGGAACAGCACTTGCCAAAGGATGAGCCGTCACATGTTACTCCGTTGCCGCAGGTGCCGTCGGTGCTCGTAATGAGTGTCGAGGCCTGTGCTGGCGAAGACTCTGTCGACGATGCAAGACTGTCGGCAAGGTCGCGAACGCCATGTGCTGATGCCGTAGCGGTGACGATGGAGGCCGCTGTGGCAAACAGAATGGTCCACTGTCGCCACATGTTCGATTGCTTATCGCGAGCGCAGCGCAACAACCTTGGACGAGCAAACAATCGCCATACGGCGTCACTGCCGCAGGATGTTCTGACTATACATATACCAAAAACAAAATTTTCTGTGCCGTCATAGTGCAGACGCCAGAGCAACGCTACTATATTGGCTACAATTCCTGGTTTATTTCGTGTCCCCAAAATAGACCCGGGACGAGCAAAATCTGAGCTACATACTCGTCTGGACATGCAAAGACGGCCAGGGCCCTCTGGCCAGGGCAAATCTTGCCTCTTTTGCTACGGACAGCGGACATCTGGGGCGGGGAAGAACCGTCACGGGTGGACTTTCCGACTGCTTGGCTTTTTGCAGGCCGCTGGCAAACAATCTACAGCCAATATCAATGTTCGTAATGGCAAATATCACCTGCAATGTCGGATCTCTGCAAAGTGCACCGGCAAATTAACAAAAGGCCACTGGCTCGTGCCTCTTGGCGGACCGGGTAATATGACAGCCGGCGGAACCATGGTTCGGTAACATGTTATTTGGCCGTTGGCTAGGCCATCGCGCGTAGCTTCTCGTCTCCTCAGCTCCTCAGTCACCTCCTTCTGTTGGATGGGCCACGATACCTCTGCCGACCGGACCACACGCACCGCCCGCCAGACCGGGGGTTCTCGGCCTTGCGCTGCGCACACTTGGCCTCGCCGTCCTATGTTCAGGGGATTTCCGCGGCGAATAGCAAATGTATCTCGTCGGCCGTGTGCTGGCTGGACTCGGGGTACAAACCTAGCGGATGGAAATGCCGAGAGAATTGCTGCTGCTAAACTGTACACGCTCTTCACAGTCGACGGCAGCGGCAATATATGCAAAGACGAGTACCAGGGTGCCGTTTCAATGTGCGTACTTGCCTGCTCCGCGACGTATACTTCTCTCGCTCGCCCTCCTCTGGTGCTTGGGTCGTCACAGCCGCAAATCCATGTACCACATCTCCACAAGTCCATTCTCACGTCTTTCATTGGTTCGTAGCCTTTGAGCTGTAAAAGCATTGCGTTAGGCCCATCATAATATCCATATGTTAGACTTCACACGCTCATAGTGAGATACGTTCACAGATTGGGCGGTATCACACGCCGGATTGGCCCATTCTCGAACGTGCACAAACTCGCCCTGTTCGCCTTCTGCAGCAACATCACAGTTCACAGAACTTGTCGGCTGCACGTCAGCCACCAAATACACACACCTCCAGATTCGAAGCACCCATATTCCAAATGCTTGCGGTCGTCGCTAACATCAAACATATGCATTTTGTGAACCGTAGGCAGGTGCAGGGGTCAAGGATACCGTCGGCCCCCAAATGTGCTGCAATACCACACACACTTGTAGCATCATACAGTCTTTACAGGCGCCCGTGGAGTAACGACGGCCAATACAAACCGCCTAGCTAGGCAGCAGCTCGCTTTTCTGCACATTTGTGTCATATCGACAACCACTCTCCTTGCCATTATGAATGGCAAAATCGATGTGCTCGTTGTCCAGGGCGAACCTGCTGACTATGAAAAAAAATCTCCTACTATTATTATGCTTTGCAGTGTGTTCCAATCTGCGCCTTTTGCGTCACGGCTTGCGTATAAAGAACGTTGTATCTTCTTTTTTTGTCCGGTGATGTGAGAAAGAGATACTGTATGCAATAAGATACTTGCTTCCCGTATGCCTTACATGTAGGTAAAGTGTAAGAAATCCTGTCAACGTGTCGAAAAATCAAAACTAATCCCTCTTTTGTCATCCTTCATACAGGCCAGCCACGGGCCGGTGCGCACTTTTGTCCAGATGACGTCCAGTTCGACACGAGAGGGCTTTGACAATCGGCGAGGCCAGTGGCGTTGCAGTCTCCGCGGACGTCGAGGCCCAACATCCACATGCATTGAAGCATGAACGGACACAGTCCGAGGACTCCATTGACCCTCTGCACTGGAGCGTGGAACAGTTCCAAGAGGAAATCGCTGGCTGGGAGGGGGCCTTCGGCGAGGCGCAGATTCATGATCCTCTCGAGGCGTCTCTGCCAATTTACGTGGAAACCTTCTTGACCGAAAATAAGCAGGTATATTTCACAGCTCCAGATGGGCAGCAGTTCACAGTAGATGTCAAGGATTGGAGCAAGTCGTTTGTATTTACGGAGGATGAGCAGGTGGACTGTTTGTTATATGTCCCGCCCTTTACGACAGGCGGGTTTTATACTTTTAAACATAAAGATGGCGGAGGCTTGCAGCAAAAAGGGAAGGGCACAGAAAACCGTAAAAATGCAGGGGGAAGAAAGCGTCGACGATAGTCAAAGTCTTACATACACGGTAGCTTGACTACTTGTTAGAATTTGTGAACAGAATTGATTTAATACCCATATCCAAATATTGACCGATTTCCACCGCTGCTCTTCAACGCTACCTCGGTGCCCGAATTTATTATGATCTGTTAATATATGTCTTTGTTTATATACCTATCTTTCTCGTCGTCAACTTTACGACATCTTAAGGCGACTCAGTGCCCCTGGCGCATCAGCTTGCACAACGCCATCTCGCCATACTTCCACCGACATGGCATCGTAATGCTTGAGTTGCTTCGGGCTACCCGTTGCAGGCAAACGATCGCCCTGGGCCGGCATCTGCGGCAAAACGGTGCCAGCAAAACCCCGTTCGACTTGAGTGTTGGCCCACCAAAAAATAGTCTCTGTGGCATGACGGGACATGGTACGGATTTTGTCCCACTCGGTGGGCTGAATGGGGTTTGCTTCCAAGGCTGCCGTAAGCGTAGCATCCAGAGGTGAATCGGGTGCCGGCGGGGGCGGAATGATTCGAGCAGGCGGCATCGGTGTGGACCTGTTGAGGAAGAAGCCATCGTCTTGGTCAGTATCGGCACCCGGGACTAGCCAGGTCCAGTGGGAATATGTCCAGCGGTGGCCGCATGTCACATGCGCGCGAATCTCCAACTCGACGTCCTCGACGCGCATCACGCCAAATGGGGGCCAAGGATGCAAGGGCATGTACTGAAAGTTCTCATCCGGAGGGTAATTTCTGGTAAACGCATGCCGCAACCGACACACGTGGGCACGGGACACAAGGCCGGCACCCTGTGGCGAGGCCGATAGTAAGTCATGTAAAAAGCAGGCCTGTAGGCCCGTCCAAGCGGCCGCCATCCCTCTTGAGACCAAATAACCCGCAGACTGGAGGTGGGACAGGTACCAATAAACGCTTTGCAAGAAGCGGCCGTGTCCACAAAGAGCGACACCAAGCCACAAGGGAGCCGAACGCGTCCCCGAGAGCACTTTAGCAAAAAGCTCAAAGTCGCCATCGGGCCGGGTGGCACCGGTTTCCGTCCACAGGATTGGTATGACGATGGCAGCGGCGGGTTGGATCCAGGCACCAGCCAAGTGGCAAGGCACGTCACGCTCCCAGAAGGCACTGAAGAGAGCCGAACCAATCACCCACGGCGCGAGGCTGAGCGACAAGTAGTAGCTGAGGTTAGCGAATTCGCTGGACAAAGGGCAGTTGGCAAGATCGCAGGCGGGATCAATGGCATCAACGTCATGAACACGGCCACGGCCACGTCCACGACCTCGACCTGGACCTCGGCCACGACCGCGGCTACCACCACGGCCAATATCGGTGCCTAGCCTTGGCCGTGGCAAGCAGATGGGGTTCTCTTCACGCCAAAATGTGTGGCTATGCAGTGGAAAGGTGAGCGCGGCAGCGAACGCGGCGGAACTCTGGCTGCCGAGACGGAAGAAGGCGCACATGCGGGCGAGGTAGCGCGCGGCCTGTCGCGCCGTGGGAGGTGTCTCCGCCACGGCGTCGATCTCGTCGGCATCCGTGGCGACAGCGACGCGCCCCAGGCCCTCTTCGGCCACATCGACGGCCCATGGCGTCAAGCCGCCGTCCGCAAGCACCCAGCCAGCGCCCGGGGCGGTGATGGCACGCCACCATCGCCGTTCGGCCGGCGTGGCGTACGGGAGCGACACAGTCTGTTGCGTATTGTCATGCTGCACGCCATCGGTCTGGCCGTCGACGTTGCAAGTGTCTTCGTCGCGGTACTCGACGGACACGCCCTGCCGCTCGGCGAGGCTAGCACTCAGCACATAGGCCCAGCCCAGCGCCAGCCACGCCACGCCATTGTGGGGCGTGCCTGGCCACGTTGCAAATGACATGCTCTCCGCCGGCGCCACCGTCACGCGGATGCGGTACTTTGTTCGCAGTGAAAACTTCTCCTTTGGTCCCTGTAGATTGCGATGCGCACACGGTTTGAGGGGAGCCCCCGTCCAGAACGGCATGCCGTAGATCGTGTCGGCATCGCGCGGCAGCGAGTCCGGCAGCGCCGGTGTGCGGAACAGCGCACGCTGCACATCCAGAGCCTTGGGCGCTGCGGCCGCTGCTGTGCTGGGCAGCGCTAGGGCCTGGGCGAGCGCCTGCTGCCAGTGTGCGCGGCTTCGTGCAAACACGCGCTCGGCGTCCTCGCCGTCGTACGTCGGTATTGTCGATGGCGAGTCCATGGCGCTGCGTCATGTGGTTTGCGGATGCAACACGGCGTATTGAGCAAAGGGCGCGCGCAAGAAGCGCATGGGGCACCAGGTACGTGTATACCGGACGGAGTGTTGCGCGTCAAAGCCGTTTGAATGTTTTTGTTTTGATGAAACCTGAGATTGGATGAGATGGACGTGCTAGTCACATGGCTATATTTTCGTGTCATCCCCGCCTTCAAGTTGCTAATTGAGTTTCACGTGACTAAATAATGCCTGTTTGTCGAAGTGCCTTCATACGAGAGCGCGCACGAGGCCACAAAAGAAAAGACCCAGGTCTGCCAGAGATGATAGAACAGAGAAAATACTTGGACCGATGTACGAAGGAAACAAGGGGCGGCTCGAAGAATAGAAATAACTAATTGGCGCCTCCAGGAACGCAGGGACCATAAGAGAAGAGAACGCTAAGGGGGCCGCTAGAACCAGAAATTGCAAAGTTTCAGGCACAAGCGGAGGTTAAAAATAGTCAAGATTCGCTAATAAAAATAAAAATAAAACATACGTTGTGTTTGGCACTTAAGAGAACAATGCTGTAAGATCCCCAGGCCTGGCAAGGGTCGGTAGCTTATCCCCTTGAGGCCGAAAATATGACTTTTTTTTGTGGGCCTCTTGTGGGGAGGTGAGTACTTTTACTTACTTCTATGGCAGGGGGTAACGCGTAGTCCTCTAGACAACACGCCATACATTTTTCTATGGCAGCGCGTCTCAGGCATAACATCGCTACTTTTTTCTGGAATTTACGTGAAGATGCCACCGAAAAGGAGTAAAAACATCAAACAAAAAGAAGCCACTACGCCGGCCAAAAAAATAAACAAAAAATCGAAAAAAACACCTAGAAAAGCACCTGTCTCTACACTTGAATCTGCACCTCTCAAACCTGTGCCTACACCCTCAGATATACGGTATATTCTGACTCCTTATTCACCATTCAAAACTATGGAAAAGAAGCAATTCGCCCGGCAAATCTCTCCTGATTTACCTCGTGATCCTTTCGAAATATTCGTTCTCTTTTGCCCTCTCTCTCTCGTGGCAGAATAGGCTGTCTATATAAATGCTAGACGGTCTAGTCACTAGCAGCCTACTTATACAGAAGAGCTCTACGTTTTCTTCGGTATTTTAATATATATATTATATATCACCTTACCGTCAATTGACGCTTATTAGGACACTTCTCCAACCTCCACTATCCATCCTATCACTAGATTTATGGTACGGGATAGATTCGTCGGGTTATATAGGCGTTTTTGTACGTGGGACACGTTGGATAAATCAAAATCAACAGTATTCGAAAAAATCAAAGGCTGGAGCGACCATTTACAGCTTACTTCGACTACATTTTGGCGACCTTCTAGTGATGTCAGCGTCGACGAAGCTATGGTTCGATTTACAGGCCGAAGTAAAGACATCGTGCATCTACCGAATAAGTTAATCCCGGTAGGATATAAGATCTGGGTCGTCGCCGATGCTGGCTACTTTTTGAAGTGGTCTTTTCATTCAAAAGGTGAAGGACCTGTCGAATATAAACAACAAGAGGGCCTCGCACCTACACAAGGCATTGTTATTGATCTTCTTGATCGATTACCATCACCGCCTTCTTCTTCGTATGGTTACCATTGTTTTATGGATAATCTATTTACATCACCACAGTTATTCGAAGAGCTGCGAAAACGAGGTATTTCAGCCACCGGGACAACACGCCATAATCGTATCGACAGTAAACAAATGTCGACATTACGTACGGAGGATAAAACCAAGGATCATATACCATGGGGCACCGTATATGCCAGAAAACATAAGGATACCGACGTTATGCAATTCGGCTTCAAGGATAACGCATTTGTGCTTCTTTTGAGTACTTTTTTCAATGGCTGGGAAGATCCTGTCGAAAGACTTCGTCGAAGGCCAGCAAAAACATCAACAAGTACAAAAACCGCACGTCTACCTTTTAGCAACGAGTCTACGAAAAACCTCATGATACCAAGTATCATAGATTCATATAATCACCATATGAATAGCGTCGATATTGGTGATCAATTACGTGCTGGATTTCAGTCAAAAAGACGAATAAGACGAGGTGGGCAACAAACACTTCTTTTCTTCTTTTTATTTGAAATATCTATTTCAAACGCATACCTTTTACGACGGTATAACAACAACGACGAAAAAAGTAATTATGGCTCTTTTCGACAGCAACTTTTTGAGCAAATCTTCACGAAGTTCGGTCAACAAGTCGCCTTACGGAGCCATAAAAACCATACGGGCACACCTTACATTCACACGCCCGTAACTATAAATCATACGACGATTCGGCTACAAAAGCGACAATTTTGTGTCTATTGCTCTTCAAAAAAGCGTAATATGCTGTTTTTCGAGCCTCAACTTGCCAGGGCACCTCTCCAGAAGGCTCGAATTAACACGGGATGCCAGGAGTGCGGCGTTACGTTGTACCAAAATTCAAAAAGAGACTGTTGGGCGCGGTGGCATCGGTGGGCTAATTCAGGGGCTGGAAATGGCGCTGAACAGGTGTGACTTATTTTTAGGTGGTGGGGTAATGTATTTGTTTGTATCTTTTGGTCATGTGGAGCCTAATTGACCAATTATAAGGTGCGGCTGAAAAAAGTCATATTTTCGGCCTCAAGGGGATAATCCTTGCTGTAGATCCATCACTACAGAGACCCCGCTATGTTGAACCCAGCCGAGACCCCTTTCAGTCCCAACTGCGCACCCTCCAACCCCAATACCAGTTTGCCACTGACATGCAGCGAGAAGAGCCTCAGTGCCGTTATCACCGTCATCAAGGCCCAGCGGTCGCCCAGCTTCTCGGTGCCCATCAGGTAGAGCGAAAAGCCGTGGGTGGAGCCTATCCATTTCATCCTCCATGCAAGGATGGCGACCGTCTCGTAGCCACCTGCTGCGGGTGACAACGCGGAGAGCTGCGTGCTGTTACCCGCCATGCTGCCACTGCGCGCTTGGGCCGTCGGGGAGCGGGACGAGAGCCGCACGAGTCTGAATCCGCCGGACGCAGCCGCGTTGTCTTCGCCCTTGCGGATCTTCCGCCACTCGAACTCCTCGCGCCGCATCTCCTCGCCCGCTTCGATAGCGAAACGCAGCGAGCCGGCCGTGGTAGCGAGGCGCATTTTCTCAATGGCCATTGTGGATGCCTCCTCGTTGGGGTCGAGACACGGTAACAGAACAATGGTGTCCGGGTTGAGGGAGCGGCCCGGGGTTTCGTTGCCCGCTGCGGCGAGGACGGGGTCCTTTCTGCTCATTCCGCTGTGCAGGAGGAGGCCTGGTCTGGCACCCAGCGGCTTTCTGCCGCTGAAGCCGGTGTGCGACTCGACGACATACAAGCACTCGTCCCGGCTGGCACCGCAGAGGTCGAAGGTCTTTATTCGTCCCCAGTTCGAGTATGCATTTACAACGGGTGGGAATAGACGGCTGGGGGAGGAAGACGTCGCCGCCATGTTCAATGATGATTTCTGTCATGAACTGTATCAAAGAGATTGTGGTTTAGGACCTCTGGCATCCATGGGACTACGAAGGGCAGGGGGATGTGTGTGGAAGATATAGGCTCTCGCCATTGGGGCAGTGCCAGACCACCACTACAACAAAAGAGGTAGGGTTAAAGTAACGCGGTGGTTTGTTGGCCTTTCTCCGTTGGCGAGGTAGCCAGGTCGTGTCAAATAAAGAATGCTCCCTAACATATGTATGTTGTACAATCGTTTTTCAGGGGGACTCGTGGAAACATCGTTTTCCACTGACTAGACCTCGGGCTTTAGTTCAAGGGCACGCGGCCGCATCGGCATCTCTGCTTGGCACTTGGCATCCCAGGCAAAACCGCCGTCCCGGGCCATAGCGTAGCCGTTGCTCTTCCTTTTATCTGTATCCAATTAAGATAGCAGCTTGTGGCATAGCCCCGCCGTAACAGGCCCTCTGCCTCCCCGCGGTTCGGCACCTGCCGCTCTAGCTCTTCGGCTAGTCGCCCAAGTCGGCCTAACAGACTCCCCGTCCGACAAGTATGGGCGTAGGGAATGTAAGGTGCGAGGACCTTGGCCGGAGACAACATCACGCCGGTGCCGTTTTCTGGCGAGATACGAATGCCCGTGACTTGGACAATTACAGTACAGGTATGATATTTCGCTCGTCACAAGCTTGACCTTTATGGCAATCCTCAAATACTTCCCGTAGAGATAGTATGGTATCGGCGTAGGGTCGACAGCGAAAGAATACTACCTCGATGGGGCTGTGCGACGCGTGTCGAAGCGCGCCGCTAAAATTGACGGTACATCGCTACTTATCCAGACGCCTGGGATACGCTGGGGCAAAGAGGCTCTACCGTCGCAGTGGGGAGCGGCCAAGAAATGCTTGTTGCTGTGATCATTACCGCATTCAGTCTCTCGCCATGTTCGCATTGTATTAAGCGTATTCTTGTTGGTGGAGCCCTCACAAGCCGCTTCTATCCCGACGTCCAAGTCTCGCACTTGAGACCACCCATGAGCCGTGGCTACGGTTGGATTCACGACTACGCAACGGCCAATGTCACCACTGGAAGTGGAAGCATCGCTGCTAGTTTGAGTCGTCACGTAGCGAGAATTCTGGCTATAATAATCAAGTATCAGTGCGTCCCGTCTCTTAGGTCAACAATGCAGTGTACTTTGGTCGGGCTCTTTGGGCCCTTGATATCGAACCATGCATGTAACAACAGCCAAACAGGTAACGCTAGCCCAGGCACGACTGGCAGGCTAATGTCATGAGAACCGTAGGTGACGACTGAGTTTTTATTAGAAGGTTTTTAATTAATGTGCTAATGGACAAACCTACTTGCAATGTTTTGAGCAAAAGATCTTCAGTTTATTGTGAAGAGATATTTGAAACATCATTTATATTTCCCTCGCCTTGTACGAAAAATATAGAAATATAAAACAGAAAGAAAATTAAAATAAAAACAAAAACAATAAAAGCTCGACTGTGCCATTCTAGCATTTTGCTTTCGTTTTCTGTGAAATCTCCTTGCATCTAGAGACGATATTTCCAGATAACCGGTGGACCAAAAATTTTTTAGTCAGCGTTCGTCCCCTGTGATTTGCAGACAAAGTAGAGTGCGACTAGTGAGTTTTAGCGTTACAGCCGCTGCCACAAAATGTAACCGCGAGCGCAGGAAAACGTACATAATGCATGTGTTGTTTTTGTTGTTTTCGAAAAGATAGGAAATAAATAAATAGACATATACATGTAGACCTATGTAAAACGAGAGGATACTGCCCTATATTACAGCATGGGGTCTTTTGGAACACTGCAATGTACAACGCCCCGTGAAGACTCTCCAGCTGCGCTGCCGTTTCGTATTTCGTTTTCCAAGCCACATCCTTCCTTCTGCGACCCCACGTACCTGTCGCTTTTAACTGTGGCTCTTCTGTAATGATGCCTATCGCCTCGATCCTCCACAGACTGTCGCCCAGTTACCGCGTGTCTTGGCTGCATGCGCAGCCAAGTCCCCCCGCGCCTGGCCACAAAATATGATTGCGAAATGTCCCAAAACAAATTTGACCTGAATTTGCTTTTTCAAACACATCGACAGACAGCACGGATCGCGCACATCTGAAACCCCGGATGCAAAGGACATGGCAGGCTTCCGCGACAAGCTACACAAATGGCGAGACAGAAAGGGTGACGGGCGGGCACAGCCGGGCGCCGAATCCGACCCCGCATCCGATGCCGCATCGGTTGCTTCCACATCCAAAGTCCGCAAAAACGACCAACACGCGCAATCGGAGCATTTAGAGCGTTCCGGTGACAGCCCGGTTAACCTCGTCCATCGCCCAAAGTCAGATTCGTCGGCCACGGCGCAGTCGCTGTGGGATCGCGCATATGACGCCCTTGGCAAGGACAAGGCGCAACTGGTGCGGGACTATGAAAAACTGCTCTCGCAAGAGGAGCAGATGGCGAGTATGGACCGCGACGTCATTTTATGGTATCGTACACGCGAGGCATACGTTAATTTATACTTTCTGTGATACAGATCCCGCGCTGCAGAGCAACTCCTCCGCACAAGACGCGCCACACAACGACGTGACCCTGGCGCCCGACAGTTCACCGCGGCACAGCCAACTCGACACCGTGATCCGACAGGGGCTACAGCGAGTCGAAGACAAGAAGGCGAAATACACCATCGCCGGCCACGAATTTGTCCTAACCGACCAGGTCGCGCAGGCCGCGGGGTTCGTGCTCTGGGCCAAGGACTGGATCGGCGAGGCCGTCAAGGCGTCGCCCGAGGCGTCCATTGCGTGGGCCGGTGTCTGCATGATTCTGCCGCTCCTCACAAACGCCAAGACGACAGAGGACGCCAACCGCGACGGGTTCACATACGTCACCACCCGCATGCGCTACTACACCGCGCTGGAGCCGTTGCTGACGAAGCTCGGCGAAAACGCCGGGGTCACCGACGCGTTGATCGTAGAAGCCAGCAGCAGCATCATGGACCTCTACCAGCACATCCTCGAGTTCCAGATCAAGAGTGTGCTGCGGTTTTATCAGAGCCGCCTCAAAGGCTACGCAAAAGACACCTTTCTACCAACAGAATGGAAGACGATGCGAGAGGAGATTGAGCGGCTGGAGGCGGCCGCCAACGGCAACCTGAGGCAAATCAACGAGCTCGTGTCGCGACAGGTGCTCGAGTCGCTCGACAAGACGAGCAACGCCTCCCACGACACCATGCTGGGGCTGCTGTCTGTGTCGCAGCAGCAGCTCCGGGTCGCCGAGAAGCACGTGGACATTGCAGAGAAACAGCTTGCGTTCCAGGAAGACGCAGCGCAGCGGGCGCTGACGGACAAGGAAGAAAAGATACACCAGGTCTTCCGCCTGACGGCCGACGGCAAAGACGCGACGTACGAGTGGTACAAGAACCGTGTGGAAGACCGCGTCGAAGGCACATGCCAGTGGTTTCTGACGCACGACCACTTCCAGCAGTGGCTGCGCGAACAGGACTTTGGCCCGCTGCTCGTCTCGGCCGATCCGGGCTGCGGCAAGTCCGTCTTGGCCAAGTACTTGGTCGATCACGCGCTGCCGCAGTCGGCCGCGGCTGCGGCCACCACCACCACCATTTGCTACTTCTTCTTCAAGGACCAGGACCAAAACACCGTGCGCCAGGCACTCTGTGCACTGCTTCACCAGCTCTTTGCCCAGAATCCGGCCTTGATCGAGCACGCGGTGCCGGAATACGCGCGCGACGGCAGCCAACTCGTCCATGCGACAGAATCCCTCTGGCGGATCTTTGACCGTACTGTGCGCGACGCCCGCGCCGGAACTGTCATCGTCGTCCTGGATGCCCTCGACGAATGCGCCGAAGACGAATTCAAGGACCTGATCCGGCACCTGAAGGACCAATTCGACGGCGGCGACCCGGCCCAGGCGCCCCGTCCCAAGCTCAAGCTGCTTCTCACGAGCCGCCCGTACGAGCAAATTGTGTCCCAGTTCGACGGCGACCAGGACCTGCTGGACGCCTTTCCCCACGTCCATATACCCGGCGAGGAACAGTCGGACGCCATCGGCTCCGAAGTCAATCTCGTCATCCAATACCGCGTCAAACGGATGAAGTTACCGGCCCAGGTCCGGGTGCGGTTGACCGACAATCTGCTTGCCGTGTCGCACCGGACCTATCTCTGGATCTACATGGTGTTTGACCACCTCGAAACGGAAAGCTTCAAAAAGACGGCCAAGGGCGTGGATGCGGCCATTGCGACGCTGCCCAAGAGCGTCCCCGAGGCATATGAGCAGATTCTCAACAAATCCAAGAACCACCGCGAGGCCCGGAAAGCCCTGGCCATCGTCTTGGCGGCGCGGCGGCCGTTGACGCTCTCGGAGATGAACGTCGCCATGAACATACAGGACGACAACGTCGGCCACAACGCCTTTGACGACCTGGACCTGGAAGACGACGAGGACTTCAAGCACAATCTGCGCTCGTGGTGCGGCCTGTTCCTCTCCGTCTATCACGGCAAGGTTTACTTTCTCCACCAAACGGCGCGCGAGTTTCTGTTGGCCGATCAGCCTACGTCGCCGTCGCCATCCAACCTGCGCTGGCATCACTCCATCACCGCCCGTCATGCACACACCGTCCTGGCCGAGCTCTGCGTGCTCTATCTGTACGACTTTACGCCGGACGTGGTCTCCTTCACCGATCCAACAGACGCATCGGACGAATGGGACGAACCGGACGAACCGGACGAACCGGACGAACTGGACGAACCGGACGCACCTGATGGGTACGACAACAGACGCATCGCGTTTTTGAATTATTCGGCGTTGCACTGGGCCTTCCACTTTCACGAGGCCGGCATTGCCGACGACGCACGCATCGTGCCGCTGGCGTCCGGCATTTGCGATCCAGAATCCGGGAGCCACGTGACGTGGTCCGCCATCTATTGCGAAGTTCGATTCGGACCGGGCACCGAGGATTTAACGGGCCTGACAGCCGCCGCCTACTTTGGACTCGAGTCGGTCGTGCGGTTCCTGCTCCAAAATGGGGCCGGCGTGAACGTGGGGGACACCTACAGCAGGACGCCGCTGATGCATGCCATCGAAAAGGATCACGAATCCGTCGTACGCCTACTGCTGGAGCACGGTGCCGATGTCGAGGCGGCAGACAAGGACGGCAAGACGCCGCTGTCGTACGCCGCCGAGAACGCAGCCCTGACGCAGCTGCTGCTGGAGGCGGGTGCGCCGATCGAAACGACGAATGCGCATGGCCGGACGCCGCTGTCGTACGCCGCCGAAGAGGGGCACGAGGCCGTCGCGCGGCTGCTGCTCGACAATGGCGCCAACATCGAAACGAAGACGGAAGACGGCTTCACGCCGTTGACGTACGCCGCCCTCTATGGGCACACGGCCGTGGCACGGCTGCTGCTCGACAGGGGCGCCGACACGGCGACAGCAACGGGTGCTGATGCTTGGACGCCGCTATTCTTCGCCGCCAGTGAAGGGTGGGAGGTCATTGTGCGGCTGCTCGTCGAACAAGGCGCCGACATCGAAGCGACGAACGCCAGGGACCAGACGCCATTATGGGTGGCCGCGATGCAGGGCCACGAGGCGATCGTGCGGATCCTGCTTGAGGAAGGCGCCGACGTCAATGTGACGAGCGACCTTCAAATGACGCCATTGTTATGGGCCGCCCTGCGGGGGTACGAGGGCATCGTGCGCTTGCTGCTCGAACGAGGCGCGGACATGGAAGCGATAAATAACGACGGGCAAACGCCGCTGTCGTTGGCGGCTGAGCAGGGGCGCGTGGCCGCTGTGCGGCTGCTGCTGGAGCACGGCGCCAACATCGATACGAGGGACAAGTTTGACAAAACGCCGCTATTTTATGCTGACGACGACGGGTACGACGACGTGGTCGAGCTGTTGGAGTCGTATGGGGCTCAATATTGACGGCGCAGACGCAGTGCGGAGCTCGGTTGGTGCGCCGGTTTGTATGCGATTGCATGGCACCCTGTTGGAATGTACAAATTTGTTCATTCTGCCCCGAAAGTGGCTGCCATCCCAGCTGCGCCAAGCTCAAGTGCATACCTTTGCTGAAAATCGACTCTAGATACAGCGAGCGGAGATCCATGTCGTTGCCGCCTTGCCAGCGTCGTATGTAAACAGCCGCCTGGGATGATTGGGAGGCATACGAAGCAGTGTAAACTTGCCTGTCCCGTTGGGCCAGAGGACTTGAGGCGAAGCCGAGACTTTCGGATGGCCACAGAAAGCGAGGAAGTCCCGCAGCACGCGCAACGGGGACCATGCTTGCAAAGGCCCAGTCGATGACACTGTATTTCGATGCAGAAAGGTAAATAAGAAGGACAAACCAAGGTAAGAGGACATCTGCCTCTGTCTCGTCTTCTGCTCTGTTGGTGACGCACCTTTGAATGTTGCCATCGGCATCGACAATAACGTTTTCTGGCTGCAAACCGCCGTGATCCAAGGCAAACGCCGTTTCAGACATGCCTTCGTCGCCGAGGACAGTAGAGAGAAGACGTTGCTGAACAAGGCAGCCTTGGTCGGAGAGGCCTAGGAGGTTTCCGTCCTGGACGCGTTTACGTCGATTCGCCATTGCTGGACGACTTGTTGGCCAACTTCCGGCCTCGACAAGAACGTACTACGTCGCAAGGGAATTACTGGCAAGAGAGATATTTCTATCTTTTTGACAACCGAGGCAAACAAAAAGTAAAAAAACAACGAAAAAGAAAGCACGGTGTGATTTCATAGACGCATAAACGCAGCTCACTATAAATGCCGGCACATTTCCCTGCTTCACTCGTCGGGCACATCTATACCCAAACCCCCGTGAACTTTCCTCATATGTGGGTAGATGTGATCCTTACTGAACACGCCGAGACAGACCCAGCAGATGTGTGCGCCGCACGAGCACGAGATGTGGTTGCAGCCGTCACGCTTTTCGATCAAGGTGGAGCACTTTGGACACGACTTGATACCAAGTTCTCGTTTCGCCTTTTCCAGCGCGGCGTAGCCACCCGAGGCCCATTCCCGGTGATCGGCACAGCTGAGACCCTCGTGCGCCACATGGCAGGCCCGACAGACGGGCGCGATGCACGCAGGGCAGGTAAAGAGCGTTGTGGCGGCCGACGCGGCCGTCTTTGACACGCGGTAGATCTGCCCGCAGTCGGGCGTCGGGCAGTTCCGCAGGGCGTCGGTGTGGCGGACGACGTAGGCCCGGAAGGCAGATTCCAGCACGGTTTCGAGCACCACCGACGACAGGTGTGCCTCCAGGGTCGGCAGCGCCAGCAGCGTGTCGCACGTGGCCGCGTCGCCTACGCACCGGATCCCCGGGGCGGACTCCGCACCGGCCTGGCACATCTCGCCAAAGCAGTCACGGCAGTACCAGTGCTGGCATGGCGTGCGGACGGCGTTCTCGGCCTCGCCCCAGCAGACGGCGCAGGTGGCGGGTACAACGTCGGCGGCAGTCACCGCCACGGCAGTCATGGGTGGCACCTTTTGCAGCCCGCGCACCATCGCCAAGATTGTCTGGTGCTCGCTTGCACTGCAGGACACCACGAGGATCCGCTTCGGCGTCGACACAATGTCCATCCGCGCCTTGTCGGGCCCGACGGCCTCCGCAATGGCCCGTAGCCCACCCTGCGCGGCCCACGCGAGCTGCGCGCGGTCCAGTGCGATGGCCACATCTTTGGTCTCTGGACCGTTTGCCGGTTGTGTCGGTTGTGTCGGCCGGGCCACGGCGTGGACCAGGGCCGCCACGCCGTCGATGGTTCGTCGCTGGCGCTCCCGCGTGCCCACCACACGCAGCTCACACCGTCGCCAGTCGTAGAGGAACGCCACAAGATGCTTCTTCTCCAGGGCCTTGAGCTGCCCGCGGATGCGCACGCCCCTGTCGCCTGTGCCGCTCCGAGACGAAAATTCCGGCAGCCAGAGCGGCGTGGGCGGGCCGTTGTGGTCGAGTGACGGGTCGACGGCCAGGGCGCCGGCCACGACCGTTTCGAGCGTGGCTTTGGCCGTCGCCACGTCGTGCCGCACCGTGCCCTCGACTTTCAGCACGCGGAACCCGTTGTTGGCTGGAAACGCGGTGAAATTGACGTGGCGAGGCTTCCAGTCGTGGACGGCATGGTCCGTGACGGTGCTGGCCACGGCACCGTAGACAGTGTCGGCGACCTTGAGCCGCGCCGTGTGGACGAGCTGCACGGTGAGCGTGTCGCGCTCGTTCAGGGGCAGCGGCTTGTTGTGGAACAGGTCGACGGCGCGGGCGGCGTCCGCCTCGTATACGTACCGCGCCGTCGCCTTGTACCGCTTGCCCGCGGCCAGCGCCCCGGTGCTGTTCTCCGACCACTCGAGCGGGCCAGCACCGAGAAGCAGCGACTGGATGGACGCGCTCGCCGTGGCAAAGTCGGCACCCGCGCCAGCGGGCGTGGACTGCATATTGACCTGCAGGCGCAGGAGACGGTCGCCAATCTGCTGCGTAACGTCCCGTGCGGCCGCCTGGTCGGGCACATCGCCCAGTGTGACGGTGTACACAGTGGTTCCACCGGACCGGGTCCGGCGAAACGATCCCGTGGTGCTGTACTTGACCAGGCATTTCTGGCCACAGACTGTGTAGATACCGGTCCGAAACCGCTCTGCAACCGTGTTTGCGGCGGCTCGGGTCGCAAACTCGAGCCACACCATCTGCGTCGGCTTGTGCCACGAGACAAACACCTTTTTCGAGTCCACGCGTCCCAGGCTCGTGCTCGCGGCAGCTGCTGCGGCGGCCGCCGTGAGCGCAATGTTGCTGCTGACGGCGACGGCCGACATCCCATCGTTGCCGGCCTTTGACAGCGCCGTGCACAGCCGCGTCGCAAACTGCGGATCCTCGACCTGTACGTCGGCCTGGCAGTGTCCCGGTTCGTCGTTGGAGGGGGGGATGACGCGTATGTCGGCGTCCCTCACCAGCAGGGCGTGCTCCGGTGGGACAAGACGGAGTAGCAGAGCAGCGACCGAGTCCGGTGTCGACGTCGCCGGCAGGCCCTGCATGCGCACCGCGGAGAAGTCCGAGGCAAACCGCACTTTGGCGACAGTCGCCCCAGCCCCAAACGTGACCACAGCACCGCCCAGCACGCGACACCCGTCGTCCTCCTCGTCCTTGTCCGTGTCAGCGGGTCCGTCGTCGCCGCTCGCCTCTGCTACGGGAACCTCGTGCGAAAACACGCAGTCCGCACCGTTCAAACAGCGTCCTCGCTGAAAAAACTTGCAAGGGACCCATGCACGGACAGGGGCTGCCGGCCCGACGGAGGGAGGCAGCGTTGGTGCTGCTGCAATGGTTGCATCGTCACTCGGCTTGTCGTGTCGGAACCCGCAGGAGTCGCCATTCCGGCAACGTCCTCGTGCGAAGAAGTGGCATGGCGGTGGATGCTGGCGATCCATTCTCGTGTCGCTATTTTCTGGGGTTGATGAACGGTTCCGGGAGCGTTCTTCTCGTTTCTGTTGGGCATGGAGGGGAGACAACGACAGAAATGTGTTTGCTGATCGATCTCGAGACGGCACCGCCACTGCTCGCGGCCTGACTCCAGGGAATATGGACAAGGCACTGAAATATGCAAAAAATACCCCGCGGGCGCCAGCCTTCGTATATTGGTCTCCCATGTCCAATCATCGACCCAGGGCTGTGGAATGTGCAAAACGCAGAGCATACACCAAAGCAAGATCGCAGCACTCGTACGACCAGGCCCCTCGACGGACCCTCGACGGGAGACGACAGTGATCCCGCGAGTTGATGACATGATAACGCCGCAAGCGGCGTCTCATCTAAAAACTTCAACAGGAAGTGTGTCGTCTCGTCCTCGTTGACCAACTGTACATAGAGTAACGGCCGGTGACCGCTACCACATCAGTTTCTACGGACAGTGTGATGGAAATCATCACGGATCGTGTTGGCGGGTGTGAGCGTCAGTGTCCACGAAACGCACGTCGAATATACGCCCACAAGGTGGCTATGACGGCCCACGCCTCCTAACTGTACTGTTTGGACAGCAGCGCCGGGAGCCCTCTGCAATGCCCTCTACGATGCCCCGTCGATTCCCCGCTGATGCCCACGGAGTTGACTGAGCAGCTTTGGCCGCCGGAAACGTGCCAGGCCAGACACCAGCGGCCCGTGCCTAAGTGGTAAGGGTGCCTGATGGCGGCCCGCTGAACCACCACCGACGCCAGTACACCTTTTCTTGGCTTCGACGAAAGTCTCTGGCTTTTCACGCAGCAACGGCAAAGATGGCGTGGAGGGGAATGCGGATTATCCCTCTGGCATATATTTTACATGGGGTTTGGAGACAAAAGTTCTGTCGCCTGTACTGGCTTCCCCGCCTTCCCAATGCCACCACTGACGCGGTATGTCTCGCTTATTTGGTTCTGTCTGGAAACTAGGCGCAGATGACGCATAGTAAACGTCATTTTCGGGTGTCTCCGCGGAGATTGATATTCTTATAACAACGCCGGGGATGCAAGGCCCAGCACATAATAGGCAGTCGACGCCGCTTCGTTGTGAACAAGTCCGGATCATTGAAATCATTGAATTCCACCGCAACGTTACGACATTCTAGACATGGCCCCGTTCAACCCTCATCCGGGATCCTCGCCCGAGGCGATCGCCAACGAGCCAAATTGGACCAGTCGGCACAACCACCGCATTGGATTTCGGAACCGCGACGGCCGAATACCAGGGCTCAGCGACAGCTATGGCGACTATGTGCAGGAAATCGAGAGGTCCAGGGAAGACCTGGCTGCCCTAGAGCGTGAGAAAAAGGAGGGCCAGCTGGTCGATTTTCGGGAGGTCATCCAGCGCCAGGAGGATTTTCACCTACGCCACCCAGAGTATCGCTCGCTCGGCTGGCGCTATGTGCTTAATACTACAGAGGACTGGATGAAGCAGCAGCAGAAGTGGCCGGCGAATGCAAGCAAGCGACAGACAAACGAGGGAACGCAATCGCGAGGAACGAACGAAAGCGGCACAACGCAGGCAGACGAGCAAACGACCAAGGACGACAGCCAAGACCAAGACAGCGGCCATGCGGACAAAGACACGTACAGCCCAAAAGAGCAAGCCTTCTTGGAAACCCTCCTGCGAGAGAAACAGTACATGTCGACGCTCCAGGTCAACGACGGCCGTCGAGCGGCACCGCGCCTTGCGAATAGGACGACGATTTCCATTGACGAGCAGGACCAGTTCACGCCCGACAACTGGCTGCCCCGCTCATCCGACCTCATCCGCCTGACCGGCAAACATCCCCTGAACGCGGAGCCGCATCTGTCGCACCTCTTCGACGCCGGGCTCATCACGCCGAATGAACTCCATTATGTGCGCAACCACGGCGCCGTGCCGAGGCTCCTGTGGGAGTTCCACCGGCTGGACATTGCGTGCGGCGCGAAAACCGTGTCGCTCTCCATGGACGAGCTCAAGGACAGCTACGACACCATCAACATTCCTGTCCTCCTGGCGTGTGACGGCAACCGCCGCAAGGAGCTGAACCAGATCCGCAAGAGCAAAGGCTTCAACTGGGGCGCGGGGGCCGCCAGCTGCGCGTACTGGAAGGGCCCGCTGCTGCGCGACGTCTTGCTGTCGTCGGGCGTCCTGGAGGCGCTGCCGACCGAAGACGACGGCCAGACCCGGCACTGGGTCAACTTTGCCGGGGCGGACACGCCCAGCGCGGGCCGCTACGAAACGTGCATCCCGCTCGCCTACGCCATGGACCCGACGAACGACGTCCTGCTGGCCTACCAGATGAACGACCTCTTTTTGCCGCCGGACCACGGCTACCCCGTCCGCCTGATCATACCGGGCTACGTCGGCGGCCGCTGTGTGAAGTGGCTGTCCAAGGTGTGGATCACGGCGACAGAGAACCGCTCGCACTACCACATCTGGGACAACCGTGTGCTCCCCGGCTTCGTCACGGACATGGACGGCGCGTTCGCCAAGGCCATGTTCCACCATCCCGACACGCTCTGCAACGAGCAGAGCCTCAATTCGGTGATTGTCAAGCCCGCGCACGGGGAAACGGTGCCGCTGGCCGAGGCGCGCAAAGGCCGCACTTACCGCGTCGCAGGGTATGCGTACGGCGGCGGCGGGCACGCGGTCCAGCGGGTGGAAGTCTCCCTGGATGGCGGCAGCACGTGGCTGTATTGCGTGCGCACGCTGCCCGACTACCCGATCCGGCACGGCCACAAGTTTTGGACCTGGCTGCACTGGCACGTCGACGTCGACGTGGTGCAGCTCGTGGGCGCGCAGAGCATCACGGTCCGCTGCTTCGACGTCTTCAAGAACACGCAGCCGGAGAAGCCCAACTGGAACATTATGGGCATGATGAACAACTGCCACTACGTCGTCCAGGCGGAGCCGGTGGAACGCCCCGACTCGGACATGCTGGCTGTGCTGTTCAGGCACCCCGTCGAGCCAGGAACGGGCGACGGCGGCTGGATGCAGCCCAGCGCGGAGAACCAGATTGCCGCGGCGCAGCAGGCGTCGGCGGTGCCGGAGAAGCAGTTCACGCGCGACGAGATCGAGAAGCACGGCCAAGAGGACGACTGCTGGCTCGTCGTCGATGGCCGGGTGTACGACGCGACGAGTGTGCTGCGCTGGCATCCCGGCGGCAAAGCGGCCATCCTGGCACATGCTGGCAAGGTCCACCAGCAAACGACGGACGAGTTTGCGAGCATCCACGACGACTACGCCTATGCGAAGCTGAATGGTACGTGAGGTAGTGAGATTCCAGCGAAGGCACAGGCAAATGCTGACTGTGATGAAAACAAAGAATGCGCTCTAGGGTCGGTGACGGACAAGGCACGGCAGTTTATCCAGCAGACTGCGGAGGCTGCCGCCAAGGAACAGGCGACGGCCGACGAGGGCAGACCCAGCGGGCTGGCCATACAAAAACACCGATGGGTGCCCGTCCGGCTGGTCGACCGCCGCGACATTTCGCACGACACGCGCAAGTATACGTTCCAGCTGCCGGACGGCAAGGACACCCTGGGACTCGGCACCTGCCAACACATCCTGATCGGCTTCCACATGCAAGACCGCATGCTCGTCCGGAGCTACACCCCGACGCGGCCCTTGCTGCCCGCGCTGCCAAGCGGCCAGGCCAATACCACGGCGAAACGCCAAGCGAACGACGACGACGACGACGACGACGACGACGACGACACAGAGTCCGTGCGGGATGGCCACGGCACGTTCGAGCTGACGGTGAAGACGTACTTTCCGGACGTGTCGCAGCCGGGCGGTGCCATGTCCAACATTCTTGATTGCGTCCCACTGGGCGAGGAGGTGGAGATGCGCGGACCGACCGGCGAGATCACGTACGACGGCCACGGAGCCTTTACCATCGAGGGCCGCGCGCGGCGCTTTGCCCGCGTGTCGCTCGTGCTGGGCGGCTCGGGCGTGACGCCGGGGTTTGCCCTGATCGCACGCATCCTGCTCACGAGCGGCGACGAGACGCAGCTGCGCGTCATCGACGCCAACAAGGCAGAGGGTGACATCCTGCTTCGAGACGAGCTCGATGCCCTGGCCAAGAACGCAGCGAGCCGGGACCAGCAACAGATGAAGATTACGCACATTCTGAGCCACGCCGACAAAGCGTGGCAGGGGCGGCGCGGCCACGTCGACGCCGGTCTGATCCGGGAGACCTTGTTTGCGCCGGCCGAGGACAGCGTCGTGTTCTTGTGCGGACCACCCGCCATGATTCAGAATGCGGTGCTGCCAGTCCTGAGAGGTGAGTTGGAACCATTATCGATTGCGCCGTCCTACGTTGCGTATCCCTGCTTGTTGCTAACAATGGTTTAGATTGGGGTTATACGGAAGACGAAAACATGTATGGTTTTTAAAAGGCGAGGACATGGGGCCGCAGTCACGTTCCCAAGCAAAGTAGATCCTGGCCAAAAAGAATGTTTAAAGTTTATTATTTTATAATTTGCCGGATATGTACCGACCTCGCCCTTATCGTTTAATAACATACGAGAATCTAGAAAAACACCACCAGCCTTGCAACACACACATTCAAACACCTCGCTCATCGTACCTTGATACTGCCCATGTCATCCTATGCACATCCACCCCGCCTACCCTAGTCAAACACAATGGCCGCCTTGATGACGGTCTTGTTGGCCATGGCGTCCAGACACTCCTGCCACTGCTCAATCCGGTATGTCTTGTTGACAATGCCCGTGACGGCGACGCGGCCGCGCGTCAGGTAGTCAAGGGCCGCGGGGAACTTGTGCGTCTGGCTAAACGAGCCCAGGATGGTGATTTCGTCTTTGAAGATCTTGTTGGGCGCGAACGCGACCGTGTCGGCGTCGTTGTACACGCCGTACACGACGAGCGTGCCGGCCTTGGCGACGTAGTCGATGGCCTGCGCGAGAATGGCGGCGCTGCCGGTGGCCTCGACGACAATGTCGAAGCCGTAGGGGTTGTCACTTCGGAGCGCCGCCAGCGCCTGGGCCGACGCCGCCGCGTCGCGGGGCAGCTCGACAAACTCGTCGGCCGCCTGGAGCGACCGGGCCACGTCCAGTTTCGGGCCGGGCGGCGCGGCCAGCACCGTGCGGCAGCCGCCGTTCGCGCGCAGCATCTGGGCCAGCACGAGTCCCGTGGGCCCCGCGCCCAACACCAGGACGGTCGAGCCCATTGCGGGCGCAATGCGGTCGAGCCCGTGGGCGGCGCACGCGGCCGGCTCGAGCAGCGTCGCGTCGGCGTCGGTCAGCGTGTCGCTGCGGAGCAAAAAGACGCGATGCGCCGGGTACGCGGCGTACTCGGCAAAGCCGCCGTCGACCACGACGCCGTGCGCGACAAAGCGCTCGCAAAACAGCTCTTGGCCGCGCCGGCAGTAGTGGCACGACGCGCACACTTCCGAGTTGTCGGCGACGACGCGGTCGCCCACCGCAAAGCCAGACACCGCGCTGCCAAACGCAGCGACGACGCCCACCGTCTCATGGCCCGGCACCAGGGGAAAGACGGCACCAAATTCGCCGTGGTGGATGTGGACGTCGGTGCCGCAGACGCCGCAGGCTTTGACTTTGATCAAGACGTCGTGGGGGCGGACGGGGGGGAGGGCTTTGGTGACGACGGAGAAGTTGCGGGCAGAGGCATATTCTAGATGTCGTCAGTGAGGGACACACGATACATGGCACATGCACATCGGAGACAGACCTAGCGCCCGCATGGAGCTGGGCAGGTTGAATTTGTCGAGGCTCATGGCGGTGAGTGGACAGTGGAGAGGTGAGACGGTGTACGACGATGGGAGAGCAGTGGTTGAGAGGCTAATTATAGTTGCTTATTTAGTCAGGCATCTGCTGATCACAGCCACGTTCGAGTTGTTGATTTACTGCCAAAACAGGAGACAACGGGACAAGGAGACGAGACGCAATCTTGCAGCTTCCCTACTCCAACCATTCCCACACTGCACGTTGTGCGGGGAAGAGGGGAAAGAATGCCCATTACAACGCAAAACCCACGATCACAACTTAAGCCATCAACCACAGCTCAGCCATGACCACGATTCGTGGCGCCCGATGCCTGTCGCCATCATGCCCATTGTCTATGTCTTCTATCTGGAAATGTTTGGCCGCGAGGCTGACACGACAGGAGCACGTGGAGACGGCAGCAGAGTTGGAATTCCCACATGGTATCCTCCTAGTAAACCTCTAGTTAGCCCGACCGGAACAACAGGCGCAGCAGCAGCAGCAGCACGACCAGGACTGTTGGTCTAGTGGTATGATTCTCGCTTAGGGAACACCCTGAGTTTGCGAAACTTGCGAGAGGTCCCGTGTTCGATCCACGGACAGTCCCCAGCTTTTTGAAGTCGCCGCGTCGACTTTTTTGGCGGAAACTCGACGATGCGGTTTCTGCTGCAACTTTTTCTTTGCCTTTTTGTACCGGAAATATATCTGTTTCGTGCTTATTCGTGACAACAAGACAGTGGTGCAGACGACCGAGTGTGGTCATTCTTATCTCCAGGAAGCCCATACGTCGATCATGACCACAACTTGGCCCGCCCATGTACGTTGGGCAGAGTCACTGTAACCAAATCGCCGTTCACAAGCTTCAGTTGGGTTATCGTCGCCGGCTTTGTGGTTTCGTCGACTGGACGGCTGTGCAATCGAATGAGTGTAGGCAACCCACAAAAGTCACGTCGCCGTCACTTTGCAAACGACTTCATTGAAAGATAAAAATCACCGGTTTCAGACATCTGACAAAATGCCAGTCCGTCACATTATACCTGTGCTTCTTTGAGACCATGCTTCTGCTTCTGCTTCTGCCACGCCACGTCTCTGACTCGTACTCTCTAGTTCTTCATCTCCCGTTGCATCCATCGATATCCCCAGTGCCTTTATCAGCTGCCTCTCGAGGCCCAGTTTCGTCACCCGTCCGTCACCTTCCACTCGCTCCGAATCTAATCACTCCCTCCACTCACGCCCCCGTCATTGTTCTTGGCCACAAGTCGAACACCTCCGCTGGTGGCCGGACGGTCGACGTCGTCGTCGTCGTCGTCATTCCCCTTGCCAAAGCTGGAAGTAGCCGCCGTATCCGCAGCGGCCGTGGCGATGCGTTCAGCCGTGGCCTTGATCTCCTTGATGAGCGCGACAATGTCCTTGGCCTCGCGTGCTGGGTGTGGTTTGGTCTCTGGCGTGCGCGAATGCAACTGCTGGGCCACAGACTTCTTGCCGTTACTGCCGGCTGGGCACTGGAACGTGTTGGCCTTGGCCGTGCCAGGCGTCTTTGGGACGCGGCACTTTGTGGGCATGACTGTCTTGTAAGGCACTGTCGATGGGCCAGCCAAGGCCGTCGTCGCAAAAGGGGGCCCGGAAAAGCGAGCAGCATCAGTCACCTTGGTCCGTGTCGTCCATAGTTGACTTTCTCCGTAACCTTGCATGCGGACAGTATTGAACTGAACTCTGTTGTGCGGATGCGTGATGCACGCAGGTCTCTCCCATTGTTTGCCACCATTACTGTGGCGTCTGTACCCTGTCGACTTCTACTCCATACACTACGTGCATATGTGAACTACAAAATGGCTTTTTCGTTGTCTGGCAAACACACTTAGAAGCGACACAAGGAACGACGAGTTTTCCATTTTGAGCGAGAAAATGTACTGTCTACTGACAAATAAAAGGTTGGAACTCGACCTACGTTGAGGATGCACGCCTTGCAGTCACCTCGTCCAATCCATCCGACGCCCCCCGGTAGACACCCCATCTCCCGTCGACACCCTACTCGTCCTTGGCAATCTTCTTCCGGTACACCTTGGCAATCACGTCCGGGTTGGGTCCCAGGCCGCCCGCCTTGAGCACGTCCAGCTTCGACACCTTGACGGACCGCACGGCCGGCGCCTGCGCGCGGATGGCGGCCGTGATGCGGCTGACCTCGTCGTCGGGAATGTCGCCGCCAAAGAGGACAAGCTGGGGAACGGCGCGCTGGTCGGCGGGCTTGGTGGCGTTGCTGCCCAGGCCGGCCGCGTTGGCCGTCTGCAGGTTGCCGCCAAAGAGGGCGGGCAGCTCGACCTCGGCGGCGGCCAGGTCGAGGCACGTGTGGACGACTTGAGACGTTAGCAGAAAGCCAGCAAACGAGAAGGGGTGTATGGGTAGTTCACCCACCATCGTAGTCTGGCAGGAGACGCTCGCGGACGGCCTCGGAGACCTTGGCATCACGGCCGAGGCTGGCGACGGGGATGGGAGCGGCCATTGTGGATGTGAAGGATGTGATGATGTTATGTTTGGGAGGTGGTTGTTGTATGAGAGGACGAGCGTTGTCTGTTTCTGTTTCTGTCTTGGGTGATGGTGTCGAGATGTTTCCCTTCAATGGTCACGATGGCCATCCGTCGTCCTATTTATATTTGTTGGTGCTGACCACTGGCCACTTGACAGCTGAGCTTCAGCAACGTCGCCAGCGTGACTTTCGGCAACCCCCGATTCATGCCGTGCCAACCAATATTCGACACCATGCAAAGGGCAGATCATCACATGCAACAGACCGCGTGGATCAGCGACTGGTCAAAAACGTCATAAGTGGGCGTCTATAATATCGCGGACACACGAGCTCCCCAACGGACTACGACTCCGGGACAAGCCAGGGCATATTTCGAGACGCGAGGTCCGCTGCGCCGCACAGACACGTCTGCAGAACGGCCACGGTGCTGTCGAAGAGCTAGCCTCGTCACATTTATGCACAGCTCGAGCTGTCCTCGTCATTGACGTAGTTTGCCATGACGATTTCCGGCGGACACACTCATCTCCAAATTAAATCGGAGAATTGCTAGGTACAGGCGGCGCAATTTGTGCATTTGCAGACGATTCGAGGGCGATCGCTGTCCGTTAAATACGTACGTACAATCCCCCACAGGCTCATCTGTAGCGGATCTCCTATGTCAATCAATTTCAACGTTTATGCTTTGGGGGGTAGAGTGCTATTTGAATTGATTTTCGGTACCGAAGCGCAGCATGGAGCCGCCGGTATAATGGTATAATGGGCAATTGGCCCCTGCTCGGTTCTGGGTAAATTGGTCTGGTGGTCGAGGCTGGGTAAGGGTGGCGTGGCTGTGGGCGGCTCAGAGGCCATTTTCCGTATCACAGTAATGCCGCAAGGCGCCATGCCGTATGATGACACTACTGATATTTCACATTCACAGTATACGAGAACTCAGACTGTCACTTCTTCAACTCGAGCTGCCGGGCATTTTGCTTTGCTCGTCCGTGCCCTTGCCCGCTCTACAGCCACACTGAGAACCACCGCGCCGCCTGCAAGAACGCCTCCTCCTTGGCAAACTTTTGCCGTGGATCCGTCACGTTCACCCGCACACCGAACCCGTGGCTCGTGCCGCCGTATACCGCAAAGCTGTACTCCTGGCCCGAATTTTGCAGCAGCGCCGTAATCTCGGTGCGCCGCGCCGCCGGCATCAACGCGTCCGTCTCGGCCGCCGCGACGCTGGCCGGGCCCTGGATCGCCGCGATCTCTTCGTCGCCGAGCATGCTTGGGTGTGCGGCAAAGACGGCGCGTGCGCCCTGCCCCGGCCGAATCGACGTCGTCGTCAGATTGCTGCCCGCACGGAAGGCGTAGCGTCCGCCAAAGCAATAGCCCGTGGCGCCAACGCGTGTGATGCCCAGGCTGCGGATGTATGCGAGGCCGGCGGCGACAATGGGATCGGTCTGTGCAGGGCCGTGGTCGTTGAGGAAGGCCGTGGTGTTGAACCCGGGCACATTGATGTCACCCGGAGCGGGTGTGCCGTTGAACAAGTCGGGGGCCACCGTCAAGAAGCCGGCACGGGCAAACGAATCGGCGAGGCTGCGTCGGCGGTCAGTGAGTGTGCGGGTGAATGGACTTGGTCGTGCACGGAGCTGGGGGGGGGACATGCAGTTTGTTCTCTGCCAGTTGGATGCCAAAGACGTCCGTCAGGTACAACACAGCCTTGGTGGCATTGCCTTCAGGCTTGGAAATGTACATGTCAAAGCCATTGTGAGCTTCTATCTTGCCGACGGGCGTTCCACTGTGCGCCACAATGGACGTGTCGGCGACGGGGCAGGTGTGCGCCCAAGTCGTAGCGGCTGCAGCGCCGAGGACAATGAGTAGAGACGGAAGCATGTTGGCGGTTATCCCGACAAGCAGGTGGGTTTGGTACAGGTCGAAGTGGTTGCCAACATGGTGTGTGTCGAAAGGGGGGCCATTCTTTTAAAGTCTCTTCATAACGATAGGATGCCCTGAACAGCAAATTTCGGTAGCACCAGAAACGGACGAGCCTATGGTTGCGGGGGAACAGCCGCTGGGCGGTAGAATCGTAAGTTTTGTGATTTCTCGGTAATTCAGTTGCTCGATATTGCATATTGGCGGTCCGTGTCTGAAGCTCTTCCTGAATTCTCTCATCTTATTTCCTCTCTTCGGGTTGCGGTTAAAGGGAGAAAGGACGCAAGAACGTTTTGTAAACGTCTGTCGGTAAATGAGTTAAATGACAAGCGGGTGGGCGTCAACTTGGCATCATCAACTCGATTTGAGACACGCTGCGTAGAGGGCTGGGGCGGCGGGATGGCCGGCGAGAAGGCCTGCGCGTACAGGCGGTTCATGACGAGCAGGAAATAATGTTTGGACCTCGCATGCATTCAATTTCAAACGGGCAACTCAAACGCCTACCACTGGATGAAGAGCGTGCCCATTTTGCCATCGGATACATGAGAAAGCCAGTTGCTGGTGAAGAGAGAATGGCCAGATATGACAATAGGAAAAGAACACAAAAAAGAAAAGGGAGGCAAACCAGTTGATTAAAAGTGCTTGTGTGCGGTCTTTATCCAATTCAATAAAATATACCGTTCCAAAAATATTATCGACCGCAGTGTTGCGGTCAAGTGGTATCAAAGAAAAATAAAAATGCATCCTGGTGGAAAGTCTGCAGCTCGTGGAAACTCCCCACCATTTTCCATCCCACCCCATATCTACCATCTCTATTCTGATTCCGCTTGGTAAAGGATATGGTCAAAAACTTTTGTACACCGTAAAATGGACGCCGTCCTGTCCAAAGGAGAGAAACCCATCTCCAACGCCTAGAATGCTGAGCAAGTGGAAAGTGGAAGAAAGCGGTAATTCAACAAAAGGAAGAGTAATGTAAAACGCTCGCTGACTCCTCCAACATCGTAAAACAAAAAAAAAAAAAAAAACAAAAAAAAAAACCGAAAGGCATCGAATAAAAAAGAGAGAGAGAAGGCCAAGACCAAGTCCAGGCTCATATCCTCTTGACCACTTCGCGCTCCAACAGCTCGACCTCGCCCGTCTCGGCCAGCCGCCGCCGCTCCATCACCCACCGGCTCTCGCTGCTCTCGGCCTCTTCTTCCTTGACGTACGATATGCTGTCCGAGGACCCCTTATGGCGGTGGCCGTGGCCTCTGCCCGGACGGCGCGACGACATGGGAGGGATGGGCGGTGGCGGACCACGGGCGGGGGAGATGGGCGATGCGTCCGCTGTCGGCTGCTGCTGTTGTTGTGGCAGCGGCTGTGGCTGTTGCTGTTGCTGTTGCTGCAGCTGCTGTTGTTGAAGCAGATGTTGCTGCGTCCTCAACCACTCCAGCTGTTTCTGCATCTGCTCCGTCTCGCGCGCCTTGACCTGCAGCTGCTGCTCCAGGTCCAAGACCTCCGAGTCGTGCATTTGTTTGAGGCGCAGCTGCTGGCGCTGGTCCTCGGGCAGGACGGTGTTGTTCTCGCTGGTGCCGGTGCCGTAGCCGTGGCCTGTGTTCGTATTGGTACGGGCACTGCCGCTGCGCTGCAACGGGTTGTGCATCCAGAGCATGGACCCCGAAGCCGAGCTGATGGCACTCTGGCCGCCCCCCACATCCGACTGGCCCACCACCGCTGTGTCCGCCACCGCGTGCGCTTCTGCGTCCGCCCCACCGATCTCGGCAGTCTCAGGCATGGCCTCGGTCATCTCGAGCATCTCGTCGTCCTCCTCCATCACCGGAGGGAAACTGCTCGCCGGAGGGATCGGCGATGTCGGCAACGGCAACATGTTGTTAGCACCATAGCCACTGCCACCTCCGCCACCACTGGTCCCGGGGTGCAGGTTCGTGAGCGTCGGGCTGCCGCACTCACTGCCGTTGTCTGAGTTAAGGTCGCTGCCCGCCGCACCGCGAGGCGAATAGGTGATGCCGCCACCGCCACCGCCACTGCCACTGCCACTGCCGCCACCCGAGGCCGTGCGGTGGTGGTACTGCGCCGGCAGGGGGTACTGTTTGGAGACCAACTGAAGCTGCGACGCCGTCGGTCCAGGAAAGGGCGACGAGGCATTGTCGCGGTCGCCGCGTTCGCGGAGGTCCTTATCTTTGCTCTGCATGAGCATGGGGCTGCCCTCGCGGCTCGAGCTGACACTGCTGCCACCAAAGGTCCGGCTCCGCAGGCGCAGCAGTGCCGACAGGCTGAGGTCGCTGTTGTCACCCTCAGCCAGCAGGGCAAGCTGCGCCAGCCCAGGCGAGCGGAGTTCGCTGCTGCTTCCGTATGGCGGCACCGCCAGAGACATAACGCTGTTACGGTTAGAGTACTCGGAGCGCTCTGTGATGGGCGTGAGGTTGGGCTCGCGGGACACAACGCGGCCAGACGTGCTACGGCCGATGCCATCAGGAATAAAATAGCCGCCATTCGCATACTGGATCCGGTCTATGTCGGCATTCTTGTTATTGTTGCTGTTGCTGCTACTACCGTGGCTGTTGTTGTTGCGTGACGACTGCGGGAGCGGGGCCGAGTAAAAATTGAACTCCTGGCCGTAGAATCCATCCATGTCGTTGGCCAGAACCTCGGCGTTCGCTTCGGCGATAATAGCGTCGTCATCGAGATCATAGTCATCCATATCCTGCGTGTATGCACCAGTGTCGTCATCAAAGTCATACTGATAGTCCATGTCGCGCTCACTGGTGAAAGCGTACGCCAGGTGGGAGGCGGAGCCCGGGCCCGGCAGACCTGCAAGGCCTCCATCCGATCCCAGCACTTGTGCAGCAGTGGCAACGGGTGACGAGACCTCAACGACGCCGCCGTCCGCATCTAGGGTCTGTCCTTGCAGACCCAGACCAGTACCTCGAATGTCGTCCATGTCAAACGCCGGGGGCGAGCTGGTCGGCTCCGGGGAGAAGCGGGTCGACGACGAGTCACGACGGAACTTGCCCGAGGCGGCAGCCTTATAGGCAGCGGCGGCCAGAGCTGCCTGGTATGCGTCAACGCGCTCGGCATCGGTCATGATAGGCGGTAGCTGCCGGCGCAGGGCTGTCAACGAGTCTTCGCTCTTGCGGACAGGTGCAAACTGAGAGGAGAGCAGGGGGACGGACGGGGAGTCCGTAGTCTGCGTCGACTGCGTCGGGGCCATCGGTCCGTGTCTGTCATTCCTGCCGTGTGCCATGCCGGCCACACTCATCGATGTATGAGCGGTCGAGTCGGCGTCTGGAGACTTGTCAGACAACTCAGACGACGGCACATCGGATTCGTGTCGCGCGGAGCCCGAGGCTGGACCAGACGAGGCGGCTTCGATAGCAGCAGCCATGGCGGCGCGTTGGGCCGCTTGGGCCGCGGCAAAGGCACCGGGGATCGGACGACCGTATTCGTCCGTGTCGTCGAGATCAAAGATGGACTCGTCAAACACAGCACCGGACGATTCTGTCTGGCCAAAGTTGAGCTCGTCGGCGAGGCCCTGGTCGTAGTAGAGGTCGTCGCCATAGGAGGTCGGGTTCGAGGCAGGGTTGGGCTGCGCTACGGTATTGTAGTTAACGGTCGTTGGCTGGGGTTGCAAGGTGACCGTAAGTTCGACATTGTCGACCTCGTTTTCGTACTGGTCCATGTCCTCGTGGGAGTCATCACCTCCGTAGTCGTCACCATTAAACGCCTCGTATTCTTGCTCCTCGTAACGCGTATGTACATCATCATTCGAGAGCAAAGAGTGCCCAACTTCCGGTTTCTTGGCGGTATTTGTTTCTGCGCTCGCTCCAGTGTTTGGCACAACGGTATCGGCAACGCCGTGGGGATCGAGAGACGAGAGCGACGAGGCGGAGGGAGGGTAGTTGTCGGGTGTCGCATCTATCGTTAGGGCAAAGCCAATCACACGACCGGCTGCATCACGCGGCGTAGCCGTAACACCAGCACTGGTCGGGCTCACCAGGGACGAGGCGGGGTTGGAGCGCTGGAAGACGAAGCCAGCGAAATTCTCTTGGTCGTTGTCCGGGTCCACGCCTTCTGGATCGTCGTCTTCGGCCTCGATGTGCAACGTGGGCTCATCATCAAGACTCAGCCCGCCGAGACCCGTCTCGGAAACGTCCTCTTCGTCCAGTCCGCTGTGGGGAATCTCTTCTTCGTAATCGTCCTCCGAGCGGAACAGATGGGCATCGTCTTCTTCGTATTCGTCGGCGTCGGCGTTGACGCCCGGTATGCGCTCCTCGAGACCATCGTCGTCCATCATGGCGTCGTAGTCGTAGCCGTCGTCGTCCAAATCGTCAAAGCGCGAGTCGCGCGTGCCCATGCCATCGTCGTCGGAACCGTCGCCGCCGCCGCCTGTGGCCTTTTTCTCGGCTTGCTTCTGCCGGTGGCGCTCCTCAAGCATTTTCTCCTCGCTGGCTGAGCCAATCATAAAACTAAAGCGGGAGGAGGTGCTCTTCATATGCTTCGGCAGCGCAGACGCAGCCACCGAGGCCACCGACGCGGGCGTGGTGGCCGAGGTCGATGGCAGGCCGCTAGTGGTATCGTTTGTGTCTGCGTTGTCGGTGGTGTTGGTGTTGGGCGACAGATCGTCGGATAAGGACACATTGTGCGACCGTGTGGTGCCTGTGGAGGGCGACGATTTCAAGAGGGACGCGACATCGGCCGAGACAACACGCGATCGCGCAGAGGTCGACGCGGTTCGCACAGAGGACGAGGAAGGACCGTCACTGGTGGTGGGTCGCTCTGGCAGGGGCTTCTCGCCAAATGAAAGCGTGCGGTTTTCCTGGAGGGTTTGCAGGGTGTTCTGGGAGGGCATGTGGATGGGGCCGCCTCGCTGCTCCGCCATCGGCTGTGGTTGTCCCTGCGGTTGTCCCTGTGGTTGTCCCTGTGGTTGTATGTGTGCCTGTACTAGTGTCTGTGTCTGTATCTGTGTCTCTGCTGGACCTTGTCCTTGTCCTAGTTTTGGTAATGGGGCCACGGAATTTTGTGTTGCGTCTGGTGTAACCGACGAGTTTCGGCTGGACGGGTAGGAAGAAGAAGATGACGTCGGCTGCGGTGTCGAGTGAGACAGCCGTGCGGAGCTTATGTCTGTGGACCTCAGCTGCGGTGGTGCAGTATCGACGCCGGCGGAGCCTACATTTGAGGAGGAAGGTATGTTGTTGGGGATCTGCGAAGGAACGGGCGCCTGTTTCGAAGAAGGACTGGTCGCCGAATTAGGGCGGGGGCTGCCACCGACATTGGCAATGGCAGCCATAGCCGCTGCGGCCGCAGCCGATGTGGTGACCGCAGGCGCATCCGGTGGAACCGCACGGCGTGGTCCGGGCGCACTAAAATCGTGAACGCGTGTGCCACGGATGGGCACATAAACCGGCCCGTCGGCGTTGGCATTCGACAGGCCGGTGACATCGGAACCACCTACCCCGGTCTTGCGGCGGCCAAGTAAAGTAGACACGGGGTTTTTCCGCAGAAAGGGTAGGCTCTTCTTTGTCCGAGCATTCGCAGCAGCGGCCGCACTCGCCGCGCTGCTGCTTGTTGCACCGTGGGAAGTTCGAGAGCTTTGGTTGTACGCTTCGTTGGCGATATTTGCGGCTGTTGCGGCTGCTGCCGCAGCTGCGGCAGCGGACGACTTGAGATCTGTTGGCGTGACAAAGGACGTTGCTGACTTGCTGCCCGAACGCGGGTCCTTGCCGCCGTTGGCGCCTTGTGCTGATAGATATTGCCGCGATGCGAGGTTCGTGTTGATCGGCGGAGGAGGCGGTTTGGAGCGGGACATGCGTCGCTCGGGCGTGCCGTACACTGCGGGCGAGGACATGGCTGTGGATGTTGGCGACGCTGCCACGTTGGACAGAGAAGAGGACGGCCGCTTCGACGCATTCACTGTTGCTGCTGTTGCCGCAGCCGTCGACAGATCTTGTGCACCGTGCCGCCGGAGATTCGCCAGAGCAACACCGCCGATAAAGCCGGACTCGCTCGTTGTCGCTGGCTGGGGCTGGGGAGAGGGTTCGTTGATCTGAGGTGGAGAGTAGATGCGCGGCGTCGAGTGCACGTTAGGCTGTGTCGATTGGTAAGGAGTTCGTCGGTGGCCGAGCGAGGTCGACGGCGCAGAGTAGGATGGGCCGGCAGGAGGGAGATTCGGTTTCGCGGCCGGGTCGCTGAGGAAGTTGTAGTCGGCGTCGGACGAGGTCCCAATAGAAGACGCGACACGGGTGATCGGTGGGAGAGACGGAGGCATGTTGGACGCGGAGGGCGCTGCTGTTGTTCCTGTCGAAGTAGTTGCCCCTGCCGTGTTGCCTACGGCCGAAGCTGCCGCCGTGACTGTTGCATCGCCCATACTGCCCGTCGATAGCGGCCGCTGTGCGACGGAGTGCTGCGGTTGCTGCTTGTATTGCAGGTCAGGCGGCTCCCATGCTGTCAATTGATCGGTGCCGGGTGGTATAGGGGATGTCGGCGTTGAGTTCGACGCCCCTCGCCGATGGTGGAAGCGGGAGAACATGGTTCGTTTGGCAGAAAAGAGAAAGAAGCAATAAAAGAGATGCGTAATAATCACAACAGAAAAAGCAAAAACGTAATGAGACCGGAATGGGATGGCCGCCAAGACGCGATGACGATAGGGGCGGCCAAACGCGCCAAAGAAGCAAAAAAGATCCAAACAAGAAACAGCTCACAGTCGGCACGCACTCGATGCAAGGACAGGGCTTTGTTCGGGAGACACGAGCAGGGCTGTGTGCATTCGTGTTCGTGCCTGCTGTGCCGCCTGCCGCCAGTCGCCTGCACTATTCCGTGCGCTTGTTCGTTGTGTCTCTCTGTCGCCCCGGGGTTTCTCGTATTTGTCAAATTTGTTGATTCAGAGGTGGGCAGTCGCGATGCCCACCTGGTCACGTCGGTCCCCGTCCCCTCGAAGTGTAGCGCGGTCGAGGATTTGGAGCTACAGGAAAGCGCGGCGCATATCGAGGAGCCGGAAGGCAGGAGCGCAGGTTGCTTTTGATGAGCTTCACAAACCGGGAAAGAGCAAGACAGAATGAAATGGCGACAAACAAAAAAGGCAAGAAAGAAACAAGGAAAGCAAGCTGTATTACGTGCGTCGCCCTGCTCCTTCCTTCTCGTGTTGCAGATTCTCGCAGCGTGGCCGCGCAGCGTCGTATTGGCAGGAGCAATCAACCTCAACGGCGCCCATGTTCCTTCTTCAGCGCCTCATTACTTGTCCGAGTCTTTTGGCGTTGGCATGTCTGCCTCGGGGCTGATAGCGACCAATGGGGAAGAGCCTGGGGAGAGGAAAGAGCGAGCAAGAGACAAAATAGTGGGGCGCTCGTTCCAACAACAGTTCCTCCCCCAAACTCGTGGACACATCGGTGCGCAATCCACAAACTAATACGAGCCAGAGTAACAGGGTGGAAATGCCTGCCCAGGGCCTGGTAAGCCTGTAAGGGATTAAATTTAGAAGCAAATAGTGGGCTGTCTGGCAAGGAATCCTCCCCGCGTAAAATGATAAGTGACTTTAGGCTCCAGATTGAGGCGCACATACTACGAAGGTGAACAACAAATCTCGTGTCCGAATCTAAAGACTTTCTATTCGAATCGTGGGGCTGTGTTCAAGTCATCCATAGACATCAAATGCAGCCCATGTCCTCTCACCCGTCGAGAAACGGTGCTCCGAACTTCAAGGATTCAAACTAGCTGCATTGTTCAACTGCTTCGAAGAGTCTAGCCTTGTTAACAAGGCCGCGATCCCAGTGTGTCCACGTCTACTTCCCAGGTTTTTACCAATGGTTAGCTTATCGCCGGTGTATTACCCGGACAAGGAGTTAGAGAGCTGGGCAATGAAACAACCTCGTCTTAATGTTCAGTTACTTTTTTCAAAGTGAAGCACTGGATTCGTAATCACAAGCAGGTAAGTACGTCGTATCTATGTAAACAAACAGTTCAACCCAACGCCAAAACCAGCACCATAAGGCGAAATCAAAATCAAATCAAAATCAGGCAGAGCCCCAAAACATCAACATGTCGTCCCCTTATTGGTGAGAACGGTAATCTTCGCGGTGCGGACCCCCGTATCCATGTTGGGGGTTGTAATAGCCAGCATCGTTCGCCTGCGACCTCGTCAGCGGCATTGCATCATACGGCTGCGTCTCCATCGGCGGCAGCGATACTCCTGCAGGTCCCTGTGGCACGGCCCCCGCCACCCACGTCACTCTGTCGTAGTACTCCGAAGCCTGGCTATGGCCGGACTCTGTGTAACGAGTGTTTGCTATGTGCGCTCCCCCGCCCGACCCGGACACGGGTGGTCCGGCAGTGTGTCCATAATGGCCGTAGTGTCCGTGCTGTCCGTAGTAGCCCCCTTGACCTATGTGCGCTTGTTGCGGGACATTTGGTGAATATGCCGCCCCGTGCGCACCCTGCGGCAGCTGTGGGTGGGGAGAACTCGGCGCCAGATTCACTGAAGGCAAGCCCGGCGCCGGGTCGACATGCTGAGACCCACGGTGCGGGGCCGGCTGGAGGGGCGGCAGTGTACGTTTCTCAGACCGTGATCCATTCTTCTTCGATGCTCGCTGTCGTGATTTGCGTGAGGAGGTGTGAGACGGCGGCCCCATCGGCTTTATAGGTGTCTCTCGCCGCTGCACGTTGGATGCTTCTGCAACTTGAGCAGTATATGGGTTTGTCTCGGCCATCTGGTGGAGGAAGGGCGAGCGCTGTGGGTGCAGTGCTTGCGCAAGCCCCTGTCCTGGTGATGCTGGGTCGGGAGTAGACTGTGCTAACACATACGGGAGACTCTGTATGAGAGAAGCCGCTGTAGTTGGTACGCCACGCTCGTTGGGATCACCATTTTCCGTGTCCGCGGCTGCTGTTGCGTCACCTGTGTGCTCACCGGAAGGATTCCCAGACAGATCCGACGGTGAGTGCTGCAGATATGGGTCGTAATTTGGCACAAAATAAGATGAGGACGGTCCTGCCAAACTCCCCAGATTGCCAATTTCCTGTTCTGGCGGCGCCATCGTGTACTGGTAGCCACCATTTCCTAATCGAGGCTGCTGTGCAGCTGGGGCGTCTTCGGAGGCTGATGTCTGGAGGGTTGTGGTACCTGTAATCGAAGATACATCGGCCGAGTTGGGAAACCCATACAAACCAACAAACGCTTGGAACGTAAAGCTCACAGTGTTCTTAAGCTGATCTTGCATTTCTTCCGCGCTACAAGTGCTGTCGAAGCGCACATCGCCTTGTCGCACCTTGGCGGACAGAAGTGTTTGAAACATATCAACGAATTTTTGCCTCCCATTCGACTGTTCCAAGCTGCTCCTTGGTACCGCTGCGTCGTAGACTTTCAATTTTGCTGTTAGCACGTTCGCTCATTCGATTGTAGCCGCTGGGATCTCTCCCCAAATGATCTCCCACTCTTGAAAACTCACATGGTGTTGTTGGCTCGTCAGCCTCGGGGAAAAGAACTCGCCAAATATCATACCAACGTTCTAACTTGTGCTTTTCTTGACTCTTCTTGTGGTTTTTGCGTTCCAAAGCAGTCCATTGGGCCTCGCTGATGCCCTCTTTCAACGATGGGTCGCCCCTCTGGCAGACCTCCTCACGTTGCCGGTGTTCAGTCAGCTGCTGCTGAAGCCAGGGGACACTGTTCGATCCGGTGAAGATATGATAACAGCGGTCGCACTGGACTGGTTTGTGCCTCCGCTTTAGATGCTCCCTGGTGACACAGAGAAAGTTAGCCACTGACACACTTGACTAAGGATATTTCGGAACAACCTGTCAGTAACGAAAGTTTGTACTTACTTCAGTCGTTGGATGGTCTTGAAACCTGGGCCAGCACACGTTCGATACTCGTCCTTCCGAGACGATGCCGGAGAAAAGTGTCGAATCCCGTACTTTATGGGATCAAACTTGTGGAAATGGCAAGCTAAATACAGGTCCTTTATTCCTTGGGGCAGTCCCAGAAAATCGGGACTATCATTCCCGCGCTCGTCATCATCATATTCGTCCTGGTCGTTGTCAGAATCAGACTGATGGCGTCTCTTTCTTGCAGCCCGTGAGGACCGTAAGCTTCCGCGGTGTGCGCGGAGTGACTCGGGAGAGTCGATACTGCCATTGGTGCCATCGTCACCGTCGACGGGATCCGCCACTTCGATCTGCCAATTGTCAATCTTTTCTTGTACAGACTTTGCTCTCAGTCTGTGGAGATATGGGATCAAAGTCACGGCCAGGTCGATATTCCCGCCCACAGCGGCCAAAATGTCAGCGTCAAAACTGTCATCATCCGTGTCCCGGTCACTGTCGCTGTTCTCGCTGGTACTGGGGCTGCTGTATTCATTGTCGATGCCGCTGCCAATGTCGTTCTCGGGACCGGCAAGCGTAGTAGGCCGTCCTGAGTGCAGTAATTGGGGCACTTGGCTGAATCGTGATAGGTTCGGACCTGGTGTCATGTCTCCGCTTCTCTGCCTGTCTACTTCACTGAGTGCGGTTCCAGATCTAGTCGACAATCTGTGAGTATTAAATTGTAAAACAATACCACAAAGGGTTCTGACATATCACGGGCATGTCATATACCTACCCACTATCAGATTCTCTCCCCGAAGAGTCGGCGTCGCTCTGTCTCGAGGAGTCATCCTTTGTTCCATCCGCGCCTCTATCTTGCAAGAGCAACGATGCAGCCAAGCTGCTGGTGGATGAGGGTAACGATGCTGCCATATCAGTAACAGGAGACGATGATCTTGATATCTCGCTCTCGGCCCCTGAAACATAGGTGTCTGCACCCGTCTTTTCGACTGGTACGAAAGGGGCTCTTTTATACGGTTCCGGTCCGCCTAGAGTTGACGCATGCAAGTGCGTGGCAAAGCCTTCCCGCTTTCCTGCAGGCTTCGATGGAAGAACTACCAAATCGGTTTTCTTTGTGCCAGAGACCTGTTGTGTCTTCTTCATGTTGTCATGCGCCGTTGACCGATGCGGGGCCATCTTGGACTGCGCTCCCATGACGGCGCACAACGATTATGCCTGATCCACAAGGTCAACCAGTGTAATGATCCGAAAGAAAATAGAAAAATAATAAAGTGTAGCCAGCAAATAAATTACTCCAGGTTAATGACAAGATCTGGAGAAAGTCGAGAAGCCATGGTGCCGAGGAAGGGACAGGAACCAATCCTTTTCAACACTTCTCGCAAGGTCTGCCTCGACATAGAGAACGATCATGTTTGCTGCCTTTGCGTTATTCTCGTCCCTGTTTAACTAAAACTTCCTTGTTGTCTTCTCAGCTTTGTGCTATTCTGGGCTCTGGGCGTCTTTGGTCCATTTTAGTCTGGTTTTCCATTGCCTGGAGTCCTCATTTGACGCTTGCTTCGTTGTCGATATGTTTGTAATTGGTGATATTTCGGTGTCATCTTCACCTCACTTGCGTCCCAACGCAGCTGCGTCGGTGAAAAGGTGGCCTGGTGAGGTCACCTTGCTTGGTTCACACCAGAGAAATCCATATTAGAGCATGTGCCACTTGGTCTGGCCAACAATGAGTATGTGCAATGTCCTCTTTCAGGCACTTTGTGAAAGGCCAAAACCACACCGAGGGCGGGCTCGTCAACCCATTCGTCAAAGCAAAATTTGCGCTCAAGGGGTCAGGGACCTTTCCTGAGTACCTATTTAGAACAAAGGCATGTGAAGCGCTGATGTATCTCGCGCAGCCTTGCTTTATGCAGCCGTCGAGGGCGACGCCTGAATGGTCAGATCCAACAGAGCTTCCACGCAATTGCGTTGGCTCGCAACTGCACGGCTGTGACGGACAAATCAGACACGGCGAAATTCACCACTCCACAACTCCACAGTTTTGTTGTTCAACGACTGCAGGTCTCCCAGCGAGCCAGGCCCAGTTTGCAAAATTACTTCCACTCGCCCGGTGTTTTCAGCTGTGCAGAGAGGTCCGTGTTTCTCGCGCCCTGCGTACGTCGTTCATTCCACTGAAGTATCCAGTTAATCTTTTTGAGGTTCTTGGCTGGCCGGTTTGGATCCTCACGTCGGCCTCAGGAGGTGCTGTCGGTGGGTCGTCTCTTTGCTGCCATCTCGTAAATATGGCGTGTGTACTTGAACAAAGCGCGCTTATTTATTGCTTTCTTTTTGTTGTTTGTCCTTTGGCAACAAAATATCACTAGTCGTCCGCAGCTACATTTGTGTCAAGGTTCTGTGTTTAAGTATGTTTGGAAGGTCGCCATATGCCTCTCCGCCAAAATCTTCCAGAATGGACACCCACATTACCTTCCACCGAAGTTTGGTTGCCGTGATGCTCACTTTCGCACTTGTAAACCTCGCTTCGAGACCACGCTTCCTCGCTCCAGTCACGCCCCGAACCTGCGCTGGTCCTCTGGGGTAGCCATCAATGATCAATGGTGTGTCCATTCAAGCTGGGGGGAGCGCCAGCGCTATTCCGGTACCAATGGACCTGTGGAAAGTCGTTCTCCGTTTGAAATCTATCCCCAGAACAGGCTCTATAGCTGGCGTGTTGTAAGATGGCGAGCTTTTGTCGAACATGGTCTTTGTATTCGGTGTAAGAGCTGATGGTTCGTTAAGCTAGCTGGCAGTGTTGACTTTGAATGGTTAAAAGGGCGACTGGTGAGGAGGAGATCACCAGCAATCCACAGCACAAACGTGCCAGGTGACGACTGAAGCTCGTCAATATGGAAGGAAGCCAACAAACATGCTTGGGATGGATGTATTTCGTTTAGGAAGGTGCAATGGACCCGTTTCCATACTTTTGTGTCGCCCCACCTGGCACAAGCCCAGCATTTCGAGGGCAAACGCTCGGTGAGGGGAAGAACGATGGGCACTTCAAGCCTCATTTCTAAGCCATATGTCCAGAGGACCCGGACTCCAACTGAAGACTTCCCAATACGGTCACCACAAGGACACGGCTTCCTAACCGGTATCATGGCGGCCCTTCACAACTTCCTTAATCACGGCATGCAGAAAAGTATGGCAAGGACGCCGAGGATCAAGATGGAACGCGGCTTCCCGCCGTCCGTGATTGCTTCATGATGCACTGTTGACTGGTGATGCATGTCTTTAAGGTCAAGACGTTGCATCGTCGACACTTTCCACCCGCATTTACACTGGTACATCTTCCTCTCGACCCAATCCTAGACGCGGTCCTTGGACGATAATCGCCTACCTATAAGACAGCCACCTAAAATCCAACATCTCTATCGATATCCGTCTCTCCTAGGAGATCCAGTGCATCAGGCCCAGACATGGGAAACCAGCACTCGGTTGAGCGACAACTCCGCCACGCCCGCGGCAAGCCCGTCAATGAAAAGACATTGAAGGAGTTGGACAAGGTCTTTTGCCAAAACCCGGAAAACGCACACGACGGCGTGTGGAATGTGGTGCGGGACCCCGGCGTCGAGCACCGGCGACGGGGTCGGGATGCCAAGCAGCGCTACGTGCAAGCTCGACAGGCGGTGCATCTATCTTTGGCTGCCTCTCACGGGCATCTTATTGGCAGCTCCGAGGCCAAGAATGGCCACAAGATCGCCGGCAACGACCAGGCTGCCGATAAACCGACGTGGGTGAACTGCGTCGGCGAGCAGGCCAACCGGCCGCTGGTGATTGTGAAGCCCGAGTCTCTCCAACAGCTTGTTGCCGTTCTCGCCGACGCACACAGCCTTCAGCAGCGTGTGCGTGCCGTCGGCTCCGGCCACTCATTTTCCGACATTACCTACTCGACCGACGCTATGCTCGTCGACATGACCCTCCTGAAGCGGGTGGCGATGGTGGACAATGGCGAGGAAGGCATCGTCGGCACCACCAAGCCTGTCCAGGTCAAGGCGAACAAGGCCGAGAGGGGAGTACCAGGGCCTGCCGGCGATGCACTGCTGACGGCCTGCAACCGCAGTCGCAATCTTGCGCGCGTCCAAGCAGGCGTCACGATCCGAGAACTCAACGAAGAGCTGGACAACCGTGGCCTGGCCCTCCCCAACATGGGCGCTTTCGACGGCCAGACCGTTGCCGGCGTCATGTCGACCGGGACACATGGATCTGGCATCGGGTTCGGGCCCATGTCCAGCCTCGTTCGTGCGATTGTGCTGGTCGTCGCCGACGGCACCGTCTACCAAATCGAGCCAGCCAGTTCCCATGTTGGCAAAGGGCCGCTGAGCGACCCTGCTGCCTTCCCCCGCACCATCGACGGGCTCCCTGTAGTGCTCAGACAAGATAATGACTGGTTCCGCACGGCCCTTGTCTCCATGGGCTGCGTCGGGGTGATTTACAGCTACGTGATTGACGTGACGGAAGCCTTCCATGTCCGCGAGCTGCGGTCGGCCACGAGATGGGACGAGGTGCGAAAAGAGCTTCTTCCCGAGCTCTGGGCGCCGGTTGCGCCGGCGGTCGCCGGCGCCCACCATTTCGAGCTCGTGCTCAACCCGTACATGTGGTGGTCACACAACTCGTGCGTACGTGTCGAGAGGAACCGGGTGACGGCCGAGACGCAGCCCTCGGGTGCCCGCAAAGACTGGCTCAGCACGCTCCTGGAGCAGTTTGGCATCCACTCGATCCCACACCTCCTTGGCGTGCTCAAGCGGTTCCCTGCCATCAGCCCCATTGCCATCAACCGCGCCATTGCAACGCTTGTCGAGAGCGGCCCGTATGTGGACAAGAGCTTCCGCGTGTTCAACCTCGGGCCGGCCAACAGCATCAAGGCGATGGCGATTGAGCTGCACTGCGACGCCAAGCAGTGTGTTCCCGTCATTGACAAGCTGCTGGACGTGTTCCGCGACGAGGCCAAGCGCCATGAGTACTACATGACCGGCCCTCTGGGCATCCGCTTCATCGGCGCGTCCGACGCGTTCCTGGCGCCGCAGGCTGGCCGCATGACGTGTGCCATTGAGCTGGACATGCTGGTCGGGGTCGAGACAGGAGCCAAGCTCGCGCAGGACATTAAAGAGCGGATGTGCACAGACAGCATCGACTCCCCGCGTCTTCATTGGGGCCTCGACATTGACCTTGTGACGGACGACGATGTGCGGTCGTGGTATCCCGATTTCGAGGCGTGGCATACAGTCTACCGCCAGCTCAACTCGACGGGCATGTTCAACAACAAGTTTACTGATCGCCTGGGTATCAGCATTTTGTAGGGTCAACCTTCATACACCTTGAATAGTAATAGAATAAATTAGATTAGTGAGGCAATGCCAACATACAAGTGAAGAATGTACGAACGACCTATAATAGTGTACTGGCGCCGATATTGAAGAGTCAAGTTGTATTTTTTTGGCTGTGCAATTGATATTTTGTAAACCGGTAGTTAATTTATTTTGTAGTTTTAATGTGTTAAACAGATTTCTCGCGGATTCTTATTTGTTTGAAAAATAAAATAAGAATAGTAAAACAAAACACGACAACAAATACTCGTTCAAGTGGAAATCGCCAAACCGATACTTTGAATAGAAGATGTTGCTGTAAAAATCTGTACTGCGTGAAAGATCCTATGTCCTGATTTAAGTAAAGATTGCAACGACTCTCATTAAACAAGTTAAACCACGTCTCCTCTCAATCAGAAGTCTACAAGGACCGATAGGCTAAGATGTATAAATTAAATAATCAAGCAATATTTTCTGACCATGACGATGTTCTTTAGACTTCTTGACAACGGTTTAAGATGTTGTTGTCAAGCATGTCAATTTTGAGCTAAAATTGCGCAGGCTACATATGTGCTAAAACCGGAAACTTAGCCAACGACTAGAAACGTATAAGGACTGTTGGTCTAGTGGTATGATTCTCGCTTAGGGTCTACCCTGAGTTGTAAACTTGCGAGAGGTCCCGTGTTCGATCCACGGACAGTCCCCAACTTTTTTGTCTTTTTTTTGAACGTCTTGTGGAAGGCACCGCGATAAGTTTCTACGACGTTGGGATCTCCTGTAATATTTTTGCGAGCGTCGCGTTATAAGGGAGTTTGCGACTCGAGCCTTTTCATTCATACGGAATTAGTCCGATTACAGGCAACGGCGACCGACCAACGAGACAGCCAAATATGAGAAAAGGGTTGCCCAAGAGAACTACGCTGTTTGGTATTCTCTTTACCTTCCACAACTTTTTGATGTGCTGTATTTTCCACGTTTATAACCCACGAGGATTTCCAGTTAGAAAAGAGCTGCTGCTTAGGGGATAAAGCCCAAGAAAAGTAGATAAAAAAAATAACATACTATTGGATCTGGTATACCGTCGTAACTTAGTTCTAGCTTTGTCCAACTTGGTGACGTGTTTAAAAGCAAAAATTTGGGGACTGTCCGTGGATCGAACACGGGACCTCTCGCATGCAACTCAGGGTAAGCCCTAAGCGAGAATCATACCACTAGACCAACAGTCCTGGGAGTGCTGCAGTTCCTATTGGACACAGGCTTTGATGGAGAAAGCCGGCTCCTATTGGAGCTTTTAAACCGGCGACAAGGGTGACGAAAAGCGGACGGCCATTAAGGCGCTGTAATTGCAGCGTTGTAAAAACCCATCTCTCGGAGTCAAATTCGCGTGCGCAGGACGAGAGGGTGGGGTAGTGCCAAGTGAATGGCGGACATTGGCGCCAAAACCTCTCGTGAGGCGAAAAACGAGACGGCGACGATTTCATCCCTCACAAGTCTGCTTGTTTCCTTTCCGTCTGGACAGCAATCGTGACGTCACTTGTCGAGATTGACCAGTGCCTTGCTGTCTTTTCTTCCCCGGATCGATTCTAGTCGGTGAGATTTTGACCCTCGTGATCACTTCTTTGTTCCCTGCAGCTAATATTCCATGCCCATTGGCAAAGTCTGTGCTCAGTATTTCGTACAGAGGAGGCTGTATTGCGTCGTACCCTTGTTTCTTTTGAGCCTTGCACCGTTTGGAGAATTACAGCGGTGGCTGGGTCAAACCGGACTAAAAAGACGGAAAAGTGGCCGCACTCCCCAACAACGAGTCTATCTGCTGGATCTGCACACCATTTCGTTGGTTTGCAGAGGTAATCTTACGAGTAGAACTTTGCACATGGAAACCGGGGTAGTGCGGCGACTGGCCTGGAGACATCAAGGGGAATCGGCGGGTCTTCAGGGCCCTACGACCCAACCACTGTTAAGCTTACTGCCCATGAAGACAAAAAAAAAGAGTCTTGGACCACTCGGCCATTTCCTGGTATCGCTGCTCGTCTGACCTCTGTTCCCCTGTAGCACCGTCCAATTCGTCTGAACTCACCCCCCCTCGCCCCCAAATAAAACAGAAACAAAAAGAAAAGGACAACGCCATCCGACAGCCGCCCAGAGAAAGTCATTGCTAGGGCGTCTCTCTCGCCCGAACTAACCTGGGACAGTGCAAAACGTGTGCTGCCAGTTTCCCTTTTTGTCAGTATCCCCCGTCCACCGTCGTGAGACTAAAAGCCAACTAGGCCCGGCCTATCACCACCTTGCTCTCACGCACGAGTTGGCCAAAATGCTGTGTCGGCTGTCGTTTCTGGTTCCAGTTGCTGCAGCCCACACCCTCTGCTGTCGTCCGTCATACACAGTAATGCGGCACAGTTTCCCATCCTTTGCTGTTTTCCTGTTGGGCTATGTCGTAACTTTGCAGGAATCATTAAAGTATGACCAAATCTTCGGCGCGAGAACCTTGACAAGTGTCGAAAAAGTGCAGTCGTGTGAGTTATTTCTGCAAAGAGTAGCTTACACGTGCGGAATGCCATACCAATGCCATATTGCTCTCGTGCCTCCTCGTTCTTCCCTACCGGCCAGGGCAGTATCTGGGCATGCCAAGTGCTCGTCAACACCAACACCTATTGCATTCTTCGTGTGAGCGTATTGGAATCCTCCAGGTCACTGAGGCCACCCACGGCCATCCTGCAGCTTGCCAAAATAAAGAAGAGTGCAGAAATTTCTGTCCGTCTGGATCACGGCCCTGGTCTTCGCCCCATGTGCCCCCATCCCAGTCCTGTTCATGTCGTTCATTCCCCCCTGCCGAAGAGTGGCCCTCTCCACTCGGTTACCGCTGCCCAGGCTCCGACCAAAATCGTCTAGCTGCAAAGTGGCCCCCCGTACGAGAACAAACAAATGAGACGGCGCAGAAATCAAGGAACTTCGTCAGCGTGCGTCCCCCCAAACCTCTACCCATGCAGAAAAGTGAAATGTAAGCACGCAGTTCTGGAACGAATTACATGGTACGGCGAACGGAGTACGAATTATTACGAAGTACGGCTGCAAGCACACTCACTGAGGGCCACCGGGCCTCACTGGCAATTGCCGGTTCTTCGCCCTCGAGTACCCCCATTGCACTTATTTCCCTGTTTTACGCGTCCCTTGGGCAAATCGGATACTTTTGTCTCCATCCTACACCATGTATCTTTTTATTCACCTCCTCAAAACGGATCCGTTTGACCACGGCGCCCCCATATGGCGCCAAAGCGTCAACCAACAATGCACGTGTAAGATGCGCTGAAAAGCTCGAGGCCAAGACGCCTCTTAGCTTCCAATGGGACGTGAATGCCAAAGCCTGGGGGCTTGCCAAAACAGTCGGCATCACAGCGGCACGTACATAACTGCGGTCGTGCCCGCCGATCCTTCGTTATCTCTAGAATGTTTTCGATTGTTTTTCTCCCCTTCTTAGCCTTCTCTCGAAGTTGTTCGATTTCCCCGCAAACCGCTCTTTCCCAGACAAGTCTTGCCCTCCTGCCCCTCACGTCTTTATTTACTTCCTTCCCTTTTCAGCCTCCATGATAAGTTGCTCCTGCCGTCACTTCCTTTCGTAAACCCGGGCATCTCTCGTGCCACCCAGGAGTCAAAAGCAGGCCACACGACCACCGGCCCGCACGCGACTCGCTCTCCCTTTCCATTGAGCACCATTGCGGAATTCCTCAGCCATGGCGGACCTCGAAGCACCCTCCAGCGCGCCCGCTCGGCCGCTCCCGACCTACGGCGAGGCCGTCGGCATTGCGCCGGAGGCGACAGCCACCGCCACTGGTGAGAGCAACAATGGCAAGATTCCGTCCGAAGACGAGCGCAAGAAGGAGGAGCAGCTCATGCGCTCGTCCGAGGGTTCGTCCCTGCGCGAGGGCATCGACATTCTCGGCCAGCAGGACGTCGACCCAGCGCTGACCCAGAAGATGCACCTGGTGAACAATGTAAGCACACGAGCCTTTGCGGGAGGACGTTGCCGGAGCAGGAGGGCCCCGCGTTGAGAACGCCTGCTAACCTGTGTGTCTAGGCCATTGACGACATTGGCTGGACCCCGTACCACTGGAAGCTTTTTATCCTGAACGGCTTTGGGTGCGTGTCGAACTCGTTGCGCTCCGTGCTTTTCATTTTTTCGCGGAACTCTCTCTGCTCCCCAAGGACGCGGCAAAGCTAACTCACAACCCGCTGTAGATATGCCGTCGACTCGCTGATTCTCCTGCTGCAGTCCATCATTGCGACCTCTGCCTACACTGAGTTTGGCGGCACCGGCTACGACAAGGGCCTGACCATTGCCGTGTATTCGGGCATGCTGACGGGTGCCTTGTTCTGGGGCCTGAGCGCCGACATCATCGGCCGTCGCTTTGCCTTCAACGTGTCGCTCATGATCTGCTCGATTGCGTGCATTTTGGCCGGCGCCATGCCCACGTGGGCGTCCCTCGGCGTGTTCATTGCCTTTATCGGCTTCGGCGGCGGCGGCAACCTCGTGCTCGACACCACCGTCTTCCTCGAGTACCTGCCCGGCAACAAGCAGTGGGCGCTCACGCTGCTCGCCGCCTGGTGGGGCCTGGGCCAGGCCGTGGCCGGCTTCATCGCCTGGGGCTTCATGTCGCCGGGCTACCTCAACTGCAGCTCCGTCGCGACCTGCACGCGCCAGAACAACATGGGCTGGCGCTACGTCATGTTCACCAGCGGCGCCCTCGTGTTTGTCATGTCCATCCTGCGCCTCACCGTCATCCGCCTCAAGGAGACGCCCAAGTACCTGCTGGGCCAGGGCGAGGACGCCGCCCTCGTCAACACCCTGCAGAACCTGGCCGCCAAGTACAACCGCCCCTGCTCGCTGACCCTCGAGCAGCTCGAGGCCTGCGGCGTCGTCCAGACCGCGCAGGGCCGCGCGACCCACCGCAGCGTCTCGTCGTCCGTCCACCAGACCGTGCAGCACTTCCGCGGCCTGT